ACCGCAAGTGCTTCTAAACGGACCATCTTAAACACCTCCAGGCACTTTCCTCTTTTCTCTTCGGGCTTCTTCTGCGTGCGGATCATTTCAACCGGCATCCGTTCTACACGTCATTTTTGTTTATTTTGGCTATAGCTGAATTTGGTTCCGTCTCTGTTCTTCTTGTAATTGTAATTTGCATTGCGCGGGGGTCGCCGCGGGAGAAATAATTAATTGAGTAAGGATCGGCGCGACCCCGGGTGTTCTTCAGCGCTCTTGTTGACATCTTAGGTTTCTTTGTACACTGCACTTTTGCGTCGTTGCGCCGTCACACCGTAGATGCATACATTAGACTTGCACTCGATTCTTTGGATAATAATTACTCGATAATTCAGTAAATAATGTTATTCATGTACTGCCGCTTCTGCGTCGCTTCGTCCTGCCATACAAACACTATAACTTATTTAGTCATCATTTAAATAATTTTAGTTGACACGGAATTCCTGCAGTTGCGAAGAATTTTATAGTGGAATTTGTTTTATGACTTATACAATCGTTTTACGGAATTGTGGTTTTGCAAGATTTTTTAGAGATGTACTGTTGTAATTTATAGACTGTTTCTGTCAAGGTTTTCTCCGAAATGAGATTGCGTGATCAGCTGATGTTAGGAAAGATGTCAGTTTGGTCTTGAACAATTGTGGAATATTCTCGTTCATTTTCTTTTTGAATTTTCGCCAGAAAATCGTCTCCGCACTAAATAAAGAAAACGCATTAAAAATCAGAATTAAAAGACTAGGTTGTAAATGCGTCATTTAAAACCTGACTGGTGGAAAATCTCAACAGCTAAACGGACTGCTTTTGGGACGCATAAAAAATGCGGCTTGCACCGAACGTGAAAATTTAATGTAATGTACAGAGTGCAGAGTAGTGGCGCACATGTATTTCCCAAACAGTTGTGCAAGCTACGGTTATTTATGAGCACAATCAGCACAAGTTCATGTCAATTGTCAGATACGGCCGTTGTTTAATGACAATGATGGTGTAGTTGCAGTATCGTGGTGAGTTGAACAACCGGAAATACCAACGCCGCCACATTCAGTTGTCGCGACAAGAAATTGCTACGCAGACCGGTGCAGACGAGTGTCGAGCTAGGTGGAAGAATACGTTAATTAATAATCGTGCTGCGCTGGGCTTGACTGCCATCGCCGCGGGCACTGGTTCACGCTTAACACTACGGTAGGCAATAGGCCTCGTACAGTCATAACAACGAAATCAAGTACTTACACGTTACAAGCGCTGATTGCAGGTTTTACCCGACTGTACATCGTTCAGTCATACCGGCATAGTTAGTTTTTATTAAACCGTATTATAATGCGCTGTGTTGTGGCGAATTTGCACCGTTCCTTGTGCGAATTGCCTGGATAAGCGTATCACGTTCATACTACATAGTACTGTGTACAATTATGTTGTGTACTGCGGTTGTACGCTTGTAGTGTATGTCTTGCATATCGCATTACTTGCTTGCAGCAAAACGCTTTTATGTGATCGGTAAACACTGCTGAACAATGCATGCATATCGCATACTAATTAGATAGCAGCCGTTAGCGATTAAAGCCGTAAGGAGTCAGCGTCAAGGTTCCCGATGTGTATGTACACTGTACAGCAGCGTTCGAGTAGCGCCTCGCTGCTGCGGTGCAAACGTATTAATCATTTGAACGTCTTATCATTCTGCTGCGGTATACACATACAGTGTACAGTGCACAACACAGATCAGCTGGAAAACCGTCTTCTAAGACAATGTAGGAAGACGCACGCTACGGAATACACATCTTGTTAAGTGCCTCGGATTATCCCTTCGTTTAGAATACATCGTGCACGTGCGGCACAGTTAACTGTCAGGAGGATTGAATCAGCAGGGGAAAGAGCGTTTGTGTCGACTGGATTGCAGAGGACTCCACCGCTCACTCCGTACATAACACGCCGAGATCCTTGTATATTTCCCTACAGTATTTTCGCAGGCAAGTACATCAAGTGTGCGTATACTAAATTTCCTGGCATATGGTAGACAAATTACTAGTAAAAATGAATGTCGGCTCCTTATACTGGTTGTCTGCTGCAGTTCGTCCGTGAGTGGCTGCAGCGATTGTCGGGGAGCCGTCGGATAACTGCAAGGAGAGATGAATTATCTGGTAGCGGCCGTTGTGGCGGTCGCGGCCGGTTGGCTGGCGCGCTGGCTGTGGCTGGGCTTCCTGCAGTACCGCCGCGTTAAGCACTACATGGACCTCCTGCCCGGCGACAAGCCCCGCCCCTTCCCCGTCGGCCACTACGGCATGCTCAGCAGCAAACACGACGGTACGCTTTTTCTGCATTTTCCCAAAAAATATTTTGCAAAATAAATTAATGAAAAAATATTATTGTTATCTCAATTCATTAAACAAAACATGAATATTCTTTTAAAAAAGGTAATAAAATTGTCCCTTGTAGAATGGTTCCGGGACGTGTACGCGCTGTTCCAACGCGTCCGCGCCACCTCCCCGCTGGGCGTCTTCCAGTTCTGGCTGGGGCCCTTCCCCTACGCCGTGCTGACCAAGGGCGTCGCCGCCGAGACCGTGCTGAGCAGTTCGCGCCACATCGAGAAGGGCCGCGACTACGATTTCCTGCGGCCGTGGTTGGCCAGTGGTTTGCTGACCAGTAGCGGCGAGAAGTGGCGCAGTCGGCGCAAATTCCTCACGCCGGCCTTCCACTTTCACATCCTCAACGACTTCCTCGAGGTCTTCTACGAGCAGAGCGTGGTGCTGGTGCAGCAGCTGACCGCCCGGGCCGGCGCCGAGGCCGACGCGTTCGATATATATCCCTTTATTACGCGCTGTACGCTGGATATTATTAGCGGTACGGTGAGCGCCGCCCGTAAGGGGTTACGTTGAATGACGTAGTTTGGTTCTCACCGTAGAAACCGCCATGGGAAAGAAGATCAACGCGCAGACTAACAGCGAATCCGAATACGTCAAGGCCGTTTACAGGTGACCTTAATAAATAAATGCTATACATTTGTGCGTTAATTTTCTATTTATGTATGCCTGCAGGTGACCTTTATAAATAAATGCTGTATATGTGTACGTTGATTTTCTACTTATGTGTACTTACAGATGTGATTTTATGTGATTTATTTATGTGATTTTCTATTTATATGTTATGTGTACTTAATTACCTTTGTAAATGATTGCTTTAATTATATGTGTACGTTAATTTTCTTTTTATGTATGCTTACAAATGACCTTTTATATATAAATGCTATATATGTGCACATTACATTACAATAATTCATTCGTATATATTCATATATCATATATAGTATATTTTATTCATATGTAAAGAAAATTCATATATGTTTGCAGATGACCTTTATATATGTATGAATGATATAATCATAACTATTAAAATATTAATGAATATTTTACTTTTATTCATACACGTTTTCTGGTGACTTTATCTGCTTTGAACCAGCGTGTTTGTAATTAAAATAATTTTTTTATGTTTTTATTTATGTCATAGATATATATTTGTATATATGTTCCTCTGCACTGCAGTGTTTCGGACATTATTTTCGACCGCATGATCCGTCCGACGATGATCTGGGACCCGATCTTCTACACCCTGGGTCGCGGCCAGCAGTTCAAGCGCGACCTGAAGACCCTGCACGACTTCACCGACCGCGTCATCGAGGAGCGGCGCTCCGGGGGCGGCGATCAGCGTCGCAGTAGCGCGCAGCCGACACCTCCCGCGGGCGGCGGCAAGCGGGGTCCACGCATGGCCTTCCTAGACTCGCTGCTGCAGGCGCGTACGGAGGACGGCCAGCTGCTGGACAACGCCAGCATCCGCGAGGAAGTGGACACCTTCATGTTCGAGGGCCACGACACGACGGCCGCCGCCGCCAACTTCGCCGTGTACTTGTTGGGCGGTCATCCCGACGTACAGGAGAAGGCGCGCCAGGAGGTGGACGCCGTCTTCGGGCGGTCGACGCGCTGCCCGACGGTGGAGGACTTGAAGAGTCTGCCGTATCTGGAAAAGGTCATCAAAGAGACGCTGCGCTTGTTCCCCTCGGTACCGTTTATTACGCGAAAAGTCAATGAGGACTTCCACATAGGTTCGGGCACGTGTAAATTAAATTAAATTAAATTAAATTAAATTAAATTAAATTAAATTAAATTAAATTAAATTAAATTAAATTAAATTAAATTAAATTAAATTAAATTAAATTAAATTAAATTAAATTAAATTAAATTAAATTAAATTAAATTAAATTAGATTAAATAATTACATTAAATTAAATTAAATTAAATTAAATTAAATTAAAATAAATTAAATTAAATTAAATTAGAATAAATTAAATTAAATTAACTTAAGCTTAAGGACCCTGCATAGGCGAACACCTGATCCCTGCGGGCAGCAGCATCCTGGTGTACATCTACGCCATGCACCGCGACGAGGACGTCTTCCCCGAGCCGCATAAATTCGACCCGGACCGCTTCGACACCGCCGGCGAGGGCGGCGGGGACGCCTTCAGCACGGCCTTCGACTACGTGCCCTTCTCGGCCGGGCCGCGCAACTGTATAGGCAAGTGACCTTTAAGCGCCACCAGGCACTTGCGCGCGGCATTTTAAGTATGAAGTGTGTGTCTGCAGGACAACGGTTCGCGTTGATGGAGGAGAAGACGATTCTTAGCACACTGCTGCGGCATTTCACCGTGGAGTCGCTGGTGCCGCTGGAGGATTTTACGGTGCAGGGACAGCTAATTACGCGCCCGGTACAGGGCGTGCGCGTCCGTCTCCACAAGCGAATAAATTAATTAATCCGCGCCGACTTAGTTGACTAAGGATGACAAAGTTTTACTGACAAGGGACAAGGTGCACGTAAGGATGACAAGGTTTTACTGCACATATAATAAATTTGTATGCCTGCTTATCGGGATGAATGTCTGAAGGATTTTTAAACATTTAACGGCATTGAAATGTTGTGCTGTATGTATGTTTGATTAGCGACTGGTGGCAAAGCAACGCACGTACATAATTTTATCTGTACGTTAATAATGAAGCGAATACATTTATCCAATGTCGAAACAGTTTTCCATGCTGAACATTGTAATGAGCGCGATCATCATGCAGTGGCGAAAAATGACATTCAGTATTAAAGAAGAACGGCTACACGCACCTTGCACGAACTGAGCGCACATTATAAGAACAATTCCAAGTAAGACAAATACGTCTTAAAAACAGAAAGAGTATGGCCAGAAATATATATGATGCCGGTGTTCAGTCGTCGTGTCACTCAGCGAGGCCACGGGTCTTCTGAAAGTTAACTATTTTGTAATAAAAAAAATAACAACTATGAAATGACCCTGCTAAAATTGCAAATTAATTTATAAATTCGGATAAATGTTCAGGAACTGAGAAACACGATTCGCTGAACACGAATCTGAAGTCAGTTTGCAAAGAAAATTTCACCGAAAAAAGTTATGAAAAACTCGACTTTTGACGGCTTTTTCAATCTCAGTGACTACTTGGTAAAACAGCTCCAAAGTTGGCTTTTAAGGGTTTCTCGGTGCGCTGAACACGAGTCTGAAGTCGGTTTGCAAAACAAATTTCACCGAAAAAAGTTATGAAAAACTTGGCTTTTGATTAACGAAGCAGTATGCAATAGGAAGACACTTACGTAGCGTACAGATATATTAGGCATGAGCAGCCGGCAACATGGCGTCCCTTTCGGAGCTGAGCAGCGCCAGTTGGTGCTGCAGGCGGGCTAACTGCTGGCGCTGTTGCAGGATAGCAATGAGGATGGCGACGAGCAGCGCCAGCACCGTCACTGCCACGACCGATACCGCGGCCATCAGCCACACGTCGACATCGCACGGCGTGACGCTAGCGTCCGTCGCTGCTGTCGTCGGGGTCGACGGGACCACGGCATAACCATAACCATAACCATAGCCATAACCGTACTGCGGCGTCCGCCATTCGGGATGGATTCCTTCCGGATCGACGGCGTAATCGGGAGAACCGCCGGCCATTCTAATATCCACGGAATTCAATCAAGTCACACTTGGCTGCTTGGTTATTCCAACGCACAGAATAAAATCAGAAAACTAGGAAGACGTACGCCCCAGAAGAGCCGCTTATATAGCGATTGGTCAGCATGGGCATTGAGCGACTGCTTGTAAATCTTGCACTCTCAGTGTTCCGAGAAAAATTGGGGTAGGCGCGTGTACCGTTCCTGTAAACTTCGTCATTGCCGTTTTTCGGCATGCCTAGCAAATGTAACGGCTTTTTGACAATCCCAGTGCATCATACGACCGGTTATTGTCAGTTTGTCAGCAGACTCAGCACCCGTGTTATTCTATGGACTATCATAAGAAACACATGTAGGTATTTGCAAGCAGCAAGTAGAGGAATATTACAACAAATTATTCGAGCAACAGCAAGAACTGTTATTAGTAAGAAACAGCCATAATTACATGATAAAGAATCGTCGGATAAGATACACGTGCAGTGTCTCGTCAGCACCGAAGCGCCGGTACGGCTTTATGCTCAGTGGAGTGTGGACCTCAACGATTACCATGCAGCGAAGATGTCTCCAGTAAAACAAAGACGGCAATAAATGGCACGATGCGCAACAGTGCACGAATACGCTACGCTTTGCAGGGACGGACTGCTTTACGGTTGGTTTTTCTAATGGTACATGGCACATGAGTATGGTAGCGGTCAGAAACTCGCCGAAATGAGAATTTTCACGGCTTGCCTATATAGATACAGCGCAGGAATGCTGGAGATGCTTAGTGGGCGCGATCTGCGAGCAAGACAGGAGTGTAGACGAAGTGTTCTTGTGTTTTTCAGCGTAATTAGTGTGGCGTGGCGCGTCGTAGTATAGAGTAGGCATAACCCGTGGATTTGTATTGTAAATGTGGGTTTTATTGATGCGTTAGATATTACAGGACAAGTTGTACGTGGAACTGAGGAGGAGGAGATGACCGCTCTCGGTGCGGCAGCTGCGAAATGAAGCTAGCATTCACGGGAAACCAGGCATTTCATACAATAATAATTATCCAGTTGACTTTATTCAGTACGCTTAATTAATTGCGGCACGTTATTGTATCATCTAGAGGGAAAGTATCGCACGAGAAGGAACGGTTCTTAGTTCTTGCAACATTCTGCATATGCATAATAGTTGATTACAGAATACAGAGAAATGTTTTATACCAAGGTCAGCGACAGCATGTGCAATACTTGTACAAGCAAGGAAATACGTACGAAGCCGGCGAAGTATGCAGAGCGCATCCCGGCCCGGAATGCCGGCCGGTGTACATGTAATGCTGTTATGCTGGTAGTAGATTGGTCTGTCGTTTGAACAATACAAATGTTTGCAATCCCAGTGGAAAAAAACTTATTTCCGAATCTCAGCTGTCGGAGTTGCACAGCAACTTCTCAAATGGGCGCAAGATATCGGATTTATTGATGACGAGACCGACACCAGTGCACAAACAACATCCGACAACCGAAAACGTCCATCGCCAGTCGACCAGTCGGATCCAAAACGAAAGCAGATAAATTAATTCAATTATAAAACAACAACATGCTTACACATATTTTTTTATCTCTTGCTTAACTTCATCCTATACGGTTTGAAACTACGTACTTTTTATGACTGCATCCAGTGTACTTTCCCAGTCATATCAAAATCATATTAATAATACCTAATATTTTCGATCAACGACTTACATAATTAAGCGTCCTATTTTTCCCACTTTCCCTCAGTTTAATTTCTTGCGATTCAGCATGTGTTACCATAACAAAAGGAGTTACACTACTGAATTATAACAAAAACAAATTCAAAAATAATACTGAATACCCAATACTCGAATCCTACAAACAATGTCGCAACGTACTACAGTGCGGATGTAGATCCCGTAAGCTGGTTATCCAACTTTCTATACTACGTTCTACAGATAGATAGTTTTCGGTTATCTTCAGTCCGGTATTAATTACGCTACATGCAAACGTACTGCTATACCTTTTCAACCACTGGGCCTTTAGCCGTTTCTCCTAAGTTTGTACTGTATAACTACTGTAATAGAGGCATTAAATAAGAATAAAGACGTCCAGAAATATGCACGCAGGAAATCTAACCTAAAAACGGATAACGTCGAACTAGCCGAATACTAGTCGCACTCAACGGCGGTTTTAAAAATTTTGCAATGGCGCTGTCGTCCCTGTGCGGTTGGCAGCGTGCCCAACATGCATAGCTTTCGATTAATAGTCATCGTAAATCGATATCTAGCTTCAAATGGTAACCATTTGAAGCTAGATACACCTTTCTCGTATAGGTCGTGTTTCTCGACAGTAGCGAGCTCCGATTGCAAACTACCGGTTTTTTTCTACAGCGGCGTCTTACCTTTGAAGGGTGTGGCGCTGCCGGAGGCTGCTGACCGTCCGTGCAGCGCAGCCCCCCGTCCGTGCAGCGCAGCCCGTCCTTTTCAGCTAGCCGACGGGCGCTGATCGGACGGTGCGTGTGGAGCGCCATGAGCAGTTGGTAGACGCGCAGTCCCAGCAGCGCCGCCAACAGCAGGACGATGAGCGACAACCGGATAATATCTTCCCACGACATACATGTCCCGTCCACCATAGCTTCGGCGCCGTCTCCCGGAAACGGCGCAAGACCGAAGTTCCCGGCGCGGCTGGATAGCTCCTTACCCAATGCTGCAGTGACAGCAACGGTTACCGGTGAACTGCACTGACCATCATCGTTTGTACTTATGTCAATTCCGTTATGCACTATATATATATATATATACATATTCTACCATATAGTTTTTTATACGTATTTTTCAAGAGAGATGGTGGCATAAATATGGAATATATATGACAGTATCGCTCTTGTAGAACACAGTTCAACGAAGAATTAATTACCCCAGTTAGCGCGAGACGGAACGGCACATAACACGCACATGGCTGTTTACACAAGATATACTTCCAGGTTGCAAAATTAACTTAGAACGCCAAAACCGAGCGCCTTTAACGAGAGCAACGCGACTGACTGTTCGGGACGGAGTCGGCCGCCTCTGGCGCTTATTTCCGTCGGCTGTGTAATTTCTCGGCATTCTCATCGTGTAACGGCAAAGCGCGCCTGTGCGGCGCGAGTATGCTGGTGCATTTAGCGCATTAACATAGCCACGGTGTAAATATGTATAGCGCGAAACAGTGGACGTACAGCACAACACAATTATCGGATATGTATGCTGTTTTCCGCCAGCCTGGTTTGCCGAATAAAGCGTCTTGGTCTCCACTCTGCACACCAAAATAACCGCACACCAAGAGCGCTACTCGGGTGCTGTTCTCAGTGTACTGGACTCGCATAAACATAATCTTCTTCTACCGGAAGTGTTGATGTTGACGTTGTAATTTGCTTCCCCATATGTGCAGTATCCGGTATACCGCTCGAATACGCATAGTACAGAAACGTGGTGTAGGTTGAAAAACAAAATCTTGATGAAGGCTATGCTGCTACAAACGACATACCAAAAGCTTTTTTCCCTGTTTTGCCTGCTTTCAAGATGATGTGATACATCAACGATATACAGCAATTTTATTGCATAACCTGCTCTCTAAGCTATCGGAGAAGACAATTTTAGCTGTGGATGAAGAACGAACCAGACGCAGAATCATTCAGCCGGTGATGCTTTGGGCAGCCTATAACACTCTCTTCCAAAAATTCAGTTGTTTCAGTGCCACTTCTCTCACTCTCAAAGTTTTTGCCTGTAATTTCTAATATTGAACGCTTACCTTTCCCTTGTAAACCTCAAATGTTTATTCTAGGTTTTCCATATTCGTAGTCGAAGGTGTGGCGTAGCCCGCAAATTTGTTTAATTAATTATTGCTGTAAGGAGCTGGAATTTACGAGACAAGCTGGAATATATTGCGCATATAATTATACATCAGATTCTTCGATTTATTTTTATACGATTTCATACCCATAGAGCCTTGCACTTTGTTGATGTAAATCGTGAAATTCAATCTTTTTTCATGAAAAATAATAGCAAAAAAATAAACATATAATTACAAATCAAAATGCCAGCTCCAGTGCTAAAAAATGCCGAAAGTGCGAAACGACTGTAAAAAATTTGCTTTAGAACAAAGACGTATTGTAAGGTACAACAACATTTCACATAAACGAATTTCGATATTTCCAAATATCTCTATTCTTTTTCTAGTCTACAGGGATGCTACGCCAAGTTGGGGCAGTCGTGTTAATTAAATTACAAATTATTGTTGTCAGCCGTTTTTGTTTTCATTTTGCCTATACTTGATGCAATTTTTTATGGGCAGTTCAGCAGTATAAACTATAAAAGCCTGCACTATTCGATTTGTCAGTAGCGAGCCGAGCTGTGATCAAGGGGTCGAGGTGGTGGTCTCTTTTCGAACGGAAAAGCACAACTTGCTTAATTCGTATAGCGCGCGCATGTGCCTGGAAAGATTGTATCTGTATATGGGACTGCCTCGAGCTTCGAACATTATTATGCTTAACCAGAATAATTCGCTCTGTTCTTATTATTTCTTACCGTAATGACCAGCCAGTGTGCAGTACAACGTGCACAACGGAACCGCAAGTGATCAACGAAGAAAGACCGCCCGTCAAGTTCACCCACAACCGACCACTGCTAAATGGCGTTAAATAACACGTGCATCTCCGCGTTACGCTTGCAGCAGTTTCAACAATTATTCCGCGAGACGAACCAATCGGCCGGAATATACGTTTGCGCCGCAAGTCTTTATCGTAGCTCGAACCTCTTGAAAAGCCGGTCGGTCAAGGCCGGAAGTAATGGGCAGGCAGGCACGAGGGATTTACCCACAGTTGAAGCAGCGCAGCCGGTGCCAATCCACATGGGAATCGCTCTCACACGGCCCACGGATGAAAGCTGTGGAACATTATTAGCACCATAATTTTTTCACCACTCTCATTAAGACCATTTTATGCGCAGTACGTACGTAATAGTGCAGTTTACACATGGCATAGCATCATTTGGAAATTTTAACTAGTCAAGCCCGAATAAATCAGCGCACACCGCCCTTTAATAACAGGAAAAAGTAAAAACAAATGCAATTTTTAGGCGACAAAACGAAATGAAAGCAGGCGGAGCTGAGCTACAGACCTGCATTACAGCAATACTGAAGCTCTTGTATGGAAGAAGAGTGTTTATTTTACACTTGACAAAATAATGTATACCGCATGTTTTCACTGCAGAATGACCTTCTGTACAGAAACAGCTGATAACTGTTACTTATGGGAAATGCCCCAGTACTTAGTGTCAAAAAAAAACAAAAATGGGATACTTACACCAAAACCTTTGCTTTCGCGCACTCCAGATCACTTTTTTGTAATACTTTATGTCATTCTCAAGCTAAATGGTTTGCATACATTGTTCTGAAAACCGTTTGCGCGCGCAATATCCGGTTGCCGAGATATGGCGTACTAAAGTGGGCGAAAAGGGTTAATGCATCATGCTGCGTACCAGAAGTCCGGTTATTATCCGATTTTCGTGAAACTTTGCTACAAAAGATACATGACCATAAAATCGAACTTGAATTAACATCAGATCCAATCCATATAGCATTTTCTTTCGATCTTAAAATGAATTTCGAAAATTTTAAAAATCCATTTAAAAATATGGGAAAGTGCTATGAATCCGAATTTGGTTCACTTTAAAATTTATGGCCCTGTGTCTTTTACAGCAAAGTTTCAAAAAGATCGGGTAATAACCAGACTTTTGGTACACAACAGTCAACAATGCATTTAAACTTTTCGCCCATTTTATCACGTCATATCTCGGCAACCGGATGTTGCGCTCGCAAACGGTTTTCAGAACAATGTATACAAATCATTTAGCTTTAGAATGACATAACGTATTGCGAAAAAGAGATTTGGAGTGCGCGAAAGCGAAAGTCTTAGAGTATGTATCCCTTTTTGATACCATATACCGGGCCATTTCCCTTAAGAGGAATTAACTAAAGGGGAGCTTTTGGTGCTCACCGTCCACGGATGGCGGTTGTCCAAACGTTGCTGGCGGCGTTTCGCAACCGTGCACGTGCAACTGCAGCAGCAGCACTCTAGCCTACGTGGATGGCCGCAAGTCCACATCCGGGAACGGCGCATGGCTCTCCATCGGCGCGTCGGCTTCGTAGATAATTATGTGTAATTCACTTTCCGCCGGATAATCATGCACGGACACTATCATTCTGTTAACCATATAAAATCCATACAGTCATTAGCCAGATAGCGCAATAATTAATAGACTTTTTTCTGATATGTCAGCTGCTAGAAATTACAACAACGTACGGTTTGTTGATTGCGGTTTTTCACGAGAGGTAAGTAATTAACTAATTGAGTAACAAGATAATTATGACAGATTGGGCCCCGACTGTCAGCAACCGCAATTGCAGGTTATTTCTCTGTAGGCCGTAGGTCGTTCAATGCATGTGCAAGTTGACCTTTGGCTTATCATTATTTTTGTCGGCTGCATCATGCATACGACTTGTAAACTGATTGACCTTTGTGCTACTCGTTTCTGCGATGCGGTGTGATGGGTGCTGACCAGACTCGTACGTGGCCCAGGGTTTGTCTGCTCCTGGAAACTCGGTACACATTTTAAGAAAAGCAGTCGGTGCGTACGGTGCAAGTACAGTACAACCACATACGAGGTATAATGTCTTTCTGTTAACAATCGGCAATCTAACTGCAGAAACTGTATGCACGGCATGCGTAATGCATGTATTGTAATACCTGTAATATACTTGTAATATGGATGTGCGTGGAGTAAATTCCAATCATGATATTTATTTGGCAAAAATATAATTTTGTCGATACGCATGTATAGCCACCACCACTAGTTGACCTTTGTCCAACATGAAAAACATGTGATTATAACAGATTAAAATAATGATCTAACTCCGTTGTTGTGTATAAGAGGTTGTTGGCATTCATCTTCATTCGAGTAAAGATTTGATTTTTTTGTGATTGAGAGTAATAAACTGTACATCACGCATAAATAACTCTACAGCCTATCAAAGTCAATAAATTTGACGCGCAGTCCGTAACGTATTCGTTACAATGATTTAATTTAACATACAGAATAGCATGGAACTGCAGATCACGTGCGTGCGCTAACGTAAATCGTTATTTTATTAAAAATGTTACCGATTATGTTTGGCTGCTGATTGCAATTATCTGTAATTTATACTTAAAATTACGCATTACCAGAGCACCAGTTAATGACGTATTATGTAATTAATCGGCCAAAATTAATTAATTTAGGCGATTGCATTATTACTTGCTAATTGCTACTGCTGCTGTAACGGGAAATTATGATTACGCTGTGAGGATCGCGAAGCGGTTTGTTTATCTGAATGGCTGTTACATAGATAATAAAATATTATGGTGTTATCACAGTGCTTGTACTCGTATATAGAAACAATTATATATTATTATGTACAGATAACAGCTAGAGCGGTACAAATGCTAGCGGATGTCGAGACAATTGAGCATCACACCGCGGCCGACCGTCCCGGCCAGCGATCCTTCCGTACGCCAGCAGTGCTGGCCGGGTGGACACCGGAAACGGCAGGGAATCTGGCGTTTCCGTAGCGGACATTTAGGCATTAGGGATGATGCTTGTAGGAGGGCAACCATTTGTTGTGGTGCCGGCGCGGCACGTGCCGCATCGGTTTCGGTGCACGCGTCTGGCCGGCCATCGGTGCGGCCCCGGCCGGCGCTCCGCCTCCCGGCTCCTCAATGTCCAGGACAGCGAGATAGGAGCCCGACGCGTTGGATAGCGGGCTGTTGAGTCCTTCCGGTGCCCCCTGTAGGGCTGCGGCTGGTGGGGATGCGCCAGCATTGCACCGGCCGGCCTGCTGTTGCGCGCGTTCTATGCGCGTGGCTTCCATGTGCATCAGCGGCAACTGGATCTGCGTCACGTTCTGCAGCGTGGCCGATGCTTCCACAACGGCATACGCCGCTCTCTGTACTTCGGCAGGACGTGGCAGGGGGAAAGGACCACGCAGCCGTCTATAAATCCAGCGGCCGCAGCGGCCGCCCCGCCACAATGCCGCGATCAGCAACAAAGCCGCCGCTAATCCGCCACTTCCCATTACGATCCCCCTCCACTGGGATGCGGAGGCATCCTGATTGTGACCGTGCTGTCCTGGCAGTCCATCCGCTGACGAGGTGTTGAGGGAATAAATAGAAATGTTAAAAACGCCTGTATCATTCATTCTCCAGGGACACTGCCACAACACCGTTAGTGCAGCTATTCTCGATTATTCACATAAGAAAATAACTATACACATTGTATGTACTTAGTACAGCGTAAATAATGAATATCTTGGTGTGACGAGTATTCGTGGATTTTATAGCCGGGAATGGCTTACGAATTACGATGATTTCCAAGATAAATTTATTGCTAACGGTTATATATACGCAGTGTGTACATTGGGATAAAAGTCTACGAGCATAATCGTTCCGTCCACTTCGTTTCCGTGTTGCCCGATATGTATCTTTTGATTTACCGGTGGTACGGTACCATGATGAAAATGCACCGTAACAAGCGTTTGGCACTGTGGTGCATTTCCGGCGTAATGAAAACGTATGAGCGATATAATAAATCTTACACCACGGATAAATAATTCAATTATTTCCATACATGCGCATGTGCATGCTGGCAAGTATACATATATATTGTATTACTGGGCGGGCTCAGCCATCATCCACTTTGCAAATAGTACTTATAAGTTATAATTACTGAAGTAAGTAATTAATTTCACATGGACCGCCGCGCACCCTGTGGGATACAATCACAACTGATCAAACACGCTGTTTTGTTTATACGCTCCTGTACTTTGCTTGTTAAGGGAAGTGGCCCGGTATACATAGTGTCAAAATGGAATAAATATACTGAAACCTTTGCTTTCGCGAACTCTGCATCTTTTTTGTAATACTTTATGTCATTCTAAAGCTAAATGATTTTGTATACATTATTCTGAAAACCGTTTGCGCGCGCAACATCCGGTTGCCGAGATATGGCGTACTAAAATGGGTGAAAAGTTTAAATGCATTGTTGTTCACCAAAAGTCTGGTTATTACCCGATCTTTTTGAAACTTTGCTGTACTAGACACATGGTCGTAACTCATAAACTCAAAAGGGAGCCAATATCTGGGTAATTCAGATTCAGAGCATTTTTTTCCGATTCCAAATGAATTTAAAAAAATTTTAAACTTATTTTAAAATTATGGGCAATTGCTATGAACCGGAAACTGTATCTCTTTCGACTTTGTGGCCATGTGTTTTTTACAGCAAAGTTTCAAGACGATCGGGTAATAACCAGATTTAATACTTTCCTGGTACATAACAATGCATTATTTTAAACTTTTCACCCATTTCACTTCGCCAGCCTATCTCGGCAACCGGATGTTGCGCGCGCAAACAGGTTTTAGATCAATGTACGATCAATGTATGTATTTACTCGTATACAAATCGTTTAGCTTTAAATTGACATAAATTACAGTATATATTACTTGCTCAAAAGCGATTCGGAGTGCGCGAAAGCGAAAGCGAATGAAGAGTACGACGTACGCATACCTTTTTAGGCAGCATGTACCGGGCAATTTTTCTTAATGGTAGTGAGTCTAGTGACCCGGTACGTGGCACAAATTCGTTTATGAGTGTATACGGTAAAGCCTCTATTTCGCGCACTCGCAAAACCACAGTTTTTGCATCGCTTTAATGCATTCTTTAGCCTGATGATCTGCATACGTTGGTGTGATAACCGCTTATACGTGTACGGGAAGACATCCGGTTGGGGAGTTATGGATAAAATTGCTGCAGAATCCAAAAAGTGTAAACGCAAGAAGGTAGACCATAAGCCAGTCTCATTATGGACCGATATCCTTCACATTTTATACAAAACTGCGCATTACTGGCGTAAGCATACGCATAAGCCTAATTACACATACGGTAAAGGTCGTTTTGACATGAAACCGGGTTTTCATGATGTTTTTCGAATTTGAAAGTGAATTAAAAAATTTCTTATGATTTATTTTAAAACTGGAAAGAAATGCCAAAAATTCCTGTGTGTCAAAACAATCTTTATGCCGATACAGATACTGTAATATGGCTGTAAAATGCAGAACGAGGGTGAGGGTTTTCGTGCATGTACCGAGATTTGGTACGACGTATCGGGCGACTTCCCTTAAGGGATTTGGCCCGGTACTGGCGGTACATAGCACCAAATTTGTATACAGCCGCGGCAACTTTTGCTGTCGCGCACTCCTAAACACTTTTTTGCATTGCTTTATGACATTTTGTAAACGAATCCTTTCGCCAAAGGATTCGTTTACATAGTCGAAAAAGCCGTTTGTGCGCGCAACTTCCGGTTCGGGAATTATTAGTGAAACAAAATTCCAAAAGATTAAACGCGCGCGGAGGTGTACCAAAAGTCTCGTTATGAACCGATGCTCTTCAAATTTTGCACGAAACGCACATTACTATGAAGATCGTTTTGGTACCGAACCAGCCTTCTACCTTTTTTTCAAATTTTAAATTAAATTTCGACAATTTTAAAAAAATTAATTTAAAATTTGAAAAAAATGGTAGAAGGCTGGTTCGGTACCAACATGATCTTCATAGTACAGTAATATGCGTTTTCGTGCAAAATTTCAAGAGCATCGGTTCATAATGAGACTTTTGGTACACCTCCGCGCGTTTAAACTTTTGGAATTTTATTTCACTAATAATTTCCGAACCGGAAGTTGCGCGCACAAACGGCTTTTTTCGCTATGTATACGAATCCTTTGGCTACAAAATATCGTAAAGCAATGCAAAAAAGTGTTTAGGAGTGCGCAACAGCGAGAGTTCCCGTGTATGTACCCGAATTTGGTACTATGTACCGGGTCAAATCCCTTAAAATTCTTCAGTAAAGACAGTCTAATTATTGTGATGTGGCATTACGACAGCGCAAAGCTGTAAGAGAAAGGCTTTCATCGTCTTGCTAGTTGCAGGGACAAACATTTATCTTAGTCTCATCGGCGTCAGAAAAACTTTCTTGGACAGAATGATTTCATCATTAATTACAACCGGACGTACAGATATACAAAGTATATACAATAATATCTTTTATGTATCCGTTAACTCAGCTATTTGGCAAGAACAGTGATGCGGGTGGTCTGCGAGACCCCACTCGTGAACCCCTTCGTGGGGCCGGAAGAAGCACTGCACGTCGCCGCTGCCGTCCGGGCGGAAGTTTCCCAAATGCAGTGTATAGTCCAGAAAGTGTCCGGGAAGATTGCTGGAGACGGTGGGTTTGGGGCTGTGAGCGGAGGAGAAGATTGGGGGCATCTGGGAAGGAGGCAGCGCACCGTACGGCAGCTCCGTGGGCGGGCTGTTGATACGGCCCTTGTAGCGCCAGAAAACGTGGTTGTCCTGATTGCGCAGAACGGCCTCCGGGAGCGGCAAGCGGACGCGGCAAGGGATGGTTACGCTGCCGCCCACGCGGGTCACGCGCGCCCCGCCCTCGGGCAGCGGCGCGAAGACTTCGCTGGCGCGCGTGATCAGCGGGAGGAGCGTGAAGCGGCGTAGAACGCGCGGTGGGCCGGTGTAGCTGCGCGGTGGGCGTGGCATCCACGCAGAGGATCGGCCCGCCCGAGTAGGCGGTGACGTTGAGGACCACCAGCTGCAGGCGGCGGTCACTCATCTGGGTGACGTTGTAGCGCTGCGCTGGGTCTTCCGGCTGGGCGTGGCCTGCTTCGAAGACGGTGCGTCCGCGGTGCAGCCAGGTCAGCGAGCGCCAGTCGCCCCCGGGCGGCGCCTCGCAGCTGAACGTCGCGTCCTCGCCCAGCCGGGGCCGGCTCAGGAGGCCCTCCAGGATGCCCGCGTTCGGGGCCAGCGGCAGAGTGATGCGCTCGTCTTGTCTCGTCCGCAGGGCGTCCGTGATCAGGTCCTCCACTGCAGAGGAAGGTGTGTCAGTGTAGTTTCACTTACAATGTACGTGGGAAAAAGGTCAAGTCGACTGGTCGCTCCGCGGTTCGCCATTTTCTTATGTGCCTCGCCACGAATCACAGCCACTTACGGTTGGTGGTCGGCGGCCCACCGGTCGCTGGCAGTGGCCAGGGGATGGCCAGTGGGGGCGGCAAGCATCCCCAGGACACGCTGAACACGCTCAGCTGCAGCCACGCTAAATCACACAACACTGCCAATGTTTTTGTCATTATTTTTCTCACTGCAAAGTACTGTACTCGTACATACGTGTGTACGTCACTACGGTGCACTTGTACGTAATGCAGTCGCCGCTTAGTATGTAGTGGTCACTGGCCTGTAATTACTTACTCAGTAATTACTGACCTTAGACCGGCGGGGTCAGTGGACGCTGAGTAAGAAGTCAAGTTAACTTCTTTAAGGCTGTGCAAGACAATTTACGCTGTGATATCGATATTCAATTTGTTAGTATTTATACGCTTAATTAAGGAGAATTTGTACTATATGGTAGCAAGATCGAAAAATTAATGAGATTGTCAAAATTCTACAGTGTACTAAGAAGGGTTACATCTATTACTGTTCGTCATAGTCACAACACTGTTAGTGTTGGCCAGAATTTTAACGACTATGCCTTGACTGTAACTGTTGGCTGATTGTAACCAGCTTTTAGTATCCACAAGCACGTGTAACTAACAGAGCGATCAGTACGTATGTAGTTTCCATCCGGTAATAAATTCCCCCTTGGCTTTTGCGTTAATGCGTACACATATTATTATTATTAAGCTCGACAGTCAACAGATTCAAAACACGCAAATGTGACGTACAGTAGTACAGTTTAACATTACTAACCAATCAAATCCTAAATAAATAAAAGTTTCAGTACTTACTATGCATTTAACAAATCCTTATAACTGTATTACAAAGACTATACCTGTTTTACAACTGTATAAACGTTGCGTATTGCCGATGCAAAGGCGTATCCATGGAAATAACTATGATAATTATCCACCAGTATAGTATCTGTACAAATGTGAAAATTAATAGCCTAATTATTAAGTCAATTAATACCAATAAGCATAATGAATATTACGGTATTGCGGTGCGTACGGAATTATCTCTAAGGACGCTGTGATTACGTATTGCCATCGATATGCGAACGCACATGCAGTGCAGGCTGCAGAGTAGTACGTACATATTTATATATGGTATAGGCGGATAGCTAATAATAATTATGTAAGTACTGTACCAAGTATGCAATTTACTACTACCATAGGTCGCATAATTATCACCATGGCGGTTGTAGTATCTGGTACTGTAATGGAATTAGGAAACCGCTAGCTACATAGATCGACGTGAACTCTACAAGCAATAACTGGACATTATTGTCACAATCGTTGCCAAGACATTCGCTAACCATTGTTGCTGCCCTTTACCCCGTATTGTAATTTTAACCAGTACTAACAACTGTAAGTGTAATGCTCATAATATTATATGTACAAGTACTTAATATACTTAATATACTCGTATTATTACTGTATTCTAAAGAATACTGGGAAGGTGTAACGTAAAAAGACCGCCTTGAGCTGTCTCGTTTGCATAAAGGCTCACTGAGGTACTGTACTCGTACAGATATTCCGTTTGGCCGAGCAGTGTTCTTGAGTAATAAATTATTAAATTGCAAAATTTCAACCGAGAGTAGATCGAGGCTTGGGGCGAACGCTCCGCTTAACCATAGCGTATGGTTAAGTGCGAGCGTATGGTGTAAAGTATAAAAAATACACTGACATGCATAAATGTGATTAATCGATAATTAATAATGGCTGGACAATTTCCTTGGTAATTTTGTGCCTCAGAATACTGATGCCTTAAAATAGATAAGTATTTCCAGAGTAACGGTGGGAAAGTAAAAGTGAAATTGTGCGCCGCTGTTCAGCTTGATCACAATGAAGGTCTTCATACAGGCTGGCTGGAGAACGGAATAGCACTGCAGTGTTCAAAGTGCCGTGCTATTCCGTTATATAACGAAAGCTGTCCTACGCGAGACACGCGGGAGATCGTTACGCTGATTGCATCAACACCGCGTCGGCCGTCCGTTAATATTTCAGCCGTGTAATACCCTTATTATATAAATTACCAGTAAACACCCGAACCGGAAGTGACCAGTTCGGCAGACCGCCGTCAATGTCAACCGCCCTGCACGAAAATCGCTAAATACTCCAGGGCAGCGGATCCATCAACCGGAAGTCGCTCCCATGAAGTGGTATCCTGGAAGGAGCGGGTGATGGCATTGCATTGGGAAGTAATGACTAGGAATAGGTATCGTAGATTGATCATGGTGACAGTGGAAATCTACAGATACATGCTCAGCTCCATGGCGCAGTCTTCCGGAAGGAACAGCATTCGATATCATACCGGCTGGCTGAACAGAATGGCCGTCTGTTTTATCATGGTGCGCTGGATTGGTCCAACACTTAATTGACCTTATCTGAGCTCCATTAGATAGAGCACTGCTTTGACATAAAAAAAGTTAAGGTAAAATACGGTAATTATGGAGCATGTTGGTTATGACGCATTTATTCTTTGGCACATCAGTCTATTACGGTATTTTTTCTGATTCCAAAGAGCAGAATGATTTTGCTACCCAATGGTGTGCCATGACCAGCCCAATACCGATTGACTCGCAGTAAACACCGGTCAGTAAACAAAAAGGTTTTCTTCGAACTGCATACGACTCCTTCACATTTTGGATACCCCCTGAGCGAACATATTACGTCTTATAACATAAAGTAAAAAGTGTACGTTACAGATTTTTTGAAAAAATTTTCGGCTTTCCTTAATTCGATTTTAAAATTTTTAAAGTGCTATATCTTCTCACAGAGTGGACTAATTTCTGTCGCTCTTTTTGCACTTTTGCTTTGGTGTGATTTTGAAACAGGCGAGGTAATTGTTTTGCCTTCATTTTCAGAGGAGTTACAATAGCTACAGTTTCCCAGGTAGAAAAAATGCTCTTTAAAATGGATGTTTTTCGAAAGTCGAAGATCCAAATAAAAGCACAACTGTAAAAGATCAAAAGGTACCGTGGGTCTAAAACGACGCTCGGGTCCAGCAGTACGTTCGATTCACTTAACTGCCATCTCCTCTCAAACCGAACCGCAAACAACCGCACGCGGGCTGCGTGTCTGCGTTGCGCTGCTACCGCGCGCAGACTGCGATTTGATGAACGCTTTATGCAGCCTGCAGGTAGCGTGGTGGTATGTTTACTTTTCTGCATGATGCAGAGGACCATTTTCGAATAACAAAACCCATATTTACTAGAATTAAAGTTTGGACAGTTCATGCGCCTTATAATCCATTGCCGCAATGGAATTGCTGTTCTTGGTACCTTTGGAAAGACAAAATTATTTTACATACTGGGTTTTTTTGGTTTTGGAATTGAGCCATTCGAATTCCAACGATCAGTGGTTTTCTCAGTTAGGGGAATTAGTTTAATGTTTAAAATTTATATCTTTACTGTTTTTTTACACAAGATTTTTTTAAAATAAATCCAATATGTAAAATAATTATACGTTATATTTAGAAACAGCAAACTTGAAGTTGCCCCATTGGGTGCTTCAGCGCTTATTTTTAAAGTACATACAACATAAAATTCTATATCCCGTTTGCACTTTTAGGCTTCATTTTAAAAACTTATATGTTAAAAAGTGCAATTTATAAGGTTTATAATGAATCTTTGCACTTCGAGAACAGACCAACCAAAGGCGCACAACAAATTTTCAAAGTTGTCAATAAAATTGGCATGCTGCAAACAATTACATGACGTTAATGTATGCACCACACACAACCATATTAATGCAGTAATGGAACAAACATAAATACCCTGAAATAAATAACATCCTAACAGTGCTGAAGTGAATGCACAAAGACTGTCTGCCCGACTACAGCCTGCGCGCGCAAGCGGCCACGTCTTGTGCGGCGTTATGCAACTTGTGCTTCTGGTCAGACATGACAGAACAGACAGCGGTTAGAAAGCAGTTGCGAGCCATACATCCTGTTCAGGGGAAAGAAAACACTTTCACGACACGGGTCCGGAGCAGTTTATCCCAGTTAGTTTTTGAATGGGTGATTGTTTTTCAACCGGACTTTTTTATAAAGTAGGTTATACTGTGACACATTCAATGAAAGTATAACATAAAATACTGATGTGAAGCAATTATTTACCGAATTTTCACCTTAAGCCAAGTCAAAATTACCATAAGGCTGAATTTTTTTATGCATTGTTTTGAAAAACTGGCTGGTTTTGGGCGATGTCCTGGATGCGAAAATCTAAAATTATCCGTTTCTAGATTAAAAATGCTTGCTAGTGAACTAACGACATTAATGTAGTTTTGTAACGACACAACATCACTTGCACCAACTGCGCAGTTCGGTGCACGACAATGCCGGCGCTTTATCCCCGGATAGTCTGCAACTTAACTTGACTTGTTTTTCAGATCTCGAAAACTACACGGTCAAATCGCTTGAAACAGTACAACTGAACCGGAAATGACCCGGCACATAGCAGTGATACTATCACTATAGTGATAGCACTATATTCGTGTACATCCTCAGAAACCGCTGTACCGCTGGCACGCACTTTCAAAGGCTTTTTTGGATTGCCTTTGGACATCCAGTTACTAAATGGTTTGCTTACATCGAGGCGTGAACTCCGTCTTCGCGCGCAACACCATGAGAGTAAGAAACTTTTCTAAAGTTTAAATGCATTCGGTGCACTAAAAGCCTCATTACAGACCCATCTCCTTGAAATTTTGCATGTAAACGCACAACACACGGCACAAGAACAAACATACAATTTACCGTATAACATTCGCGAAAATGAATTTTGTTTAAAAATCTATAAATTCCCATTCGCGTACAAAAGTTTTTGTTCGGCATATCTGTGGAACTAAGGCCTTGTCCCGAATTCAAAGCGAATCTCGCTATGGTACGGTTGCTCAACCGCACGAGGTGGCTGTACGCAGTGGCCACGCCCACAGATACGGTACGCGAAGCCACCTCGCGAGGTGGAGTTGCTGTATCGCCACGAGATTCGCTTTCAGTTCGGGACGAGGCCTAAGCAAGCTTCTACATTCCTGTTATGCGAGTATATCCAGTAATGCGATTAATACAGTATGAATCCTGTCCAGGAGCGTAAATGGCCACTCAAATGTGTCGTTCAAAAACTGTTATTGGCAACCGAATTTTAAAGTTGTAGTGTTATTGAGTGAGAATTTAATGCGAAACTCAAGAAGGGCATGATTTTGGCAGTGCATGTATAGTATTGCTTACAACATGTACTCTGTAGAGTATCTGTACTTATGTAATATTAATTCACCCAAGTTTTTTTTCTGTAATTTAATGTACCTGTTTATCTGATTAGCCAACGATGGCGAAGAGAAGTACTATGTCAATATTGAAGCAATTAAAATTCAATAAATATATAAAATCAGTTTTCTGGTGAAACCGTGCTGAATACTTGGACTTCATGCAGGTGTCGAAAAGCAGCCAATGGAGCACAACAGCCAGATGCACACTGAATGAACTGAGAGGATAACGCAAAAGCTCGGAGAAAACTATTGGAAACAAAAAGTATGTGAAATATGTGTGATGCCGGCGCCTGGTAAGCATTTGGAATCCGGTCGTCGTGTAATTCAGCGCCGTGGCCTGCAGCGATTGTTGAGGTTCTTCTGAAAGGTCACGTTTTGTAACCATAACCTGATGATCTAAAATGAGAAAAACACATGTAATTTATATCGATAGTTTGTGATTTAAAGATGGATTTTAATTTTAGTATGCATCGGCCATGCTATCTGTAGTGGGGAATCTCAACTCTTTACGCCAGGACAACCGCTTCGCGAGAAACAAACCACAAGAAGAGCCCGGCATTTGGTTCGGCCACCCTGTAGTATGGATCGTGGCGGAACCCGTGAAGTTAAATTTGTCGCTTTTTTGATGCGCTAGAAATTACGGGACACGCTGGTGCATACATACCGGTTCCGTCTGCAGCCGTGGTGAAATACTACACATCGGCCACGGTCAGCATGACGTCCGTCTCAGCGCTGAGCAGTTGCAGCTGGCGCAGGAGGCGGGTCATCTGCTGGTACTGTTTAACGGCACAAACGAGGATGACGACGAGTGGCACCAGCACCGTCACCGCCGCAAGGGTTACCGCGATAATCAGCCAGATATCGACATCGCACTGCGGGATGATAGCGTCCGTCGCTGCTGTTGGAGGGGTCGGTGGGGCGTAACCGTAGCTGTACAGGGGCGGCCGCCATCCGGGGAAGAGTCCTTCCGTTTCGACGACATAATCAGGAGGGCCGTCGGCCATTGGAATATCCAGGGAAATCGGCTGTAGTGTGCGGCACGTTATTAATTATTGTAATAGAAACGTTAAATGGCAAGGAAGTTAGCAACGGAGACGCTTATAAACCAGCCGATCAGCAAAGCAACGTATGCATTATACTACTCCTTCGCCCTTTCTGTTTTTCGCTCAAAATCTGCGTACATGCGTGTAAATTTCCGGTAAACTGTATAACTGCAGGTTTTTCTGCATGTCTAGCAAATTTAACGGCTTTTTGACAACCCAAGTGCATCATACGACGTGGAAGGTTTTGGTTAGGTATATAACACATAAGCGCGAGCAAAGATGTGCCGAAAAACTATCAACAGCACGGTTATAAATACAGACAGACCGTAAGATGAATGCAGCCAAATGGTGCAGATCTGAGAAATGCCAACAGGACAACCGCTCACAATTGGTCCGTATGGCAATGATGCAGGCATGCAGCATGTCTACACTGGCGCAGACGCCCCAAATGTGAACGTCTCTAGAAAAAGCGGCTCCAAATTTGACTTTTCAAGCGCCGCAGTCGTCCGTGATTGTTTCATATAAAATCCGTTATTTTCGAAAAATCGGGAAAATTCGTAGAATCCAGCTATCCAAAAAATCCGGTATTTTCGCCCCATCCGGAAATAGTACAGGGTATTTTCATGCGCGACGGACATGGTACCGTTGACGACCTTTAGTTTGGTTCGTCGCAGACCGCTGACCGAGACACGAATGCGGACGCGTCAATCGAGGCAGCACGGAAATCGGCACAAGTCACCGCCAAAACTGCATACGCCGGATACGCTGCCTCTATGGACAAGCTTTAGTTACTGATCGCTGTAACTTTGTCCCTATTTCAATCTGTGTAGCATTTTCCACCTGGTGTTATGCCACAGTTCTGTTGCTGGAGGAAATCGGTGACAAACTGTATGTTGGAGAAGACAAAAATTATTGACCAGTTATTGGTTTTTGAACGTTCCAGTTCTACAACCATTGCGCATCCATGCTAGGTCGCTAGCAGCCAGTTCGATGCGAAGGCGCGTACATACAGTAAGCAATCATTAATTAACAGATTTTTGTTTGCACAAGCACCTATAAAGCTCCCAACAAAAATCCACATAAACACTGAACATTCTGAATGGATAATAGTGAAATTCTCATGATTCCGCCGGTCAGCCACATTGTGAGATAACATTGTATACTACGAGAACATCAGCGGTAGTAAAACATATACTGTACATGCATGATTATAGAAAGCTGCTGTTTACAGAAAAGACATTGTTTATCCAGAAGCGGGATCGGATGCCGGTAAATCCAGCGTGCTGTAACTGCACCTCGTCGTTTCATTTGCCCTGACGTTGAGGATCATCTGAAAGGTCACCAGCAATCAAGCAGCTATAGCTCGGTCCGTATTTAATTACTACAACAAATTCTATCAACCAGTTCATTTATACGACAAGTATCGAATAAGCTCCTCCTACGACCAGGCAGTTGGTCTGCGGTTCCGAAAATTAGCTGCATAATAAATTCAGCATACAGAGCTTAAAAAATTACACAGCAGCATGCGCTTCGAGCCTAGAAGCGCTTCTACGCGCAGTACGCGTACAAAGCGCCGACTTTTCTCACCGTATCACCAGGTATTTTTATAAAGCATATAAACCTTTGTCGAGAAAGACACCGGGATACGGCAGGGCCGACAGCAGCGCGTCCCTCTGGGTCTCCAGTCGAGCCAGCCGGTTCTGCATCTGTGCATGCTGGTTGACTAGCCATCCGACGACGGTTACCAGCAGGATGAGCACGCATAACGCCAGGATAAGAGCGTACTCCACGGTGTGATAGGGATCGCAAGTATGCCGCTTAATGCAGGCAACACACTCGCTGCGGAGAGAGCTCTCCCCCGCTGCCGGCTGAGCTGCGGTGAAATTCACTGTACTTAGACGGTTTATACTGCTGTTTCGAAAGATAACCACGTTGGCTAATACATCTGCATTATTGGCCAAGCAAACGCTTCGTCGTTTATATAGTATAACTACATAACGGCTAGGTTATAAGGGGACTTTGTCATATCCACTGGTTTCCGTCGTTTTTACCGGGCTTTCTTGTCAGAATACACGGCAAAGTGGCTCTCCACGAATACCGCTGTCAGCGGAATAACAAGCATTTCCGGTTTCCCGTAGCATATGTACCACATTGGCCAGCAGGACCGGCATAGTGCGACAGGAGTATAAGACGGCTGAGCGAGCATAAAGGCAACAGCATGTCAGTTTCCGTGCATCGCACTTCAATATAACGTATTTTTCGCCGATCTACACTTGAGATGATTCACTGAATCTGCGGTGGATGTTAGTGCCCGGCTGGAAAAGCGAAGCGCCACTGCATCTCCGTCCAGGTACTGTATGTAACATTATGTGCAAGCAGTACAGTGTGCACGTGATCATGGCTGTTGTCAGTACCAGTATTTATATTTTGCAATCTCAGCATAGAAGCGATATTTTGCAACCTCAGGATAGAAGCGTGGAGCGCATTAGTTATAGCGTTGTAGTAATGCGCAGATTAAATAAGCGAAATGATGGGAACCGGTAGATTTCTAATAAGGACAAATACTAAATAGCTATGCAGTAACAGCAAAATCTCTGTGCGCGGGCATTTTCCAAGCAAGATGTTGTCTATGTTATGCTGTTACCAGCACAAGTATGTTCATGTAATGTACATGTAGATTGTACAATAAGTAAATACGGCACGTCGGCACGATAGTGGTCTGCGGTACACTACGCTGGCAGTAATTATGATTAGGTTAGATTATTGGCAGACCAGTGGTCACTGCCTCACTGGGATGATCATTAAAACAAGGTTTAAAAGAAAGCTCATTTAGCGCAATTTTTCCAACTGCTCAATTGTTGAGTTTTACCTTGCTGCATTGGTTTTCTGCAGAATTCTGAAATTCTGGCATAAAGTGATACAAAACAGCCAGAATCAGCCGATGCATCTTCCCAGCACAAGCTGTATATCTGTACAGAAAATGTGTTACCATGACAGAAACATTAGAATGCTCGTAGATGGCTTGTTTAGTGTGCCATATTACATGACCTCAATTAAATCGCGAACACGTCCGGCAGCCAAAACAGCGATGGGTCTTGTAGGCCCCCGGTGTGCTCTTCACCTTTGCGATGTTTATTGTTCTTCACTTTCCAAAGGGAAAGCGTTCAAATATTGAAGCGGTACCCCGTTACTACAAAACTGACGCTACTAATGTTATAAGTACACTTTCCATTTTCACTTGATCGAGAAGCAGTCAGCATACACCAATAGCGTCGATGTATGCTTATGCTTGTAAGTATTTATGCTTATGAGTTACTGCAAACCGACAACTGCAACCCGCCCGATAATTCACGCCAGCCAAAGGTCCAAACCAGCGCACCGGGACTGCTGCAGCTAGGCGTTCCCGCATCAATCAAGCCGGTCACAACAAAATACCATTGTATACCTACAATGCTTCCCTAGGGAACTTGTCTTTTATTAACTACCGTTAGCTTATAATGCTGTCCTAATTTTCCGTTACGCAGCTACCAGTTTTCTGGCAAAATGCTAAGCAATTGAAGTCATATCTGTGATGCCGGTACAAATAGGCTGTTTTATGCGTTTTTCGCTGGTGCTGACCATTCGAGTCATGCAGCTGCATAGCCTTCATCAAGACCTTTATTTTCCAGCTACGCCACATTTCTGTGAGATTTTTTGCAGCATCCTGTGAGAATGAAACTGTACGGTACCAACTGGCTCAGCAAACTGGCGACTATAGTTTGAAAACATCTACTTAAAGTGAGGAAAATCGGAGCAAAGTCGAAGTACTAATTGAGCGCAGCTCTGATCACACTATGCGCATTCGAGCGGTATAAACGCGGTTAACAATACCGGATACTGCGCGTATTAAGCAGCAAACTATAATGCTAAGATCAACACTTCCGGTGTAATAAAATTTATATGCGAGTGCACTGCACTGCGTACAGCGCTCGAGTAGTGCTTATGTTGTGCGGTTATTATGGTGCGCACACAAACACGATTTCATCGGCGAACCACGCTGGCTGGAAAACAGCATATCAGATAATTATGTTATGGTGTACGTTCACAGTCCGCCGCAATATAGCTATGTTAATGCGTTACAACGTATACGCATACTCGCGTCGCACAGGTGCACTTTGCCGTTTCACGATAAGAATGCCGAGAAATCACACAGCCGCCGGAAATAAGCGCCAGAGGCGACCGACTACATCCGCGACCAGCCAGTCGCGTTGCTTTCATCAAAGACGATCGCTTTTGGCCTTCTACGTTAATTTTGCAACCTGGAAATATATCTTGGGTAGTAAATTAAACAGCCATGTGTGTGCTATGTGGCATCCCGTCTCACGCTAACTGGGGTAATTAATTCTTCGTTGAATTGTATTTTACAAGAGCGATGGTGTCGTAGATACATATAAATACATGCATATCATGTATAACATACACATGTCCTGTATATAATATATATATGTCATTATTGTATGTATATGTATACTCGTACATATATATATGTCATATATACATGTACATTTTTTATATGCCAGCATTGCTCTTGTAAAACGTATGAAAAAGTATGTTATAATAATTATATGTTTACATAATGTGCATAAGGGAATTAACATATCGACGATCATATTCAACGCAATTTGCCGGTAACCGTTTTGTTGGTACTGCAGCATTGGGTAAAGAGCTATCGAGCCGGGCCATGAACTTCAGTTTGCCGTTTCCGGAAGACTGCAGCGTTCCCGACGGCGCCGAAGATATTGTCGACGGGACATGTATGTCGTGGGAGGACATTAGCCGGCTGTCGCTCATCATCCTAGTGCTGATGGTGCTGGTGGGACTGCGCGTCTACCAACTGCGGATGGAGCTCCGCCCGCAGCATCCGACCAACGCCGACGTGGATTGGCTGCGCGTAACGAACAAACCAGCAGTCTCCGGCAACGCCACGCCCTTCAAAGGTAAGACATTGCTGTAGAACAGCACTGGTCGCTGGCATCCGGAAGTGGCTACTGTCGAGAAATATGATCTATGTTGGCAACGCTAACGCGGTCGATCAGTGGAAGGTACCGTACGGCAGTCGTACGGCAATCCAGTACTTCGTGGTCTTTGCGTAAAAATAATAAAAAAATACCATGAAAAACGACTGAAATTAAGGCACCGTTGTTGAAAAGGTATAAGAGTACGATTGCATACACATAGCATAACTAATAGCGTTTTGACAATAACCGGAAACTACTTACAATGTAGCCCTTGGACACCCGGGCAAGTGAAGGCCGAAAGGGACTCGCTGGCTGATTAAACGACTGCACCAGTCTGCTGCCAGCATTGCGTGCCTACTGCCTACGATACACCGGCCGGCATTCCAGGCCTGGATGCGCTCAGCATATTGTGCCGGCTCTTCATACTCTTGCTTGTACGGCCCATGTTGCCGCAGACAGTGAAGTATTATAATAAATTTTTTTCCATTCTATAGTCAACAGCGGCAAAGTAGTCTAAGGGATGTGATTTCTGCTACGGGTACTCGTACAGGAGGTCCCGGGTGTAATTCCCGGGTGTCCCCTTTTTTGCCTTTTTTCTTACTATATGATTCATCACTGCTTGTCTGTTTGTTTTTTTATTTTATTGCTGCACCCCCCGAGTTCACTGTGAAGCGTTTTACTGCACGAATAAGTAATTATTTGTAGACAAGTCAAAATGACTGCACCGCCGTCTGCGTATACCGGCACAGACTAAAAATCAATAATATTAGTTGCGCGTACTAGCTGCAGTCTATACATTCCGCATTCCGCACAGCCACGGCACAGGACCGATACCTGTAGCGCCCGTCACCCACAGGATTTACATTATGTCAGAAAAATGCAGCTCGCCATGGAATTCCCAGTTCGTGGATTGTTTACTGCCAGTTTAACCGTCGGCAGGCGAACCGTGTTCCGCAGGCTGTAGCTGGCAGATATGGGTAGGCTTTTACCGGGTCGTTGCGGCCGCTGCTTGTCGCCCGGCCGGGCATCGCACACGCTACGCAGCCGATCGAAGCGTGCGTGTTGTTATTTCCGGTAAAGCGGGGTCTAATCTGTTGCACTACATATAGACTGGTTCGACAAACCAGCTTTAAAGCATGTCACATGAATGTACAGCGCGTTCATGCGCAGAAATGTTTTAATAATAATCGTGCCAGTCCGTTGCGCTATTTCTTTGCCGTTGAGTAGCTATAGTTTCTTCGGATACAATTATTCCCGTTATTTCTAACCGCGGTAGATGGAAAATGGCATTTGACTGCGTGCTGTGTTTCCTGTACAGGAACCATTCATACCACGCAGTCAAATGTCATTTTCAACATGCCAGCAGTGTCAACTTTCCACATGTCCGCCATGGATGGGATTGTAAGCAGGAACATGTCAGCAACACGGTGCTGCTTACGTTCCCGTGCATGGCGGCGGGATTTCCGCCATCCCATCCCGGATCCCTGATCCCGGCCGTAAGTACTCCGTAGTTTGAACCAGAATGAAAATCAATTTTTATTTTGGTATTTTATTGTAAGAGCAGTCAAATTTCAAATAGCCAGCCACTTCGTACACTACTTTTCTGGCAAATAATTGCCAACCGAAAGCGGATTTATTTAACTTATGGTCGTATCGGGCTCTTAAAGCCAGTGTGCGGGGATGCAGTTATTTTTTTACGTACTACATGAATTTTGATACTGACATGAATTTTGTCGTCGGATTAGTCTGAACAGCGTTGACAGCAGGAAGCCACGGTTGACTAAAAATTACGTACTTTCTAATGTTCCAAGTTTATTTTCAAAATTATTGAATTATTTTAGAATATAACCTTTAAATCCGAACGTAATTTCTTTATTACAGCTAAACTTTTTCTGTACTTTAGTTCGGAAATATTTTTATGCATACTGTGATTTTAGCTGCACGGTTAATACGAGTACCGGACGAAGCCTACGTAAACAACATCTGAATAAAAATCCTTTCCAATTAATATGATAAGGCAGCTAATTAAACAACAATCAGCAAATCTTTCATTAACTCGTTTCCAATTCTCCTAAATATTTTCTATTATTTTCTGGATTTCCTATGTGGCTCCATTTCCTTTTTTTAATTTTCAAATAAAGTTATTAAATAGTAACTGAATTTCAAATTTTCTTGTGTATTTTTAATAAATTCTGAATTTTTAATTAAATTTACGAATTTCCCCATTTCCTAAATAAACGTATTTCCTAATTATAAAATAGCTTTTATTTCGTAATTTCTTTAATTAAAATAATTTTTAAATTCTTAAATTTTTATATACAATTTTTAAATTTTTAAATTTTCTATCTCGATGTTATGTAACTTTCGACGGTTTATTTTCCCATTCAAAAGCTAACCTTGAACCTGTGTATTTTGGACTTACTTCTGGAATTACGTTTTAAATTATTAAAACTAAATCTCAGAGGCCGAAAGTGATTACCAAAATTTGAAATTTTCAAATTGTTGCATTCTGATTTTTAAATTGGCCCCCAAACGTCCAGAATAATTTCTCAGTTGGTTTTTAAATTATCCTCTTTTTAAATATTTATTTCCAGTTACTTTTCAAATTATCATCTAAGTTCTTTTGAAAAGATAAATGTATGTATCTGTAATTTTTAAATTTAACCGATTTTGCAGCTTTTTTTTCAGGTCAGTTGCGAAATTCAGTTATGAAATTACTAATTTTCGAGCACGTCATTATTTATTCTATAAACTTTTAACTCAGAATCTTTATTTCACCGGCTGGTTCCAAATCATCTGCAGAATTCCAACGCAATTACAGAATGTTTTTATTAATTATCGAATTATCGGCTGTGGAAATCAACCGCAGATTATCTTCCGAAATTATCTTGTTCTTAATATCATGATCACTTCCAAATTTCTCAGTATACCCTGGTAATTAAAAAAAATCTTGAAATACAGATACATGGTTTATGTAAGTTACCCAATAAATTCAGAAGAACGTTTCAATTTCCGATTTTTTAAAGACCGAAGTAAAGTCAGATACCACCTACCGGCAATTAATAATATTATCGTTCATTCGTTCATCTGTATCTGTACAAATTTTGCAATCCGGATATTCGAAATTGTTGTCATTTTCAGGACCGTTGATAATGCTTAAGGCAAACTGATATTAATATTATATTTTTAAATTTAAAATTGCTTTGGAAGGTTTATTTGAATTTCAATGTATATTTGAAGGATATTTTATTTAAAAATATAAAAAATAAAATTTACGAAAAAATAATAATCTGATGAATCTTTTAAAAATTTTGCACGTACAACACGGACATATGTACTGCCGGTACTTTAATCAATAGATGCTAGTAGCGAGTTTTAAAGATAACTCTGGAGAGCGCTACGCAGAGCTTATATATGCACTATTGCGTACGCATTCATGATGAATGCGTATTGCATATGTAGGATTAACCAGCATACATACACTGATACACATCATGACAACCAGGATACAGAGGTAATCCATGAGTTGGGTACCCAAATGGCAAATCGATAACCTCCGGTTAACCATACACAGGGTGTCATTACGCTCCGGCGGCGCCGGCATGTGTCAGATGTGTCTCAGTCGTCAGAGCCCTTCTTACCCGGCCTACATCAGCCATGCTCGCGTCCTGCAGCGGTTCCTATTTCCTGCTGCTGCCGCTCATCACGCGCACCTCCGAAGTCTTTGCGGCGACGGACCCTTCCCGTGTGGCCACATGATATGATTGTCAATATCATCCTTAATACTGACATTCACACCATGTGGCGCCACAAGAGGTTCATTATTAAAGCTCCCCCGGAGGCGCCGTACGGGCATTAATGTCCTACCAAGCCCCGCACCGTCCAACCGTTTCCACCACTCAACAGTCCTGGCCAGCTGTTTCGCTGCACGTGTGACAAGTGGGCCATCACGCGGGCCGATGCTGGATTCCAGGGTCTAGTTCCGGCCGCACCGGGAGATGGACGAAAATGCACGAGGTGACTCAGCAGCTGTCACTACATGCTGCTACCACAGTGCTTTGAGTCGGCGCTACGATCTCTCAGAAAGTGCTGTTGGATTGCCGCTTTTCTGTTGAGTACAGTAAGTAGCGGTAGCAATGGACCACTTGATTGTTTCTGTTCAGCTTTTTTCGCCCATAACATCTCCCGACGCAGCCATGATTGCCGCAGCAGTCATGCAGCGCCAAGAAGACTCTTTGATGGAATTGATTAAATTACGAATCTATGTACGGCGCGATGCGCACTCGCACAGGCGCCTGTATTAAAGTTTGTAAATCATGTCTAATTAGTGTATTAACGGTTAGTGTTAGTGATTGTGTAGTGTTAGTGTTTTAACGGTTACAGTGTTCCACGTCCCTTTATCATAGCCGTAATGTTAGCCTAATGTAGCCTGAGGTAAGCGCAAGGCCCAGCGATCAGCCGGCAATTGCTCTGCACAAGTGTGCTCACCGGATTCGGCGCTGTAGCACTGTAATTTTGGCACACCGACCATTCACTAACCACAATTCTGCTGACCGACGACTTGCTGGCGACTTTTCGCTGACTTGAGAAACCTAAGAAAGCTAAGAACCCTAAGAAACATACCAGAAAGAATAACAAGTTAAGAAAACTGAAAACCCACGTATCGAACCGGAAAGCAAGTTGTCGGTCAAGAAAAGCGGTTCGGCAAAACGTCGGTTAACAAAATTCAGCGGAAAACCGACTTGTCCGGTCAACAATTTGGCGGCCAGCGAATTGTAGATCGGCGAACTGGCGTATCACTCTCTAATTCCGCGCAGTTTGGTGTCTTTTTGTTCCTTTTGCGATGTTTAGAGGTTGTTTTCCCCAGCCGTTGTCTGTTCAGTCACAATGAGCATAAGTAAGTCCCCTATCGACGCTGGTGTCGCACCGGTAACTGTCATCAGCCAAAGACCGCATGTAAACCGAATAGCTTACCCACTACGACGCTCGATGGTACCTAGCGATATCCTTCTCAAATTGTTTTCCGCACAGTTGTCACAATCATAAACTCCGACACGTAACGCGAAGAACACTCTCATCAAAATAAAAAGTTAGTTTTCACTGCCACACTGTCGTTGCTTTACGTGCTTCCTGATTGCAGTGGCAATTAGTCCATCCGTGGGCGCCTGACCGTCCGAGCAGTTTAGGTGACGATGTTGTACGGTAATACGTATAATAATAATTTGTGTTTATGGTCCTTTGCTGCGAAGCGTTGTCTCCTTTCAAGTTAAGGCGAGAGGTACCCAACAGATGGTCCTCTTGCGCTAATTTTTTGTGTGCACGCGGTGGTAAATATACGATCAATTTAACTACTTATTGCCGTATCAGTATGCCACCAAGATGTTGTGCTATCATCTGATAATTTTTTATGATGTTTTGTAGGGTTATTAACTAAATAATGAGGGAATTAATTTTTAGCTTCGACCCCGGTGAAAATATTCAGTATTCATCCGGTTAGGACGATATGTCGCCTTAAAATAGATTTTGATGTCGACTATCCGTTGCTCGTATGGTTTTAAAAAATTCGAAAAAAAAACGCCGTAGCACTAGCAAAAACAAAATTTTAAACCAAAATCCCGGGCGAACCTGACGTCACATCGAGATGAAACTCGCGCTATCCGTTTTCTTGTGCTCTCTGGTTTTGTTTTCTTGTATTTCCTTACGTTTTATCACGTGTTTTGGGCATTCTCATGTTTTCTTATGTTTTCTTAGCTTTCTTCTGGTCTATCACGCTTGCTTACGCGTTCTTATGCGTTCTTATGTTTTCTTATGCTGGTTCTCGATTCATTTGGCAAGATTCGCTCTGATGACAAGCTCCTTTCTGGTTAACAGTTTCTATAATTGACTACTCCGTGTAGCTAAATGGATGGATCTTCGGATTTTGAAAGATAGCCTACATCGAGCGCGGTTTGGATTTTGGATGGGTGACCACTCTGAGTTCAGGCTGCGAGTGCATGGCCCGCAAGGCTGCGTGCGACGTGGTTAGTCGGCATCAGCGCTGACCGTACCGAGTGGCGTGTACGTTTCTTCGACGCCTGGGCTTAAACGGATCCTCCATGGTTCAACTCGCTCGTCGCATCAGGATAAAGCACCCGCGCTCCATTCCTCATTCAACTACGGATACGGCCGAACGATACGGATCTTGTTGTCTATAGCGTTTAGTCTGCGGAGCTGTGTTTTATCATATGCCTTCTGTAGCGGAGTTTGGTAATGAGCGGGTGTTGTGTTCGGCCAGGTTTAAATTCCCATGCTGTGTATGCAAAACACAGCAGGTTTAATGGGTTACCTGCTACCGAGATGAAACTATAAACTATAAACTACTGAAATTGCTCTGTAGGAAGCGACATTACGATTGCAAGAATAATAACTAGGAAAGTGCACTCGCTTCTGGTGGGCACTGCATGACCGAAACGTAGCAGGAATACGAATGCATCATGAATTTATTAGTTAACTGCTGGTGCCAGTAACTTAGAATGAATTTTTATCTACCGCAGCAAAACTTGTTAGCGTAACATAAATTTACTGCTTTCTGCCGCTGCAAAAACAACGAAGTCTATAAAGAGGACACCAGACTGATCAGTTCCGCCAGCAAAGCCGACACCGCACGTCCTCATCAGCTGCATGTGACTCCACCGGCCGGATGCTGTGTGGTATTCTTGGGAAGAACCCGCAGCGTCGTCGTGCTGACGATCCACTCGTGGATGTGCTGGTGCGGCCGGAACAAGCACTGCACACACCCTGCGTCAGTCAGGGCGACGGCCCGCAACAACAGTCGGGAGGGCAGCAGGATTCCTGGGCTGTTGTTGGCCGGTATAATATAGTACGGCTCCACGGCACGCGGTCCTTCGCCGGTGGGCTGCGGGAGGCCGTACGGCGCCTCCGCGGGACCCTGGACGATGCGGCCATGATGCACCCACATCAAATGCTCGGGCAAATACCAGAGGATCTTCTCCGGTACGGGCAGCCGGATACTGCACTGCAGCGTGACGGCCTCGCCCTCGGTGGCGGTCACATGCGGAGCGTCGGGCGCCGCGAAGACGTCGGTGCGGCGCGTGATGTCAGGCAGCAGCAGGAAGCGCTGTAGAATGCGCTGCCGGCTCGAGAAGGGGTACAGGACGCACAGGACGGAGCCGCTCGAGCCCAGCGTCACGTTGCGGACGACGAGGAAGAGGGTGTGGTTGACGCGGCGGAAGGCGTACTTCTGTCCCGTGGTGTCCTCTTCCGGCAAGGGAAACGGCGCACCGGCTTCGAAGACGGTCCAGTCCTGGTGCCGCCAGGAGACGTCGCGCCAGTCGGCATCGGCCGGCACGCTGCAGTTAAACGCTGCGTCCTCCCCGAGGCGCGGGCGGAGCACCACGCTGTCCGTCACGATGTCACTCGGCGCCAGTCCGTGCAGGACGATGCGGTCGTCCTGGCGGTGGTGCAGCATCGCCTCCGCCACCATGTCGTCCACTAAGCGGTGAACCAGGTTAAATACTTTTAATTATAAAGGGAAGTGGCCCGGTAGATGGTACCAAATTCGTGTACGTGCACAAAAACTTTTGCTTTCGCGCACTCCTAAACACTTTTTAGTTATTGGGTTTATGACATTCTGTAGCCAGAAGATTTGTATACACTGGCGAGAAAACCTTTTGTGCGCGTAACATCCGCTTCGGGAGTTATGGCTGTTAGAAAATTCCAAAAAGTTTAACTGCATTCAGATGTACCAAAAGTCTCATTATGGACCGATCTTTCTCAGATTTTGCACGTAAATGCACATAACCACGAAGAACGTTTTTATACCGATCCACTGTCCTAGCATGTTTTTCAAATTTTAAAATGGGTTTCGAAAATTTTAAAATTTGAAAACACTTATTGGAAGTCTGGATCGGTGCAAAGACAATCTTCATGTTCCTGTGCATTTACGTGCAAAATTTGAGGGAGATAGGTTAATGAGACTTTTGGTACACCTAAACGTTTGTACAGAGGGTGAGCCACCCACATTGGCACACTGCATAAACTGATTTTTTAAAACTTCCTTTCGTCTACAACAACTTTTTCAAAAACATTACCCGATAGCCTGGGGTATTTTGTGCTTGATAAATTTATCTGAGCTTAGTAAAGGATGTCTTTCAAAATCCAGGAAGAAAAACCTGGAGCGGGGTAGTAAAACAGTGCGTTTCAAAACTGGAATGCCTTTCGCAAAACAAATTCCTAAAAATCCCCCTTTACCGATCAGTACATACGAAATGCATTAAAAGGTTAAAGAATCAATGCTCTTTAAGACAAGTGTAATTCGGTTTTGATCAAAGCCATGGTTGAGTTTTCCTGGACGTCGGCTCCCAAAACTAACCGGAAGTCCGGAAAACATCTGCCATTCTCTAATAAATTGTCCATTCGTCCTCACTTTCATAGAATATCTTCTACAAGCCTGTCTAAATAAATATTTGTTTATATCAAAGCGAAATCGGCATCGGCGGATTTTTTGCCACGACTTTACCCCTGCAAAAGCCAACCGCTTCATTGAAAGTGTAAATCCCCAATTTTTTGATACTTTTGTTTTTTTCCCTCGAGATCCTGAAAAAGGTTTTCACACAACTTTATACTTTTTCATATAGCCCTTAAAATCTTCTAAATTTAGAAACTAAATAAGACCAAAAAAGTTCTTGCTTCATTTAATAATAATTTAAAAACAAAAATACAAAGTGAAACGTTTTGTCTGCGTTTTTTCGCCAGTCGAGGACACTTGTGGTCACTTTATGTCACGTGTGCGCAAAATCTTCATGGAAAATTAGTTGTTTTCCGTTCACAGAGAGCTAAGGGAAAAAACTGCATCAGCGGATTTAACAGGACTTGAGTCCAGAAGTCGCAAATAGTTTCCTACCAAAAGTGTGCCAATGTGGGTGGCTCACCCTCTGTAAACATTTTGTAATTTTCTAACAGCCATAACTCCCGAGCCGAGTCACACCGACAGTTTGCTGATCAGCATCCTGCTGATCGACAACTAGCTGACGATTTGCTGCTGATGGACAAAATGTTGACCCGGCCGTTGGTTGAAACTACTGTACAAAATGCTGAACGACGGTTTGCTGCATACCGACAATTGGCTGACGACATTTGGTTGACTTCAAATACCCAGAAAATGTAAGAATCCTAAGAACCCTAAGAAACCTAAAGAAAAGCCTAATAACTTGAGAAGACTCAACAACCAACGTATGGAAGCGAACACTAAGTCATCGACACACATTTTTCGGCAAAAGGTCGTACAGTGTACAAGAGTTTAGCAGGAAAGCTTATCTTTGTATTCATACAATCTTACCGTCCAAAACGTAATTAATTTTGTTTTTTATGGATTCGTCAACGCGTGGTCAGAGTAAGTCGAGCTTGGTCTTAAAAAAATTCATATTTTTCAGAGGGAATCATCCTGATTTTTGATTTTTTTTTAAAACGTTCTGGTTAGAAAATTTTTCAAAGGGTTCTTAAGTATAGGAAACGTAAGGACAGTAATCGTACTAAGAATAGTTAACGGGATGTAATTGTTTGCAGCATGCCAATTTTATTGACAACTTTGAAAATTTGTTGTGCGCCTTTGGTTCGTCTGTTCTCGAAGTGCAAAGATTCATTATAAATCTTATAAATTGCACTTTTTAACATATAAGTTTTTAAAATGAAGCCTAAAAGTGCAAACGGGATATAGAATTTTATGTTGTATGTGCCCCAAAAAAACTGCGCTGAAGCACCCAATGGGGCAACTTCAAGTTTGCTGTTTCTAAATATAACGTATAATTATTTTACATATTGGATTTATTTTGAAAAAGTCTTGTGTAAAAAACAGTAAAGATATAAATTTTTAAACATTAAACTAATTCCCCTAACTGAGAAAACCACTGATCGTTGGAATTCGAATGGCTCAATTCCAAAACCAAAAAAACCCAGTATGTAAAATAATTTTGTCTTTCCAAAGGTACCAAGAACAGCCAATTCCATTGCGGCAATGGATTATAAGGCGCGTAGAACTGTCCGAACTTTAATTCTAGTAAATATGGGTTTTTGTTTTTCGAAAATGGTCCTCTGCATCGGCGCAGAAAAGTAAACATACCACCACGCTACCTGCAGGCTGCATAAAGCGTTCATCAAATCGCAGTCTGCGCGCGGTAGCAGCGCAACGCAGACACGCAGCCCGCGTGCGGTTGTTTGCAGTTCGGTTTGAGAGGAGATGGCAGTTAAGTGAATCGAACGTACTGCTGGACCCGAGCGTCGTTTTAGACCCACGGTACCTTTTGATCTTTTACACAGTTGTGCTTTTATTTGGATCTTCGACTTTCGAAAAAACATCCATTTTAAAGAGCATTTTTTTCTACCTGGGAAACTGTAGCTATTGTAACTCCTCTGAAAATGAAGGCAAAACAATTACCTCGCCTTAATTAATTTTTACTACTTTGAAACACAGTGTGTGAAAAGTACATGTACAATTCTGTAACCATGGATGTACATGTTTGTAAGTACGAGTAAGTATTGTGCTTAAGTAAGACTTTTAAAGTACCCTTGGCGAACGATAGAACAGAAAAAAGAAAAATCAGAAAAATTGTAGAACAACTCATTTACCAGATTTCCAAGTTTTTGAGACAGGTCTAAACCTGGTGTGTCGAATTCCCGAAACTTGTTACCGAGTGGCTCTATAATTTTCTGATGGTGGAACTGGATTCTGAATCAGCGCACCTCATTTGACTAGAATCAGTGGTTGGAACCCGAAAAACAGCATTTCTCCCTGGGGCGCTATTGCGACCGCCGGAGGTGGCGGTACCGTGTGGAGCGCTGCACTCCTCAGAGGCGACATTTTATTTTTCAAGGTTTGATAATTTTTTTAGATCGCAAAAATTCGCTGATTCCGAATCTGCAATCGGTTTATTCAAAAAACCGATTGGCGTGTGGGGTGTTGTCTAAAAAGCCCCTGGGGCCCAAGGGTACTTTAAAGGTCGGTGTTTGTGATCATACCCAACGCCATGCCAGGTTTGATTTTCTCATTTTCTCAGTCTTTGCAGCGTTCGCCAAGGGTACTTTCAAGGTCAATCTTCATAAGCTTGCCCATCGACATGCCGGGTTTGATTTTCCTATATTCGCAGCCTTCGCACCGTTCGGCAAGGGTACTTCAAAGATCAGTGTTTGTGATCATACCCAACGACATGCCAAGTTTGATTTTCTCATTTAGTCTTCGCAGCGTTCGACAAGGGTACATTCAAGGTCAATCTTCATAAACTTGCCCATCGACAAGCCGTGTTTGATTTTCCAGTATTCGCATCCTTCGCACCGTTCGCCAAGGATACTTTAAATGTCAGTCTTTGTGAGCATGCCCAACGACATGCCGGGTTTGATTTTCCTATATGCGCAGCCTTCGCAGCGTTTGCCAGGGATAATTTAAAATTTAATCTTCGTAGGCATACCCAACGACATACCGGTGTTGATTTCCCTATATTCGCAGCCTTCGCAGCGTTCGCCAAGGATACTTTAAAAGTCACTCTTTGTTAGCATAGCCAACGACATGCTGTGTTTGATTTTCCCATATTCGCAGCCTTCGCACCGTTCGCAAAGGGTACTGTAAAGGTCAGCGTTTGTGACCATACCCAACGACATTCGAAGTTTGATTCTCTTATTTTCTCAGTCTTTGCAGCGTTCACCAAAGGTACTTTTAAGGTCAATCTTCGTAAGCTTACCTAACGACATGGAGGGTTGGATCTCATCTATATTCGCAGCCTTCGCAGCGTTCGCCAAGGATACTTTAAAAGTCAATATTTGTAAGCATACCCAACGACATGCCGTGTTTGATTTTCCCATTTTCGCAGTCTTCGCATGTTCGCCAAGGGTACTGTAAAGGCCAGTGTTTGTGGTCATACCCAACGACATGCCAAGTTTGATTATCTAATTACTTTCTCAGTCTTTGCAGCATTCGCCAAGGGTACTTTTAAGGTAGATCTTCATAAGATTACCCAACGACATGCCGGATTTGATTTCCCTATATTCCCAGCCTTCGCAGCGTTCGCCAAGGGTACTTTAAAGGTCAGTCTTCGTAAGCATACCCAACGACATGCCGGGTCTGATTTTCCTATATTCGCAGTATTCGCAGCGTTCGCCAAGGGTACTTTGTAGGTCAGAGTTTATGAACAAACCCAACGACATGCCGAGTTTGATTTTGCTATATTCGCTGCCTTCGCACCGTTCGCCGAGGGTACTTTAAAGGTCAGTCTTCGTAAGCATACCCAACGACATGCCGGGTCTGATTTTCCTATATTCGCAGTATTCGCAGCGTTCGCCAAGGGTACTTTGTAGGTCAGAGTTTATGAACAAACCCAACGACATGCCGAGTTTGATTTTGCTATATTCGCTGCCTTCGCACCGTTCGCCAAGGGTACTTTGTAGGTCAATCTTCATAAGCTTACCCAACGACACGATGGGTTTGATTTTCCCATATTCGCAGCCTTCGCACCGTTCGCCAAGGATACTTTAAAAGTCACTCTTTGTTAGCATAGCCAACGACATGCTGTGTTTGATTTTCCCATATTCGCAGCCTTCGCAGCGTTCGCCAACGTACTTTAAAGGTCAGAGTTTATGAACAAACCCAACGACATGCCGAGTTTGATTTTGCTATATTCGCTGCCTTCGCACCGTTCGCCGAGGGTACTTTAAAGGTCAGCCTTTGTAGGCATACCCAACGATATGCCGGATTTAATTTCCCATATTCGGAAACGTACTACTTGGAAACCTCACACTCGTAGCAGTAAATAAAAAACGTTTCTACACAGTAAGCAAGAGCATATAATATACCGACTTTACAACGATGAATTTTTGGATAAATAGATACTTGGTTTTTATGTGCAATATTGCGTTATACAAAAGTATAGTAGATGATAATAATTAAGTAAACAGTACATCACGAACGAAAAATTTGAGCAGTACTTCATCTATTGCGGTTACTTTCGAATCGATGACGTGAAACTGTATCCCAGAATACTATACGCAAGCAACCAGCATTAAGGGATTTGGCCCGGTACATAGTACGAAATTCGGATACATCCACGGCAACTTTCGCTGTCGCGCACTCCTAAACACTTTTTTGCATTGCTTTATGCCATTTTGTAGCCAAAGGATTTGTATACGTAGGCGTGAAATCCGTTTGCGCGTGCAACATCCGGTTCGTAATTATTAATGAAATAAAATTCCAAAAATTTAAACGCGCGGAGGTGTACCAAAAGTCTCATTATGAACCGATGCTCTTCAAATTACGCGCGCAATGTTGCGCGCGCAAACGGATTAAACGCCTGCGTATACAAATTCTTTGGCTACAAAATGGCATAAAGCAATGCAAAAAAGTGTTTAGGAGTGCGCGACAGCGAAAGTTGCCGTGGATGTATACGAACTAGGGGCTATGTACCGGGCCAAATCCCTTAAGCAATAAACGGGAAGGTAAATAGTACGTACATGAGGAATTTAAAGAACCACGCAATGTGCATAGTGAAAATCATCTCAATTGTGATTGGTCCCTGAAGTAGGTGGTCACAAATGAACCGGCCCCGCCGATCTGGGCACAGCTGTTTATGGCATTCGTAGTCATGGATAAAACAGTATTAGAGTACGGTATATCAGTAATGCTGCCTTCTATTGCTAATTGAGTTTTCATTAAGTTGAACGTATTTAAGTACCAGAATTGAACAGTTATTGTATCCTGGATACGTTGTAATCTTGTAACCTTAACATGAACTTGGCGAACCTGGCGAATACGCGCGAATGCTAAAAATGTAGGTGGGATCTTAATATTATATAGAAGTGATAACAACGTACGCACTAAAACTACCAAGTACTGCACCAAGTAATAATTTAAGAGCGTATACCAAAATCTAAGTATCAGCACCAATCAGCAATGATTTTTAAAATAATTTAAGTAGAAAATTGTTACCAGGAAAGCGAAAAAAATACAAAATTGAACGAGTATACAAACTGTAATCTAACCGTAAATCTGAGCCCCACTGCATGTGCACTTTTACGCTACGTACACGTACTATCGTACGGTGATCGTATAAATGAATATTATTGGTAAATAACAATTAGTTATATGAATACTGATTATCTGTGCCAGGACTTCGGCCCCTGTCCTTTGAGGCAAAGGATCTCGGCTTCTACTTCACCAATTTTGTTGCTTTAAAGTACATCAAAATTCTCTAGGTGTAGCGGTGGATCCAAAATTGTTGACTTTTTGCCAAAATCATTTGTCTAGGTCCAGTGGTCAATCATAAGCTTGTTACCATGGACGCGATAAGAAATGCACACTGTTCTAACACAACTTTACCTAGAACAGTAGAAATATATCTGAGCTGCTACTTAACAATAATTAAGTGCGAGTACAGTACAAAGTAAAAAATTCATGTAACTTAACACGTTAGTCATAATCACGTTAGTCATCATTGCAAATCATGTACTTTATGTACAAGTAAACAGTCCGTGTTTGATTAAAATATGTAAAGTGTATCATAATGTTACTAAACATACGTACGGGTTTATTAATATTATTATTATGACAGTCTGTAAGCGACCGCAAAGCAACACATCCTTGGAATTGCTTATTTTTTAATAGTCATCGGCCAATATTCATCCGTGCTGGGCTTGTAAAAGAATTCATTTGTACGACCAAAGCGCATGAGCGGTATAAATATGAGCAACCACCAAAACTCTCAATGTCGTACGTAACCTACAATGCTGGGGTTTGCCATCGGCGTCATTACATTGATTACAATAATGTGTCCAGCCGACTGCAGTACTCGTACAGATACAAGTATATAATATTGGTACTAAATATATCCCACATAGTTTTCCCATATTCGCAGCGTTCGCAGTGTTCGCCAAGGGCACAACAGGGGTCAGCTGCATTGCATCACAAATTCAGTATGATTAATATTGCATAATATTCAAATTCAATTCGACTAATTAATCATAGCAATACACATTTTTGTGTATTAAAAGTGGCAGTGGTGTGGCTACGCAAAAATACGTACGCTTGGCCATAGGGGTTACTGATCTCATATGGAGCCGAAAAGCGAATTGTACAACTTGTCGGTCAACGAGTTGTGTCATTCAGCAATATGTCGGTCAGCAGTCAGCCTAATTGTCGGTCGGTGAATTGACGTGCAACCACAACACGTTTCTATTTTAAAATCGGCATTCCCAAGGCCTCAAGGAGCTGTCTCGCAGCGCACGACCACTACTGGTGCAACGACAAGCCGACGCCTGTGCTTTTTTTTTAAAAACATCACTTTTTTAAAGTTGTACAGTGGATTTTACAGTTTCTCATGATCATTTTACAATTTCAACTCGCCAAAATCTTGCTGTGGTCTGGAAACACGCATAATGCGTGATAATTCGGAGCACAGTTAGGACATTGGGCCCATAAATGAGGCTGTGGTGCAGCGCGGTTTGTTGGCCTGCCTTAACACAACGGCTGGGGTACGTACTACGTACGAGTTGCCGAATGTCCCCACCAACTGCTATACTTTTACTCACATTCGTCGGTCGAGCTGAACATGAACTTTTCAGATTTAAATAAATTTTATATGGATAAATTGATCGAACGGCGATCAGTTTCACGGCGATTTTTCCGAGTTTATTTTTTAATTTATCAAGTTATTTCCGAATTTACTTTAATTTTCAAAATCGAACAGTTAATTTAAGTAATCGACCCTCCGAGTCTGCGGCAGGTTGGTAGAAATTAAGCAGATATACCAAAAGTCAACAAACAGAGTGGCTGAGGCAATTTGTGGATACGATCGCACGCATCGCATTTTGAATAATTAATAATTAACAATTAATTAAAAAATAATTATTATTAATGATAGTCGATCGATATTATTATCGCACTACAGTAGCCAATTCCTTTATTCATCCAGACATATTATTATCACGCATTCAGGCTACTGGAAATTAATGCTGCGTTTTGGGGAAATGTTATACCTTTTTTGTAGTCTGATTTTATGATAAAATTTAAAGATGATAATGATAAAGATTTTCCCTCAATCTAAAATTCCCAGAAAAGTTCCCTTTTTTCCGAGCTCGGAATTCTGAGAGAAAGAGCTGCGTTGCGCTCGCCACGCCAAGCGGCGGCGGCGTTTTCCTGCGAAATAAACCAGAATTTCCATGACAAAATAATAAATAATTTTTCGATCATTATTATTTTCGACATACCGGCCTGGTAATACGGTAATTGTAAAAATTAGAAATCTCGAATTGGACAACTAAATTAACACGACGACAAATGCGTAGGGCTGTATTTTCGCCTGAAACCCGGCGCAGTTGCGCAATCGGAGAGCCTGTTTTCAGGGAACGTGTTCCGAGCAGAACAACGATCCCACAGCTCGCCGCAACCCAGGAGAAAGCCTATTTTCCCTGTGGATAATGGCGCAGTACTCACGGTTAACGGCCGTCGGCTGGTGAAGGGAACATCCGTTGGAGCAGTGAAGCTGCAGCAGAAGAAGAAGCGTCAACCAGCCGAGGCGTCTTGGTGATAGACAAATAGTGCCCCTTTCCCAGCACGGAAACATCGTAGCGGCGGCCGACTGAATGACGCTACTTGGATGATAATGATTAGGTTCCAATAAAACAGCAGAGAGACTAAACTACAGTAAATAAAGGCTCAATAATTAAATTAGAATATTCAGCTTGTTTTCAGCAGTTGACAAGCCCAAAACAAGCATATGTGGGTTTATCAGGCGTGCAGCTGGTGGAAATTGCATGCGCAAGAAGAAAGGTCCCGTGGCGCAGTGAGCCGACCACCTGGGCGGCCGTCCCATCCGCAAAAGCCTGCAGACGGCCCACCACCCACCTGTGAGCAAAGGAGCGGCTCACGTACAGCGATAAAGTCTTTCAAAGGATTTCAACGTATTGCGCCGTGGTGCAGTGGTGCTGCCTAGTCCTGCGCGGATATAACGACGTAGCCGGGCTTCGATTCCCCCATCGGTGCCTTATTCCGTCGTTTCTCGGTTTGCAGCGGATAGCGCCCTCGCCGGCGCCCTGGTTTTACACCGTACATGGCGCTGCACGATGATCAAGTAATAATTCTGACACTCGCTAGAAAAAAATACAGAGACAATTTTTTCTGTAACCAGATGATGATGATTCGCCGGATGACAAACATTCCACCATCCAACATTGTCCATCCAGGTTCGCGAAGCCGTTGTTTCACCCCAAAATACCCACATAAGAAGATTCTCAACGACATCGCCATGTCCTGCGCATAGCGGCTACTGCTTCCGTGATCACCGCAAAAATTCCACCGGCCAACGGGGCCGCCTCCGGGTACGTTACTGCACACCGCCGGCTGGGGGGGGCGGACGCAGGAAGGAGAAGTTGGTGCGGCATCGGTGCAGCTCCTAATGACCACCATGAATGTAGTGGATGGCGAGAGTTGTCGTCATTCCCTCAAGACAGAAGTCATATGCCTCCCAGCCAGATCTGTACCGAGAACCAGGCGTATTGGACGTGCAATGTACGCTTCATCTCCTGCCAGTTTGTAACGGCGGCGTACCCAATGTTTTTATTTATTTCATTCAATGAATCGAACGATTAGAAATTATTGGCCTATTTCAGATTGCACTTCTGTGTTCCCTCGGCTCCGGTATCATGTGGAACCTTCGGTTCCGGGTTGTTTTACGTCCATTCGCGACGTTAGCAGCTGTAACCTAGCGTCGTGCGGTGACGCGTAAAAACTAGCTGTCTTACGTGGATGCTTGCAACGGCTCAGACTCATGAGTGAATGACAGGCCAGCGTATGCTGCTTATGGATCTTTTTTGAGCACTCAGACCGTCGACCGTTAGCAGGGTGGTCACGCTCTCGCGCGCATTCGACTCGATTAATTTTTTCGTTACTGTGCGCGGCCAAAGTGTAACCGCACAATGATCCGAACCAGTTTTCATCCTGCCAACGTACTGCTTATCTGGCGCCGTTCTATTCTATATAAGGTGCCTCTACCGTGTGCAATCTGAAATTCGTTTTCGTAATACTTGAGTTTGTGATTGGGCGACAGCGGCGGTCCATTGGTCAATCGGCGGAGTGATGGGGATTATTTCTATCCGGATGGTGTAAGCGCAGATTCGATCTTCTAAGACTCTAGAGTATCGCAGGGATCATAGGGATCACAGGGCGCGAACGAATACTGGTATCGAATCGTTCTATGGTGTTGTGCTCCCTAAATTCATGTTGATTTGCTCCCGGCACTGGTCCATGTCCAATTTTTACGCAAAGACACATGCAACTAAATTTACTCGTCTGCAGCACACCAACATACACTGTATGGGACGATATACACGCTTGTACTTTTCGAAGATTGACAACCAGACAGTGATTTTACGAATCTAACTTGGAAAAAAAGCATGTGCGTTTCGTAATTAGTTCCTCTTGGCTGTGGACTATAAATCTTTTCGCGGCGCAACAAAACTCGATGAATTTATGGGATGTATAGAACGCGTATATTTTTTTGGCTCCCTTTCCTTGGCTAGCCGCAAGACTAATTCACATCACTCTTAGGCAACGCTTCTGCCTATTCCCTGACACCCTTCGCACCCGTTTACGTAGAAAATCGAGCAGGATCGGCGACGTTTTCCGTAACAGAATCTGTAGTGGAAGCTCACTCGCCGGCTGCAGTATATGACGCCATTTTTTACTTCCTATTTTTGAATTTTCTCTTTATTTATGACGTCGTTCCTACTTCCTTCTATGACGTCATTTACGACTTTCGTAACAGACAAGACAGAAAGCTTTTAATTTTGCTTGACATACAGTGAAAAGACCTTCGCTGCTGTCCGTTATATTTAAACAGCCTTCGAGAACTAAAACACCTAATTACGCTAAGACGTTTGGCAGAGCACTAGCAGGACTTTGTCACGGGTCTGACATCGCTACCGTTTGTCGACGGTTTTTCGGCGACGAAATGGCCAGCCATCATTTTCTGCACTGCCTAAATCCGCTGCAACGAGCGGGCTTGCCCGCAGGAACGAACTTCACCACTGGGCCTTGTTCGGCTTGTTGCTGCATTTGGCTGGCGTCTTCCACCGAGGTAAACAAAAATTCAGTTGAAGCTATGGGTACCGTGGGTTTCGTGGAACTGGTAGAGTCAAAAGCATCAGGTTTTTCGGGGTCCGATGGGACTGCACTCGGTCTGGTCTCTCTGCTCTCCGTCGTCACGGAGAACGACGATGGTGCGGGAGTGTTGTTGATAGATTCGACGGTTGTAGTCGCGGCGGAAGCTGCAACGGCGAAGAGTCAGATTTATGCAGTGTCGTTTGCGATGTGTTAAATTGAAGAATTGTTATTACTGTACACGCATGTACTGTACAATGGGCGACAAAATTTACTTTACGCCGGACCGCTATCCGCTGTCGGCCTACAGCGCATACGATGAACGAGCGCCGCATATCCGTCGCTATAGCCGCCTATCTGAGCCGTAAGCGCGGCAATCGTGTTCTCTCTGTTCTCTGTCTAAAGCTAAAGCCGCAAAACCGGTTCCGAGGTTAAGTAAATTTTGTCGTCCAATTTTATTTGACCGACATACCAAAAGTCGTGGGTGCCGTCGTATCGGAAGCCGGACATTGGCCCTGTGTGTACACTGCCTGCCTGCTGGTGGGCACGTTACACTGGAAACGCTTGTAAATCCTGGCTACATCCAGCGGACTCAGATTCTCATTTTGTCCCATCTTTGATCCCTTGACTTTTGGTAGGAGAGTAGGGAAGTTGGAATCGATAGCGAAGGCTTTCTCTCATAATGCAGAACCGACTGGTAATCGTAGGAAAGACCGTATGTTACTCCGGTGCGCTTCGCAAATTGCGCTTTGTCCGCTACAAAGAGTGCCACCGCGCAACTAGCTTCTGGATGTACATATTGCAACAGCAGCCGGTTAAACTGCTGTTCTAGTGGGATGGTTAATCCACCGTACCACGATGTAACGGCTGTTAAGGCTAACTGACAATCAAAAGGCTGGCACGGTCAGCAGCGATGCTGACCGGAAGCAAGGTGGCAATTACACAACTACTGTGTGGGAGATGAGACGATTCATCTCGAAGTGTTTACAAACAACAACGCAAGACATGGCAGTCACGGCAAGATTCTTATTAGCAAGTACACAGGGCAAGAAGGCAAAAAGCAAGGTTAGCTAGCTGGCAAGAAGCAAATCCAAGAATGATTCTAGTGCGCAAAAGTAAAAGTTAAGAGCATCGAGATTGTAGCGGTAAAGCGGTAAGACAATGAGATGCTGATTCACATGATCTTAATAAGGAAGACAAGGAACGAATGAACCAATAACTGATGTAGAAAAGCAATTAACAATCCAAACTGGCGGTACTAAGATTTTCTATCGTTACATCCCGGACGGTAGCGATGAGATATACGTGTCTCATCAAGAAAGTAAAAACGAAAAAAAAATCAGAGAATAACGCTGAGGCTAATACTGTACGGCGTGGTGGATCCCAAGTTTAATCTTCCACGCGAAGGTTAATTTTCAAGCAGACGATCGGGATTCTGCGATCGTTTTCCGGAATGATGCTCAGTGGGTGCGCCGGTCGGAATCGCGCATACGGTTCATTCGCTGACGGAGCTGATCCAATTCCTGTCGTAGGTCATAGATTTCTTTATCTTTGTCCCGGACGGTAGGTGAATGATACTGGTTAATTTCTTCGTCGGTATATCCTTCAACGCCAAATGCTGTCATAATTGAAGCAACATCGCGGTTAATATGCTTTCCAACGGCAACTTCGGGTAATTCCACAAACGGCAACGTCTGGTCTCCGTTGTCTCCAATTGCGTAGAACAGCTGGTCATCTTCGAGTAACTGTGCTCTAATCTTTGCGGCACGGCTTTCGGCGGTGTAGCTGCCGTCCCATTTTATCTGACCACGGTAAAAGGGAAAGTCGGTGGTGAAGAAGCGGTACGGGTTGAAGTAGCGCGGGTATTGTTCAACTTGCTCGAATCCATGACGTTGTGGGGTTTTAATGTAGCGGTATACGAATCCACATCGGTGTTCGTATCGCCATGTTCCGTCGTCTCCGGGATAGCGGATCCACGGTGATAGCGCAAATCTGTCAAAACGCCAGGACTGAAAATAATGTGGACTTAACACGCTGCTCATGGGAACAGGAAAGGAGGAGAATTTGTCTTCATCGGCATGGTCAACATTGAGGCGAAGGCGCTCTAGGAAGGTGTATGTGTTGCATAACACCTGGTTCTGTGCGATTTTAATGTCACGTTCATACGGATCTGCTGTGTCTTTGATGATGTCCGATCCATTCTCAATGGCTGTATTGATGTTTTCCATATGTGCGCGGTAGTCATGATGCGGAGTTTTAATTTTGAATCCAATGAAAGGATTTCTGCCTTGTCGTCGAACGTGGTGAGCTTCTTGGCGCGGTCCAGGGTTAACATACTGGATCTGGTCATCTGGGGGATCTTGTGGGCTTTGTTCGCGCTGTCGGCGTTGTCGAGGCATAGCGTTCTGATAATTTCCGCGACTTCCTCTTCGTGATCCACGGCCACGGTAGCCGGTATACTGAAGGCTCTGACCGGTGTACTGTAGTTCATCTGCATCTTCAGGTGTGTCCAGGAGCGGTGCACGCGGCGTCGCCAATTGAATGTCTGCCGGTTTACGTAGAGCGGCAGCATAGTCGGGCTGCACGATAATCTTGTCCGATGGTGCTGCGCTGTTTGTCGGGGCGGGTTGCTGCTGCGGACGGCTGCTGTCAGCTTGCGATGCGTTAATATCTTCCATGGGAATGTCCATTTCTGCAGTCGCATCTACAATGCGGTTAATATAGTAAATCTGCAGTGTACAGAGGCAAGCGCATCCAACGAGTATAATTTATTTGTACACTTTTGACGTAAGCAGATTACTTTGCGCTAGCATGCGCTAGATTACTAAGCGCTAGTTGCATCTAAAATGCGGTTAATGTTAAATCTGCAAGTGTACATAGGGCTAGCGCGTCCAACGAGCATAATGTATTTGTACACTTTTAACGTGAGCAGATTACTTAGCGCTAGCGTTATGAGTGTGCCGGGATCTTAATTTTTGGACGTAGTCGTTTCGACTATTCTGTACATCAGCGTCGTACTGTCTATAAGATTTTAATTTTGAAATGTGTACTGTATCCGTTGATCTTCGCTTTGACGTTGGGTGATCGTATTTAATCTGCACATTGCCGTTCTCTAATATTTGTGTGATAATGTACGGCCCTTTAAATTTATTCGTTAATTTCTCAGTACGACCAACTACTCGTACTTCATCTTTGATATACACCGAGCCAACTTTAAAGGTAATATCCACTTTCTTGTGGTCATAATTTTGGCTGTTCTTCTCATGAGTAATATCCGTTAATATTTTCGAGAATTCCAAAGCGTGTTGCCATTTTTGACGCATATCCTCTTTGTACTGTTTAATAGTAATTTCGGTAGAGGTTGCTGATGTAAAATTTTGATATACAGTATCAATTGGTAATCTCGATTCAACACCAAAGAGTAGATAATGTGGAGTTTGCTGCGTAGTTGAATGTTTAGTATTGTTGTACGCATAGGTAATATACGGTAGATAATGTGCCCAATTGTTCTGTTCGGCATTAATATACATAGTTAGTTTTTCTGCTAAGAATCTCATAAAACGCTCAGCTAAGGTATTGGACTGCGGGTGAAATGCAGTAGTGTACTGGTGGTCAATCTGCATAATTTCGTTAATTTTCCGGTTAATATTACTGGTGTATGCAACTCCTCGATCTGAAGTGATATGCAGCGGTGGCCCGTAAGGTAATATAATGTTGTTAACTAAAAATTGGGCGGTTTCGTCTTTACCGGTTGACTGTACGGTTTTTGTGACTACGAAACGTGATACGTTTTCCACTGCTACTATAATGTACTTGTAACCTTCGGGCGATGCGTGGAACGGACCTACGTGGTCGAACGACCAAGACTCTAAAAGTCCGAACTGCTTAATTTGTTGCAAATAACCACTGGGTGGAATGTTTATGCTGTGTCGCTGTTGGCACGCTGTGCACGCATCACAATAATTTTTCACGTAGTGCAACATACGGGGCCAGTAAAAACGGGATGACAGTGTATTCCATGTGCGGGCAAACCCTACATGTGCGGAAACCGGGGAGTCATGGCACTCATACAGTATCTCTGCACGCATACTGTTAGGGATACAAATCAAAAAATGCTGTCGCCCTTTGCGATATCTTAGCTTGTGCAACACACCGTGTACTATGCGGAAGTTGTCAGCTAATTTCTGCATACGCTTCGGAGCTTGACTGTACTCTGTAGTATCTGAAAGTAATGTTTTAATTTTTGAGATAAAATCGTCGGCTGATTGTTCTGACACTAATCGAGCGTGCGCCGGTTCTGACCATGTACTGTACAATGGAATGTCACAATCGTAGGTATCATCTGCTGGTTCGTGGGGATTGCGGCTAAGCAGGTCGGCGTCTTGGTGGAGACGTCCTTTACGATACTGTATCTTAAAATCATATTCTTGTAGAAGTAGTGACCATCTATTTAACCTTCCTTGAGGTTCTTTTAGGTTGAGCAAGTACTGTAGATCTGAATGGTCTGATATTACTACGAAGTGTTTGCCTGCTAAATAATGTTTGAATTTTTTAATGGCAAAAACAATGGCATATAATTCTTTTTCAGAAACTGGATAATTTGCTTGATGTTTATCTAGCATTTTAGACGCATAGGCGACGGTGTGCCAACCGTCTGGATGTTCCTGTTCTAATATAGCACCGACTCCGACGCCGGAGGCGTCCGTTTTGATTTGTGTATTTAATTTGTGGTCGAACGGCTTCAAAACTGGAGCACGGCTCAAACATTCTTTTAACTGGTCAAAAGCTTGTTGTTCTTTTGGTGTCCATATGAAAGAAACATTTTTCCGTGTAAGATGTAGAAGCGGTGCGGATAATGTAGAGAAATTGTCAATGAATTGACGATAGTAACTCAGTGCACCTATAAACGATTTAATCTCTTTCGGTGTTTTTGGTGTTTGAAATGCGGAAATAGCGCTGATTTTAGCTGGATCCGGTTGTATGCCGGTGCTACTGATAATATGCCCTAAGAACTTAATCTGTGGGAAACCGATCTCACATTTTGTAGGGGAGATTGTGAAACCTGCTGTGCTTACAGCGTCTAATACTTTTTCTAACAACTTGCAATGTTCGGTAAAAGTTGCTCCGCCTACTAAAACATCATCTATGTAACAGATGACTCCGTGCCATTTTAAATGGCTTAATATGGAGTCCATAGCTCTTTGGAATGTGGCGGGACCACCGCACAATCCAAAGGGCATTCTTAAAAACTCAAATTGACCGTCCATGGTCACAAAAGATGTTTTCGGTATGTCTTTCGGAGCCATTCTGATTTGCCAAAAACCCCATTAAAATCAAGACTTGAAAAATATTTAGAATTTCCAAAACATGATATTGCGTCATCAATTCTTGGAAGGGGCCATAAAGGTCTGCTAGTCACAGCATTTAAACCTCGCAAGTCACAACAGAATCTGGGCGGCTTCGTCGACCCTTTACGTTTTACAAGTAACACTGGGCATGCCCAAGGAGATGTGGATGGGCGAATGACGTTTTGATCTAACATTTCCTGTACTTGCGAATTGATTTGTATTCTTTGTGCATAGGACACGCGGTAAGGAAGTTTTTTCACTGGCTGATTTCTTCCTGTGTCGATCTCGTGCATAATGTTGCCACAATCACCGAGCGGCCTGTCCTTACAAGGAAACACTTTTTGATATTTCACAAATAATCTGACTAATATATTTCGCTCTTCCGTAGATAATCCTGAATGAAACTTCATTGTTTTAATGTGTTGCATCAACTCATCTTTATCTATGCCGGGAATATCTGACGATTCTAATTTTGTTATCGGCACTTCTGCTACTGCATCTACGGGTTCCATATGACCAATAAGTACACCTCGTTTGAGTTTAATATCTTTATCAGAAAAGTTAGTTATTAGTATGTTAATTTTTCCGTTCTCTGAGCGTACTACACTATTTGGAACTGCTACAAGATGACTATGTAATAGTAATTTGTTTCCCAATACGAGTACGTCTCCGTTGTAAATGTTAGGCGCTGAAAGTGTCAATATCATGCCGTGCTTTGCTGGCAACACTGTGGTAGATGCTAGTTTTATGCCGGCTCGATCCCATGTGATGTCATTCACTGGTTCTGGTGAGCAAAGCATTTCCGTGTCCAGCGGTGGCGGCCATGGTGGCACGCGAGGCAGTGCCGGTGAGTCTGACCTTTTGTGTGCGCCGGTGTGCGAGTCCGTCACAGTAGACTGCAGCGGAGCTGCATGCGACTGCGCGAACTGAGTGGTGCAAACCGCCTCCTCAGCCAACGAGCTTGAAGGAGGGTTAGGTTGCACTGGGGGCATGATGTGCGCCGGTGGCACGACAAGAGTGAGTGCCATGGGCAATGGGGAAGCGACGTGCGCCGGTGACGGCGTGGGAGAGTCTGTACTGTGTACTGTACTCGTATTATCGTCATGTTCCTCCGCAAATAACGATAATGGTGTATTGGTTGCGGTAGACATATTCGATACACATACTTCACAAGGTACTGTATGCACGACTGATTCGCTAATAATGTTTTCGGCATCGTTTTCTTTAATAGAATTAATGTGCAAGCGGTGACGGTGTGCTTTCTTGAGGTGCTGGTGATATTGTTGTACGAAGTTTGTACGCGGTATGAAAGTGTCAGCGAACATCATGTCCTGTACATCGGAAAGTACACGTTTTCGACTGAGTAATTTGTTGACCTTTTGTTTTGTATCTTCGGCTCCGAAGTATAATTTTCCGGTGTAACTGTTTATCCACAGATTGTGCTCTTTAAGGAAATCGTTACCGAGAATAATGTTCTCGTATGGCAAGTCACAAACTATGAATATATAATGTTGCAGTGTACGATGTTCGAATGTAATAGTAATTTCACTGAAGTACGTGTTCTTAGCTTGGAACTTTTCAGAAACGGTAGCAAATCGTAATTTAGGAGCATCGTTATGAAAAGGCCGAAAATCTAAATTGAGCTGCACTGCTAAAACTTCCGATATTATGCTGCAACCTGCACCTGTGTCTATTAGAACAGGTAATTTTTTATTATTAATGTTTAGTTCGACGTAGACGGGGCTTACTGTCTGTGGCATGCTGAAGTTCGCATAAGGGCTTGACTGACTAGGTAATATCTTTATTGAATCTTTATGCATTTGGACATTGTATGTATTAATTTCGGATTCCTTAAGTACAAACGGAGGATCATATTGGCGACCATACGGACCTCCTTTACCGTAAGGTCTCATTCTTTTCCCTCGTCAGTACGCCAGTACGCGTTACCTTTTTTCGCAAGATTGTACTTTATGTAATCGTCGTACTTCTCTTGTACTCGTGCTTTAATGTCTGCTGGGCACACTCGTGCGACTTTATACCGATCATCAGGATGCGAATCCTCACACTCCTTGTAAGAATGGGTAAAATCTACACACCGTGGACAAAATAATTTCCCATTCTGAAGCCGGTAGCTGTCGAAGTCTATGTACTTTCTATCTATCCGTTTGTAATCCTGACCTGAGCTGCGTTTACTATCATCTCGTGAACGGCTGCGGTCTGAGCGGTCTTTTGACCGGAAGCGGTCACTGCGATCAGTCGAGCTAAAGCGGCCGCTGCGTTCTTGCGCGCGCTGCGCCGGTGACCGGTAACGATCTGGCTTGGACTGTCTACGGAATTTGCTAGACTGCGACTGATTGCGGTAGTCTGCGCTGGTATACCGATTGCGGCTGCGAGATCGATCTTGATAATATCGGTCTTTACGGTACTCATCACGGCTGCGTGATCTATCTGTGCGCTGGTAGCTATTTGAGCGGTCACGCGACGGGCGAAATTTATTTTCGGTAATATAGTTAACCTCAATGGGGTTTGTCTCCGTACCTGCGGCCGGACGATCCGCAATTGTTAATCTGGTCAAAATCGAGCGGAACTCACTGACTGTATGTGTTTTTGATGTTGCCAAAAATCTTTTGTACTCTGGCAAGTCAGCTATTGCACGCTGAATTTCAGCTACTTTGTATGTTTCAGGCATTAGCGGATCTATCTGCTGAAATAACAGTTCCATTTCATCAAGAAACGCATTAATATCTGCACCTTTCTTATAAACCTTTTTTGACAATTCCATTCTCTTAGTCAACTCATAATCTTCAGGTAAAAATCGCTTAGTAAACTGTGCTTTCCATTCATCGTATGGTAAATGTGAGTTTTTCTGCCATAACGACTCAAACAAACGTCTAGGCATATCGCCTAAGTAGTTCGGTAGCATCTGTAATTTTCTACCTGCGTCCCAGTTAAGTGCTGCAGCGGCACGCTCAAACTGCTGGAAAAAGTCTGTGATAATATAATCGGGCTTGTTGTTAAAGATTTCAATTTTAAAGTCCTTAGCCTGTAGTCTAGCACTGTTGTTATTCATTGTTAATGTGCGTAACAAATCTGTCAGATCAGCTGGTGGTTGTGCCCTGTCAGGAATTATGTTATGTACAGGCGCATTCAATGTATAAGTACTCGTATTTCGGTGTGTACTGTTAATCTGCGTCCTATTCTCTGTGTGTGTTGCCGGTTCGTGTTTAATATCTGCCCTGTGGTCAATGCACGTGTCAGGAGATTGGGCTGTCTCTGCAGCCGGTTTGGTCTGCGCTGCACTCTGAATGCATTCAGCTGCTACGATCAGCGATAAGTTTAATAATTCGTCTGTATTGGCCCTGCCGGCCTGCCTCTGCTCAGACGTGTAGCACGTGTCGAGAGCGTGGCATATTTCTCTCATCCTCGCTGCGGCTGGGTGTGACTGGAACTTTTCCTGTATGCTCTCTGGAAGAGTATACGGAAGCGGAGACTGCAAGCGGGGAATTCTCTCTGTATTGTATCCCGGCTCAATCCATCTGAACGCTGACGGCGGGTTCTTCTCTTGCTCTGTGGCCTCTCTGGGCTGACCGACGGCCAGCTCAGGTTGCGCAGTTGAAGACAGCGCGTGAAACTGTGAATCTGAACGCGCTGTCGCGTATGAGCTGCGGGAGGGAGAATCTGTCTGTCTGACAAGGCGTGGTAGAGGTGAGGGATCTACTGTGGAGAAAGGAATTTTATGTGTTGTCATGTATTCGGCTAATGTTTTCACGAAATGGCCTTTCTTCTTAGACTGGGCAATGTTTTGGTCAAGACGCTTGCTGACTGCGAGCAGTTGAGCCTTTGTGAGAAAGCCCAACTGGTCTGTCAAAGATTCTGGATCGGATGCCATGGATCTACTGGAGCGATACTTTTAATGCTTGGGAGAGGAATCTACATTTCTCTCTTCCTTATGTTCGGTAATGTGGGAAAAGAACCATTTGACTGGCGCCAGGCTAATGTAAGCTGCTCATTCCCTAATATATACAGTACTTATACTGTGATACGCACAAAACGATATTGGGTGTGCCACGTGAGAAAGAAATAATATGTATGTATTTTACAAAAGAAATAATATTTATCATGCAAACTTATGTAATGTGTGTTTCGTTAATATCAGTGACATGAGAAAGTTAAAACAATAATGAAGTTAGTAAGTGCAAAACGACAAGATCATCGGCTTCGATAACTTTAGCCGGCTTAGGTGGAAATATAAGTAATCAAATCCGACAAAATTGTAATTATGTTTTCACCAACTGCCACATGGTAGTAACTTACCCATTGACACTCGCGGTATGCGGTAATCTTTAAGGAAAGCCGGTATTTCCGGTCCCCTATGAATGGCAAGGAAGACTTTCTGGTGGTGGGTGGAAGCGCGCGATGTGCAGGTGAGGCGCTTGACTTCCTTGGAAAGCCGTCCAGGTAATGTAGGGCGGGTAATGTTGACAGGAGAGTGAAGGAGAGTTAACTCCGGTTGGAGTTACACTGGTCCGAAACCCAGGAGCGCCATGCAACAGCAGCCGGTTAAACTGCTGTTCTAGTGGGATGGTTAATCCACCGTACCACGATGTAACGGCTGTTAAGGCTAACTGACAATCAAAAGGCTGGCACGGTCAGCAGCGATGCTGACCGGAAGCAAGGTGGCAATTACACAACTACTGTGTGGGAGATGAGACGATTCATCTCGAAGTGTTTACAAACAACAACGCAAGACATGGCAGTCACGGCAAGATTCTTATTAGCAAGTACACAGGGCAAGAAGGCAAAAAGCAAGGTTAGCTAGCTGGCAAGAAGCAAATCCAAGAATGATTCTAGTGCGCAAAAGTAAAAGTTAAGAGCATCGAGATTGTAGCGGTAAAGCGGTAAGACAATGAGATGCTGATTCACATGATCTTAATGAGGAAGACAAGGAACGAATGAACCAATAACTGATGTAGAAAAGCAATTAACAATCCAAACTGGCGGTACTAAGATTTTCTATCGTTACAATATACAGGGCCATTCATCTTACGCAGTGTGCCGCTACTTGGGACAATTTTTGCACACCTGCCGCGATGTTGTCCCAGTTGACGATGACATAATCATCACGATCGAGCCGCGACTGTTCATGGTAGAAACCCAGCGTGTGCAGCAGCTCGTGCTGGATACAGCCGTAATGACGCATGCAGTCCGACGTCAGTTCGATCATCTGCTTCTGACCCACGCGACCGATACTCGACAGGCACCTGCAATACACAGTAATTTTCAACCGACTTTCCGTTCCCTCGCAGAGAGACAAATCCGTTTCTTTTCACATTAATGGACTGCTACAGAAGCGCTTACTGGAAGCTTTTTTGAAATTTTACGTAGTCAGTTTCGTTGGTGCGTGGCACAAACTGTACACAGTTGCCGGTGTAGTGCATAATGATATCCATCGCTTCCTTAATCATTTTCTTTTCCGACAGTCCTACAACGATTCGACCACGATTTGGTGGGGGATAGGTGGATAAAAAACCGACAAAATGGAGCCATAGTTATCAATTTGATTACAATGGATGGCAAAGTTTACTTTACTGCGGACCGGTAGCCGCTGTCGGCTTACAGCGCATACGATGAATGAGCGCCGCATATCCGTCGCTATAGCCGCATATCTGAACAGTAAGCGCGGCAACCGTGTTCTCTCTGTTCTCTGTCTAAAGCCACAGCCGCAAAACCGGTTCCGAGGTTAAGTAAATTTTGTCGTCCATTGCAAATCACTACTTACTGAATGCCGCCGAACGTTGCGTGCTGAACTCATAGGGGACCGTATTGTTAGGCCACAGGAGACTGTCGTTATCGGCTGCATTGGCAGCCGTATTTCCTCGCATCTGTAGCATCAAATTCGTCGTCGGTGATTTTCGAGTGAACGGCAGAACGTCACACCATGACAGTACCTCGTCCAAGTCAATTCCAGCAATATCGCCCTCCCAGAAATCGCTGCTGTATCGCGACTGATCATCCTCGGCTGCCAACATATTATCATCAACATAGTCTCTCCAGTCTAGAAAAACATTAAAAGTCCAATGCAGCGTTGACATGGGAAAATCATTCCTTGATCAAAACTTGAAAATTTGACTTTTTCTACCGTTTGGCAGCGTTCGGGCTACAGAAGAACCATGGAGGAGCACGAGCCACGCGAATCCGCAGCGTAACAAAATCTGCAACATTTTCGCTACCCTGCTCCTGTTCAAAGGGCTACGATCGCCGTTGGAACGGTTAACACGTTAGACTGCTTAAATAGATTGCCCAGATTAATGTTTCGTCAAAGCCGTTAGGTCTTTATGTACATTCCGGCAATTTTGAAATTGATGCAGCATGAACGGGTTTACGCAGACACTAATGCATGAACGGTAACAGTTTTAAAATATTTAACTGCGTTTATATGCATTATAACCGGTTATTTCTGATTTATGCTCAAAATTATATATACAGATTATATATACAGGCGCGCATCGTTGGGCTTAAAATGTGTGCCTCAGAAGACCCCCAGGAGTCATGATTGATGGCATACATTAGATCGAAATTCAGGTTGAACCGTAGCGCTGATTCTCTTCAGAGTGTTGTTAAAATAATCCAAATTAATAACAAAACTAAGAAATCAATCCCGACTCACGAACTAACATGTTGCTGAACAAATCGCCGTTGAATGGAAAGTGTAACCGTGGATCTGGTGGAAACCACATGTGGCGCCGGCTGGAAATCACATGTGATCTAAGACGTCCGGCGGACGGTTTAATCGTTAAACTGAAGACACCGTCCGAGTGCCGAAACAAAAGTCCGCTGGAAATTGACTGAAATGCTAAGGAACACTACGTTTGTCGCTGTATTTCAATATGCTCAGATTTTCACTATATAAAGCGACGATATGTCAGAGCTATGTTAACAAAGGTACAAGAAAGACCTCATGAATGTCCGTCTTTTTCATGTGGGCATCCTCCAGGACTTTCTGCACCGGTTTCATGGTGAATCGGAAAAGATTTTCTGTCGTGCAACCAGGAGCAAATTAGGCCACTCTCCACAATGGATTACCCTCATTTTCATATGAAGAATTCGTCATCGTAGCAGATTCAGTTCTGCGAATTTAGCGCGGGACAGAGTTGCACTGAAATCAGTACCATCGAAGATAGAGAGTCAGTTTCAATGCGTCCGCCGGTTTCCAACAGAGAAGCGCTTGTGCACGCGACGTGCGTTAACACCAAGCACCTGCCAGTGCTGACATCAGCGCACCTTGGCGGTCAGACGCTTTTCGCGTTGTGGGCGTCAAAAAGGAGGATTTTGCTGGATGAGAGCTCCAAAACTCTGATTTGGTGTAAAAACCATCATTCTTTATACTGGTTTACATTCACTGATAACGCCCAACCGGATGCTGCGAGTAAGCAAAGTAATCAAAGTAAGTAAGGATGGATGGATCTGCAGCTGCTGACAGCTGAAGAGTGCTTCGTATATGTTACGTATTTAAAACTTTCTAAATGACTTCCATAAAGGAAGTCACATACATTGCGTACTCGTATATTTCTGCAGACTTCTTGGTGAACTGCGATTGCTGCATGATTGAATTACGAAGCACGTATTATTATTAAGTAGGCATTATTATGTACGAAGCACGTACTCGATTATCAAAACAATATCAATGCACATATTTGACAGATCTCATGGTTGACACGCGTATATTGGCATAATCCATTGAAATTGCCCTTCCGTCGAAATTTTGGTGGGCGAAGCTTGTACACGTGCGTACTGCAGATTAAACGGTAGCGCTACTTGTAGTCGGTGCAAGTACAGAGTACAAGATGCCGGTTTGCGACACACCGGTGTTTTTTGTCAGTAGCGATGCGCTACCGCTGCTTTTGTTATTCGCACGCGAGGACTCGAGTGAATCCTTAAACAAACGCGCGATTAATAGCCAATTAATGCAGCTGCTTTCTGCCGGAACCGTACTCCGAGTACTTCTATTGCATCCTGCCTAATTACTGGTAATAAATATTTGTCTTCCGAATTTGCCAACGGCGCATTTATTAGACATTTCTAAACAGTAAACGCACAGCCACAGTGCTGTTCATCCCCTGTACATTACTATGATAAAAGTCATAAAACGCAGTCTTTTGATTCGTAGTTGCCGTTCCCGGCGGTAGCGGTGACATCATACACATCGTCCACCAGGCCCTCTTGCATCAGACCGCTTCCTTGAGGATTTTCTGAAAGGTCACCATAAGCAGCACATCGCTCAGCCCAAAAGATACCGCAGTGTATTGTAACCGCGTGCTTTACGTATATATAATTAGGAGAGATATTAAAGCGGATGAATGTTGTCTAAGCGGTTCACCATGTGTGACTAAATTTTCTGCCCAGCTTACCATGAATGACTAGGCACATTTACCGGAAACCGCACATTCTGTTTCTAAACCTGATTTTAGCTTGCGTTCTGCCGTTCGTACGGGAAGTTCTAATAAATTAATCCTATAAACTGGCCGCACAGTGAACTGGGGTTTCTCGATTCTGGTAATCGTAATCATAGCTGATTCGTGACCTCGCATCCTTTTCCAACCTCAGCAGTCGTAAGCTTCCTCAAAGCGCTGATTAAGCAATTACAGTGGAGATGCTTTAAGAGCATCGTTTTGATACCAAAGAACGGTTATATAAGAATGAGTGAATAATGTAGTACGTATGCCCCGGTAAAATAGCGGACAACATTAATTACCTTGGCGAGCAGCAGTGCTGTGGGATCCTGCAGGGAGCCGGCGCGGCCATCCGCCTTGAGCAGCCACTGCACCGCGGCTTCCAGTTTGACCAGTCGGTTCTGCGCCTGCTGCAGGAGTTGGTGGTGTGTGTGGAGATGGCAGGCCATGTAGGCCAGCAGTCCCAGCAGCACCACGACGCAACCGGACACCATGCCCAGCATAAAGGCTAGAAATCCCTGCGTGTCCATACCTTTGACGAACTGCACAACATAAACCCAGGGACCGGCATATTCCGTGCCGTTGACGGCCGTCCAGCCGTCACCCGCCGACTGCACCGCACTGATATTCATTGAACCGAAGAAAAAGACAACAGTCTGAAGAATAAATTGAATCGGAACTGTTTATACGCGCGCGAAAGTAATTCAACAGCAGGTACAGTAAACGCTGTTTTTACGCAGTCTGCGTTAAAACTATTTTATGGGGTTTTTCACAGCAAAGCTCATGGCTTATAAACGGCAGCCGAGGGCCCGACACTGCTTGACAACATTGCCGGAAACATATTCGCTATTCTTTCCGTTTATTCTGCTTGCTCTATATGTATTCGTTGTATGCACTGCATGCATATTTCTGCACTTGATGCAGTCGGCAAAATTTTCTCCGCGAAAAACATATGATTTGTCAGCAGCATTACCTGTTTGCCGGCTGCTACGAGCCGGCGCGATTACTTGTGTGTAATTTATAATAGTCAATAACAGAACTAAAACAGCGAATTGCCAGCTTCCACGAAGTGCTATTACAAGCATTTGATTGATGTCAGGAGCTTTTAGTAATTTCCCTGCTGGCAAAGTGATATAAAACTGTATTTCCATCGAAATAAAATGTTTACGTATTTAATATGTACTACCATATGTATACTATATTATATTCCACGGATATACATCTTATGTAAGATTCCATAATTATGCCGGTTTACGGCATCCCTACCCAGTATTGTAACAATTTCATACAAATATCTTGCAGCATAATTAATAAAAATATGTTTAATATTATTATTAGCGGATTGTTGTACAAGCAATTGCTTTAAGTACAAAACCAAAAATAATAATTATTATACGTAGGTTCTGATTTACTTGAATTTGTTAGAAGAATATATTCGTGCATTTGGTACAGAAACGTAAATATTTTGTATGGGCTGTTTGTGAATCCCCAGATTGTTACTATGTGTTATTATATCGAATTGTCATTGAAATTAGCGAACTGCGCATTAGCAAAAATAACAGGTTCTGCTCACGCCTGTTTATTTTGTTCGTGCCTCCTTAATGTAATAAACATCGTGCCATTATTTAATACATATGCACTTAACCCTTTTACATGCTCGAAATCCTAAGACATTATTCATCCGTGCTGGGCTTGTATATATATATATAACTACTGCATTAGTTTTTAATGTAAAGCTGTTCAGTATTGAAAATAAATTGAAAATGTACCGGAGGCCGCTGCTTGCTTGAAACTAGCAGGAAGAGAAGGCAGCTTGCGCCAAGTTGAATGAACTCTACAATATTCCGTTCATGGATGAAGTATCACGTGGAATGGATAAAACATTATACCGTTCCTGGATTTTGTCGGTCTTCAGCTGGAAGATGACGCACTACCGGCAGCCGCGGCGCTGGTAGTGCAGTGCGTTAGCGAGGCTGCCTTCTTTTAGGCGATGTTTAATAGTCGTCCGAATGCCGTATCGGCACGTGACCCGGAGCATTCAAGATGGCGTGGATCCCAGGATTTTCCTCGCTTTTGCGATGGACTCGTATGTGGCGCTTAACTTTCGAATGGTGAAGCGCTAACCCGTTATTGCACAGTCTACAATACAGACACTGTTCGACCGATTTTGAGATTTTCAAGCACTCTGACAAGAGCATGTTGTGCTTAACATCGTAAGACGAAGAACTGGACGATTTTATACAGTTTTTTATTTAGTATTTTATTAAGCGTCTTTTATTAACTACTGCTAGCTTGATTGTTGTCTTTTTTCCCTTAGAGTAATTATTGGATGCTGGCAAAATACTATTCTGTGTATGTCATGAAACGTTGTGTTTATCAGGTAGAACATACCATGCTGTAGTTACACACGCTTGTACCGCGGACGATGCGAGTAAATGCTTACACACGCTTGTACTCGAATAATCAGGGCTGTGACTTCTGCACCCTGTACCTGCATGTTGCATTTTCACAGTCGAACAACTCGGTTCCAGAATACATAGTCAGTTCTTGCAATGGCTAAAGGCCATAGTCATGAATACAATGGTTATAAATTGCACTTGCAGCACGATCGTAATAGTCGTATATGTGACGCGGGCTCTGATCGGTAGTTTTACGTATTTTTCACTTGTGCTGACCGCTGGTCATCTTGCCGGCCGTTCGAGCTTAATATTGCAGGTGATCAAAGTCTTTCGTTTAGGCTGTGCCACAAGTTGAAGCACCATAAATAAATTTCCTTGATGCAATTTTCGGACGAGGGAATTTTTTTCCGATTTTAAAATGAATTTCAAAAATTTTAAAATTACGGGAAAGTGCTATGGATCTGAAATTGGTTCACTTTCGACTTGATGGCCATGTGTCTTTTACAGCAAAGTTTCAAGAAGATCGGGTAATAACTAATAACCAGACTTTTGGTACACAACACTGCGTCTAAACTTTTCGCCCATTTTAGTTCGCCGTATCTCGGCAAGCGGATGTTGCGCGCGCAAACGGTTTTCCGAACAATGTACACAAATCATTCAGCTTCAGAATGACGTAAAGTATTACAAAATAGTAATTCGGAGTGCGCGCAAGCGAAAGTTTTAGTGCATGTATACAATTATTGACACTATGTACCGGGCCATTTTCCTTAATCAAGGACGTATGTAACGATATGGACAATAGTTGCTAAATGCATTTCTGGCGGGAAACACAAATTAGGAAAAGTTATTTTTGGAATGTCCTTTGTATCCGCAAAGCAAAGCGCAGCTCTGATTGCACTATGCGCATTAAACGATACCTGAAACTGCGAATATTTAGCATCACATGGGAGCGTTAACATTTCCGGTATGCAAGAGCGCAGTGCAGCGCAGGAGTAGCGCCTACTTAGTAGTCTGTATGGTTACTGTGGTACGGAGAAAACGACGATTTAATCAGCGAACCAAACTGGCTGGCAAACAGCATATCAGATTATAATGTTATGCCGTACGTCCACAGTCCGCCGCGCCATGGTTATGTTAATGCGCTACAACGTACCCGCATACTCGCGCCGCACAGGTGCACTTTGCCGTTTCCCGATAAGAATGCCGAATAATCACATAGCGGACGGAAATAAGTGCCACAGGCGGCCGACTACGTCCTCGATCCGCCAGTCGCGCTGCTTTCATAAAAAGCGATCGGTTTTGGCTTTCCACGTTAATTTTGCAACCTGAAAATATATCTAGTGTAGTAAATTAAACAGCCATGTGTGTCTTATGTGCTATTCCGTCTCGCGCTAACTGGGGTAATCAATTCTTTGTAGAATTATATTTTACAAGAGCGATGCTGTTATATGTATAATACAGTATAAGCTAGCATCGCTCTTGTAAAATATGTATAAAGAGTTATTTAATATATACACATATTATAAATGCATTATACTATAATATTATAAATGTATTATACACATATTATATATAGACTATATAATATAAACATATACAGTCTGTATATGTTCATGTATATATATTATGTATGTACAAGAACATACATAATATATATCATGAACATACACGTATGTATATTATGTGCATAAATGTATATATTTGTACGTATTATGCATAACGGAAATGGAATTACTATACAGACGATCATGGTCCACGTACATTTCCCGTAACAGTTGCTGTTATTTGCAGCACTGGGTAAGGCGCTATCCAGCCGGGCCATGAACTTCAGTTTGCCGTTTCCGGGAGACGGCAGCGTTCCCGACGGCGTCGAAGATATTGTCGACGGGACATGTATGTCCTGGGAAGACATTACCCGGGTGTCGCTCGTCATCCTGCTGCTGATGGTAATGGTGGGACTGCGCGTCTACCAGCTGCAGATGGAGCTCCAGGATGCGCTTAACGGACGATCAACCGTCTCGGGCAACGCCACGCCCTTCAAAGGTATGACGCTGTTGTCGAACTACCCGGTATAGCTGGTAGCCTTGTAATGCATAGATCCCTTTTAAGAAATTTATGACCTCCTACATCCCCAGTGCCTTTGCGCAAAAACTAGACATTGAACTGTTAATGGAAGCTGTATGTAGTGTGTATCGAAGGATAAATTGTGCAATACCGATCCTGTGACCTTGCAGACGCCCCTGGACACCGAATGACGGAAGGCCGAAAGGGATTACGTGGCTGATTAAAAACGCCTATCCAGTCTGGTGTCAGCACTGTGTGCCGGCGTTACAGCGGCCGGAATCTCTAGGGTAGCCGGTGGAGGCGTTCTGTACATACTTCGTCGGCTTTCTATACACTTGGTTGTACTGCGCATGCTGCCGCCAACATTGACAGTTAACTACAGCCAGTAATTAATTATACGCATCATTTTCTTATATCTATATTATTACAACTCTATATGACCTTTAATAAGTATCACGTGAAAGTACAAACTAAGTACTAGAAACAGAAGTTTGATGATGTTTGATCAACTTTGATGATTACAACTTAATAGGTTTCTATTTTATCTTGTTATTTTGTGTTATTATTGAATATTTTTACAACCGCACCTTCACCATGGGCATTTTCATCTATTAATAGCGTTTCGACATTGATTAAGTGTACTGAAAAAGGCACCATAGAATTATTGCATACGTTGGAATTACGCACGTGTATTGTCTATATACGCTCTTATATAGATGTAGATACGGTAAGAATTTAGTGTTTGTAAGTGTTTTGCGTAAACGACTGCCAGCAGAACTACTGTATGTAGTACTGTATAATAATAAAATCGCGCGCGATTAATATGCATATTAAAATAATTCAGGAAGCAAGTCTTGCTGGACAACACTGTATCTGTAGTACAATTTCGTGCACTTAGTCCACTGTACATTAGCATAATTGGATATTATTTCTCAATATGTACAAAGCGAGCTTCGCTCAACAATTTAGAATAATTATTTGCATACATCTACTGCAACGCGCATAAGTACCGACTGTACGTGCCGTGGATGCGCACAGCATGGAGCCCACATACTCAACATACGACACCGTCGACACATATGTAACTATTCTAGAACGTATAATGTACAGTATTAATTTTTGACGTATTCGTCATGGTGACAGTGGTGTGTAATTGCATATGCCTTCCGGATCGGAAGTGTATACCAATCGCGGTGTTTTTTGTCAGCAGCGATGCTCTGCTGTTTAACGGTCCGGCTGGATATAATACCCGTGAAAATACGCAGAGAAGTTGCTGTTTCGGGGCTATGCAGACAGTACATGTATTGAATCGTTTCTTTATCTACTCGTACAGGTTTTAATGTTCGCCATTAATCTGTGTCCTGTGACGCGGCAGAAAAATTCCTGATGGTGCATTTAATAAAGATTTCGCAGAATACATAGCCACCGTGCGCATTTCACTGTATTACAGGCAGTTCACAGTACTCTTCGAATCTACGATTTATTCTGTACTATCATTGGTCGTATTTTTTATAACTGCGAAAAAAGACAGCGTCGACAATGCAATAAATGCAAAACATATTAATTTGCACATCCATTATGTTCAAGACGCCGCTGCAGTCCGCCATCGGCGTCTTCGTCTTCATGATGCTCTGCTAATGAATTATGGAAGGAATGACCAACTAACTGTGTTATCTCCTGAAAACGCGCCGCTTATAAAGCGACACCCGAGACGTCCAAAATTGCCGGCAAATATGTAGTTGTTTCGCCTGTTGTCTGTCTGCTGTATATATGCATGTACCGATCTGTACATTCCGCTAAAAAACATCACCAGCTGACTGTACATTTCCGGTTTCCCGGCAGTGAAGAGTGCGGCGCGAGCACAAAAAATGTATGTTGCAAAAACCGCTTCCTAGACTTCCGAATGACATCATAATTCATGATCGGGTAAATTTATTGCAGTTTCTCGTCAGTACATCATTTATTACAGTTCACGTCGGTTTTATAATAGCGGTTAACGTACAACGTGTTAAACCACACAAATTATAATCAAATACTTCCGTGTTTCATATTAGGTATGAATTCCAGTCTGCATACATAGTATGCCGAAAATATTAAGCATAATTATTTATAAGTAAACCAGAAGCTGCAGCTGCTATAAAACTAGCAGAAAAAATTTCCCGCTTCCGGCGGATAAATTGATCCCCACACTAATAAGATCATCGAAGAAGTATCATGCGCACATAATAAAAAATTAAAACAACTATATATAGTCCGTCTACTGGATCTTCTCGGTCTTCTCGAAGGTGACCTTTTTCTCCACGGACTGCCGGCGATCGCGTCGCTGCTGCACACGCTGTTTCTGCTGCTGGAACTTGTCGCGGATGTCCATCTGCAGACGGCGCACATTCCCGCGGACACTGCTCCACATCCGGTCCAACTGCGGGCGGAACATCATGTACAGTTTGGGCAGGGAGAACGCCAGCACCCATCCCACCATCAACAGGCTCATCAGGTTGAAGTAGCGGCCGACGTACGTCAACAAATACATGTAGAACATCATCTTCAACGTTTCGGCGAGACTGTCCGCCAAGTACAAGTTGCGCATGGCCACCAGCTTCCGGTTCAACGGCTGCAACACGGCGTCCAGCTGTTCGTGGAGGTACGCCGGGTCCAGGACGATGTCGCGCTGGAGGATGCGCTGGAAGGGATGCGCGACGCCGGGACGCTGCTGCAGCGCGTAGAAGAGCTGGCGTCCGAAGACGCTGATCCCCGGCGACGATGAGGACGCCCAGGGAGAGGTAGGCGAAGATGCTGATCAGGCTGAAGTAGGACAACGCCCCCATCAGTCCCAACCCGGCGCTGAACACCACCGCCGAGTCGCGGACGTTGCGCCACAGGCAAAGGTCACGGGCGACGTGCAGCAGCGGGCGCAGACGGAGCGGCTGGATCGCCTGGACCGGCGCTTCCGGAGAGAGGTCCAGGAGCGGCGCCACCGCGGGCGGGAGCTCCTGCGGCACCCCGCGGCTGTCCACCCACCCGGCGGGATGCTCCGCCTCCGGCGCGCGGCGACTGTCCATGGCGAACTCGGCCATCTGCGGCGGCAGTTCCGTGTTGTAGGTGCGCTGCTCCTGGACTTCCGGTTGCAGGAGCGGCGTGACCTCGGTGGGGCGCGGCTGCTGCCAGAGGCGCTCCTGTTCCTGCAGTTCCTGGTAGTCGCGCTGGTCCAGCAGGGAGTCGGCCATGGAGTCCAGGCGGTCGCGCGGCAGCAGGTCGTCGTACTGGCTGTTGACGAACTGGGGTGCCTTGGCGCCAGTCGGCCGGCGGCGCCTCCTCGCGGACGTACGTCTCTGTCGGGCTGTCGCGGCGGTTCATGTCGGAGCGCTCATCGCGCTGGAAACGCGCGTTCTCCAGACGCCGCACCGGCTCGATGGAGGTCGTCTCCTTCTTGTAGTGGAATTCCGGGGCGTTGACGTTCAGATCGCTCTGGATATTCATTGCGTCCATTCTAAAAATTAATACATCAATGAATTATACGAAAGCAAAAAGAAAAGAAATAGAATAATTAAGAAAATACGAGAAAGAATTACACGAAATAAAATTAACAGTAATGAAATTATTTTAAAAAACTCCTACGAAAATTACAAGCAGGAAAAAGGAAACCAATAGTACACATAAAAAACGAATATATACCTAATTTTTAAAACTGAACATATAGAAGGAAGATTTAATTATACGCAATAGAGAACTGGAAATAATAAATGAACATGAGAAAAAATGCGATAATAATTTAAACGAAATGGAAAATAGAATGGTACTACACAAACGAAAGAAAATAATTATAACCAATAAAAAAAATAATTTCCGATTAAAAAGTAAATGCAAACAAAATTAGATAGAATTACTTGGAAAACGGAATTTTAACACTCGCAATAAAAATCACTAGACCGTCATGAAGATTGCCGGTAAATATATTTCAAGGCAGCGAGGACTTACTTGGCAGATGAATGATAATTATTCAAGATTCCAATATAACTTCAAAAGCGTTTTCAATAAAAGTGCGAATTTCAGATTTGTATTTGCTTGACAGTGAAATGTTTGGGTTTTTCCTGGTGGCAGCGTGCGCGGCGGCTTATATAGCTTGCGTCGCGCGTGGACGGGCCTGGTCTATCGAGTGGCGACTGGAATTTCCCACCGACCGTTACAGCAAGAGGGGATGGGCTGTGTTCACTATTGACTGTTTTACCGCGTATGACTCGCTCAGTGGTTGTTCATTCAAATTTCAATAGTCATCGCTGTCTACTTGAGTGCCGGTACAAATTCCACGGGGTTGAGAAGATATACAGCCAACCGGCTTGATAACCCGTACAGCTTGTCTACGCACGCTGCCGCGGCATGGCAGCTTGTCAAGTGTCAACACATGATTCGCCGTAGTGGATTTTACCATCCGGCAACTTGATGCCGGTGAGTATGTGGTTGTGGGTAAAAGACCAGTTCGGATTGTGCTGGCGTGGCGCTGCGGATTATGCAGCTGCTGCATGGATGGTTGTGAGATGCGGTTTGGGGGAAATCTGTCTGGGAGCGGGTGGTTAGCGGAACTGAGGATGTAGCGGCAATTACCCGGCGGCCCGGTCAGTTACGGAGGCCGGTTCATGATGTCATCGGGCCCGGACATCGCTCACACCGGCAGCTCGGGCTGACCACTCAAAGGTTACCGCTAAAGTAACCGCCACGTGCTGCTTTACGAGTACTATTCGCCACTCATCCCTTTTTACTCTAAGTGCCGTGGTTAGTCGCTAGCTAGTGCTACTCAGTGTTTTTACCAACGTCGACTTCTAATACTTTATAGTATTATACGTATGTAGAAAACTTGAATACCATATTATGTATGCACGTTTTGCCCGGTACATCCTTATAAAATTATGTACATGCTTACGTTTTTTAAATGCTCATGTGATGTACATTGATTGTGAATATAGGGGGAAAAATGTGTCTAGCCGAACCAGTCCCTTGTACTTCTGATGTAAGCCAGCTGGTGGTTTACGTTGTGGCTGCACAGCGTTTTATGTAAAGCGCTGCCATTAAGATTGCAGGTACTGATAACAGTAAGCAACACTCGTACAACTGCAGGTAAACAGGCTAAAACTGTGTTATAGCCCGGACCTGCCTGGTGCAGCTAATACCACATGTACCGTCAATGCCGCACAGCCTTAATAGCAGCGCTTTACATTAAACGCTGTGCAGCCACAACGTAAACCACCAGCTGGCTTACATCAGAAGTACAAGGGACTGGTTCGGCTAGACACATTTTCCCCCCTATATACAGTCATTATGTACACGTAGGAAGTCTTGATATTATATTGTATTTCGTATGTGTTAATGTACTGTATATTCCTTTATGTACATTCGCATTTGATACAGTTCCTGAACATGCTGAATTTAACAGCGTTTTCAGTTTTTCTTATTTATTTTATGGTTTTTCCGGTGTTCGTTGTCCCGCATTTTTATGTAGTTATATTATCAATTGTGTTCCTGGATACGTTTATGTACATTCGCATAAATTTACATAAATTTGGATGTATAAACGAACTTCTATTGTATTTCATAATACAAGGTATGCCTCGCGCTCCGCGCTCGGCAAAACCCTCTTGGACGGAAACTAATATTTGACCTCCCCACGATTTTTTTTGAACCTGTGACCACAGGCTTTTTTTCACTTTTTTCATAAAATGGTCCGTGCGATTCCGATTTTTCTTTACATTATTGCAGTAATTGCTGCCTCCGTGGCAACAATTTGTTTTAATCGTGAGAATGTATTACAGTACCACACTACCACTATACCAGTATCTCTCGTTTGGTCACCGAAGTCGGGAAGATGATACAACAGGAAACAGGCGAGGTACGGGCGACGGAGTTCCTGCGCCAACGGATCAGCATCGACATCCAACGCGGGAACGCGGCCTCGGTCATGGGAACAGCACCAGCATCGGCTAACTTAGACGAAATGTTCTGCGTGATTAGGCCGCCCATTTCTGTAATCGGCTGAGCTGTGTATTCAGTACAAATCTTTCACTTTTATAAAAAATCTGCGACAAATACTCGTGTACCTTGAGTTCTGAAATAAATCACGCTGCAAGTATCTAAAGAACGTCGTTATATTAAGTACTCTATTTTCTATACTTAAGAACCAATCAAAATTTTTCTGACCAGCGCTATCAAAACAAAATCAAAATTCAGAAGGCACACCTATGGAAAATTAAAAATTTTTCGAGACTAAGCTTGACTTAAACTGACCACGTGTTGATTTATCCATAAAAACCCAGGAAAAATACGTTTTGAACGGTAAGATTGTATGAATATAGAGATATAGTAAAACGTAAATGTACAATATGCATGCACATACTGTATGTATTGTATAATATAATGAAATTATTGTATCATATGCAAAATGCAATAATGTGTTTACAAAATTAATATTGTTATCTGTACGTATGTACTGTACATAGCTTACGATTACATAGTACGTAATCGTATTGGATTAACAGCATAACAACTTCCGGAAATTGTAGGAAAATGATGCGATATACAGTACGTACATGGTACCTGAGCTTCGAAACTCGCAAAAGAAAAAATTAAAAGTCTTCAAAACAAAGCAACAAACGCCAAGCAGTAGACTCTTGACCCGAAACATTCCCCGCTAAATCGTAAGTTCAAAAAATTTGGTATGCGTGTTTTTAGGTAGTGTACTGTGTAAACAAGATAGTATAACGTATAGATAAGCACTGAACGGTTAAATCGCTCTGATAATGATTTGTGTATCCGTTGCTGTTGTGCTCGTACCAAATGTATTATGTACTTAAATAAACTCTGGAAACAAAAATCGTAACTAGGCGAAGAGAAAGAGCAGACAGTAGTAGCTAGGAAGAAACGGAACAAAGAAACAGGAGAAACTGATTGCAGCAGAACAGTGCAGAACAAGACAATACTAGTTCGGTATCGCACCGTGCGTCAAGGCGCGAAATGCGTAGACGATAGCGCAGTACTGGTAATGAACAGGAATTAAAGCCAATAAAAATTTGTCACCGCGGAAGCTGCATCGTTATAAAAATTCAGCCGGATGCAGGATAATCGTTATTACTAGTCAGTATAAAAACAGCCGGCATACCCAGCTATCAGTGCATTAATAAGTCGCGACGCGCGTGACAATAATGTAAGTAATTATATACACGAGTATCCGTGGTAGTAACGCGCATGACTGGCTGGCACATTGAGGGCGCAACTAAGCTGCCGCCGTCCGGTTAGGGCTCAGGCCCGGACAGCCGGGGCCGGCGTAGCCCTCGCGTCTGTCCCAGAAAAACAGCAGCGCCATCACGACCAATCCCACAACCAGCTGCAATGTGTATTACGACTTTTGTGATGCCGGCTGTGACAACAACCGTAAATGTCGATCCAGACTGCCCGAGTACCTTCAGAAGCATGGCTCGTCGGACGGGCAGTAGACCGAACGCGGAGAAATCGCGGCGGTGGAAGAGCTGGGAAGCCAACACCATCCGCTGAATGATGCCGGCCATATTGCGCTGCTTCCGCGAATTCACCGGAGATCCGTTGGCGATACTGCCGGCCGTTGTGCTGACCTACGATAGCGACACCGGTATTATGACTTGCAAGAAACAGGCGCTGCGACTAGGCCCCCGGGTTTCTGGCGATCTACAGGCGGTGTGAACGAGCTATTTCCTTGCGTCCATCGGCTACTGGTAAGGCGTTAATGGCATTAGCAGTTACGGTACAATTTCCTCAATCAGCGCTCCAGTACTACAAACCGACGCCCGCGCTATCAAGGCCACCATGCACACTGGGTGGAATTGTTGGCGGTATCGTGCCGGCGCGAAGATGCTCGGGTGTATTTAAAAACCAGCCATGTTTAGCGCAGTCTTTCACGCCGTCCATCTGGCTGTGGTGGCAGGTTGTCGTCAGCGGTTTCGGTTAGACAGCCGTGCGGATTGTGGGTAGGCCGCATGTATTAGTGACCTGCTTCTTAATAATTATCTTTCCAGGATTGTGCAGATATGGCTGCTTACCGTTGTCGGCGTTGAGTCCGTTGACGCACGCTCATCCACGTCACACGGATCAGTATAGTCTAACTCGATGCAGTCTTCCCACAGCTCACGGCAAGCGTCCACGATGTGTTGGTTCTGCGCAAGAGGAACGAAAAGCAGAACAATTAGACACTCGGACCGTCACGTCGGATGGTCGTACCGATTGAATTAATCTTATGTACTGTATTATTATCCAAGCTAATGTGCGGTTTATAAATAACTGTAAGTACTCTGTACAGTACATAATAATAATAATTATGTACATACATATGTACCAGTATGCTCATTGAACACGTGCAATGACTACTGCAAAAGACAATTTGGACAATTGTCTAGTCTGCTGAGACGCTTTCTGTAAGCACTCACATATCATTTTATATTAAGTATTCTCTGAAAATTCAAAAAAATTATTAAAAAAATTAAAACCAAAAATAAAAAATTTAATTATATTAAAACAAAAATTATATATTAAAATATATATAAAAATATATTAAAATTATTTTATATTAAGTATTCTCTAAACTACTCAATGAAAAATGCACGTTGGCGTGTATTTGGCAGCCCGGAGCGTAGGATCGAGGGAGCGTTTAGCTCGTGCGAGTGATATTTACTAATGTTTAACGTCCTACCAGTCGCACTACCAATTTCCTAACATAATTAACATTTAACTTGGCAGCATAACAGCCAACAACATTTTCCTAAGGACCTTCCGTAGCGGACAGAAATCTACGAAAGCACTGGTCTTGAATATGACCTTCGCTACGCTGCGGTCGATAAAATCGAATACGTTTAGTCAGTGGTAGTTTTGTTATAAATGGCATAAATCGCTTTATAATGAAAGGTTTATTTGCTTACTTATAGTGAGACCTTATATTCACTGTAGAATAATATAATCAACTGTAGCGAGCAATAATCAACTGAACGCCAAATAAAAATCGGTTTACTCAGTGTACTGCCACATGGAAAAAATTGTGACTATTTTATTTGGCTGTTGGCAACAGCCAGATAAAATGATCACATTTTAACCTGGCAACAGCCTGTTGCCAGGTTAAAAGCTAATGTTGATTTTACAGAATCTATACTGTACAAATAAACTCACCGTAAATGGCAAAGTACGAAGTGTTTGTTATGCCATGCAGGTAGTACTTATTCTACTGGTTAGTATGTTTCTGCGGACCAGCGTTGTAGCGGCTCTGGTGGCGCTGCTTTGCGTCGGCAGTGGTGTGGCGTATGGGGACCGCTACAGCACGGCGGACTCGGAGTGGCCGTACGACCAGCCACGCCCCGCCCAGATGTACGCCCCCCATACGGACTACGCCCGCCAAATGGCCTACGACTACTACGCACCGTCCTATGGCTACCAGCGGGGCAAGCGAATGGGGGCCCACCACGGATGAAGAAATGTGGCCTGATGCGATTAGTATGAATTTCGGTAGATTATTATTATAGATTACCTATTATGCAGTGTACATGTATGCATTATTTATATTCAGGAATAAATAATAATTATGCATTAATGCTCACTGACGCTTCGATGTGCTGCGTGAACTGCACGAGAGAGAATCTACTCTTATGTACATGTAAACAGGAAGCAAAATGATCAATAAAATGCGAGAAGTAGATCATCGGAGCGGACTGCTGCCAGACGTGCCTGTTCATTGCTCTAGTCAAGTCATATCAAACAATTAATCAAAGTTACGTAATGGTCACGGCCGTGCTAACCAAGCAGGCTGCTACGGTATTCCCAGTCCCGGCTGGAAATGTAAAAAAATCCCACCTTTTGCAAACAGGTACAATACTATCCTGGTATGCTTGGACGGTTGGACACTGGACAGTACCGTATTAAAATTTCATTTGCCAGCATCCCGTCAGTACGGTGTGGCTCAACAAAAAGGATACGATAAATTTTAAATACTGTAGCCGCGCGATGAGTTTGCACCACTATCAGATCCGGCCGCAGTCTACCCCCTGCCAATGCTATGCAGAGTGTGCTGCAGCGTGTGCGATGATTCCCGTATACCAGACTCTGTGGTGCAAACTCATCGCGCGGCTACAGTACGCATCACTATTGTATATTATTACTTAATGTGCGTAAGTGCTGTACGTAAATAATACTGTCTAGAGTTCGTGTGTACAGAGTATGCAGCAAGTACAAGGCTACGGGTGTTTATACAGCGCAGCACGGCCTACTAGGGTAGGTTTATTATTGTAAAGGCTTTTGCAGGCATTGCATGGTGCATACGATACAAATTATCCGTATCAGTCGTATGATCAGTCGTGCCAAAAATGGAATACATGCACTAAAACTTTCACTTTCGTGCACTCCAAATTAGCCATTCCAAAGCTATAATTATGATTTGTATACGTTGTTCCATAATACTACTAAATACTAGGGTATGTTTAGTAATAGTATGGTTATTCTGAAAACCGTTTGCGCGCGCAACATCCGGTTGCCGAGATATGGTGTATTAAAATGGGCGAAAAGTTTAAATGCATTATTGTGTACCAAAAGTCTGGTTATTACCCGATCTTCTTGAAACTTTGCTATAAAAGACACATGGCCGTAAAGTCGAAAGTGAACCAATATCAGATCCATAGCATTTTTTTCCGATTTTAAAAGAAGATTTAAAAATGTTAAAATTCATTTTAAAGGTAAAAGTGCTATGAACCTGAAATTGGTTCACTTCCCAGTTTATGGCCACGTGTCTTTATAGCAAAAGTTTCAAGAAGATCGGGTAATAACCAGACTTTTGGTACACAACAATGCTTTTAAACTTTTCGCCCATTTTAATACGCCATATCTCGGCAACCGGATGTTGTGCGCGCAAAACGGTTTTCAGGACGATGTATACAAATTATTTAGCTTAAGAATGACATCAAGTATTACAAAAACGTGATCTGGAGTGCGCGAAAGCGAAAGTTTTCTTGTATGAACCCCATATTTGACGCTATGTACCGGGCCATTTTCCTTACAAGCACAACTGCATAGGAAACAGTTTAGCGAATACTTCAGTACGAGATCTAAACAAACACACAAGCTTTCTCAATGTTAAAAAACCAGCACAGTGTACACACATACCTAATGATTTGGGTAAACTGCTTGTCGGTTCGGTCCCAAGCAGCAACAACACGGCAATATTTCGATCAGAATTAATATTAGAAGCGATAAAACTATAACGCGGGCTAGCCCCAGTACAAGACGTAACGGTATAGCACACTGCACCCAACAGGAAACTTGAGGCTAACCGTAAAAACATAAAATGCAAAATTATTCTTCGTATCGGCAGCCAAATAAAACGACGGAATGAGCAGCATAAATTTTCAATAAGTATTACTGGTTGTGCTGCTACCGAAAGCAAGGTCATTCACGCATACCTTTTTGCCGGATGTTTCCGCGAGGTGAATCGTAGCCAGCGATATCCAGACGTGCATGACATTATGCGCACCCAGGACAACCGGCAACTGGGGATTCTTGAAAGCGTCGGCGTCCAGCAGAATTTGAGCGATCGTCTGCGCAAACGAGCCGAAACTGGCCACGGTGATCAGCAGCAGCGGGACGCCCAGACACGATTCCATTTTCTGGTATATCCGGGTGAGTTTTTTAAAGGCCGGGGAATAGCGACGTACGACCAGGAGGAGCTGCTGGCCGGACATGCCGTTCAGCCGTTGCGTCAACATGGTCAGTCCGTCTAATACGCGGCTGACGGCCTGATTGTAGCCGTGAAAGACCAGACAGATGCCGGCAAACGTCCCGTAGACAACGAGGCCGTTGACGGTGGCCATGACGGCCGCCCAGGACTCCAGGACGACGGTGGGCAGTGGGAAGACGGCGTAATGAACGGTGGTGGTGTTGGTGATGTTGTCCAGAATCGGCTTCGTGGCCGCCAGACACACTGTGGCCAGCAGGACGGCCGTCGGCCCCAGCGCCGCAATTAGAACGCGCTTGCGTGGGCGACGGGTCTTGGGCGCGGGAGGAGGGGAGGCGGGATCGTCCACCGCGAAATCACGTAGGATTCGGTAGGTTTTACGCTGTTGGTGATGGAACCATAGCGATGCGGTTAGGATGCCGAACGCCGTGACGGCCGACAGCTGCGAGTAGGCATTGGTTACGAAGGATAACACCGGGTTGTACTTGAGCTGCGAGCAACCGCGCTGGTAATCCACTGTTCCATTGACAGCCAGGTCCAACCAGTCCACCGTGACTAGCGCAGCGTGGGCCGTTAGCAGGAATAAGCTCACCACCAAACGGCGTAGAAAGGCAAAGAGACCAGACATCGTACTGTATTCGCCGCAACGGCAAACGCCAATACCAGCGGCTGACCAAATAAATAAAGGTCACGGTCAACAGCAAATATGGTATTACGCAATTAAAGCCGACCGGCAACAATGCTGAATCAACGGAGTGCGGAACCTTATTGTCCGGTTGTCGTCCTTTTTATGTATTCTCGCTTTCATTCAGTCCACAGGAAGGGAGGCGCACCTGCTGGATGCAGGGAATTTATCGTCCAAGTCGCCAGTGAGACTGCATTACACTTGCAAATGCCGGCATTAAACGCTAGCCTGCGCAGTTTGTGCACTACGTGTTTGTGATTTTAAGAAGCCTAGCGTGTCGGTCGTATAATCATGTTGCGCGTTAACAAGAATACTCTGTACAGTCAGATTCAGGTTGGTTCTATAACTTCTATTTGCATCCAGGTATTATTATTATCGGTCGTATTGTTGTGATGCAACATTATGTGATCCACTTTCTAAATCAAGTCATGCCGCTTCCTGAAGGTAGGGCTACGGTAAAGTTCCGTTACTAGTGCCCGAAGAGAAGCATACTGTAAGCGGAAATGTGGATATATAAAAGGTATTAATAATATTGTAGTCACGTTTGGAAAATATATAGCAAGATATACGGCAATGGAGAAACAGGCAGCAGAAAATTGAGGAGGATACATGGAAGATGCAGGGTAGCTAAATCACACGATATGTCGCGATATGACGGGATGAAGACCCGCCGTGAAAAAAAAACTTCATAGAAGACGTCGTGACCTTAGTCAGGTAAAAATCGTATATCAAGGAGCAAGATCTGTATGTTAGTTGGCCACTGCCTGAATAAACCGGTGAGTTCCTATGTTTACTTAGGAATGCGCTGCACAAACATGTCCGTCGAAGATTAATAATTTTAATAACACAATAGTTAGTAGTATATATACAGGCGCGTAGCGTAGTAGTCAAGTCTGCGCTTGTGGCTTTCCGATTTGTCACAGTCCCTACTGTGCCCCACTCTGTCAGAATTTGTAATATAGCGGTAAGAAAAATAACGATTAACCTGGAAATTAAACCAGCTTAATTCGTTGTTTATTGGAAATGATTACAGAGTGTTAACCGCTTCGCTTCCATCATTGCGAACTACCGACTACAGATACGTCATGCTTTCTGCAAGAAAGACGCCACTGCCAGGACGGACGGTCAAGCTAACAATTTAAGCAGCCAATGAGCGTGATGCCCGGCAAATCGGCTTCCGCGCTCTGTATAACCGTGGAGCGTAATCTTCTGCGACGCTATGCCAACCGCCTACGTCGAGGGATGCTCTGTAACAGCATACAACCGGTTATTACTAGCATTACACGCAACTGCCAGGGGCGGCTAGATAAGCTCCTACCTGCTACTTCCGCCTTCAGCTTTTCGGCCAGAACTTTGCGGCTGCTCTTCTGCGCCGTGGCTTCGCCTCCAGCCTGACCTTGCAGCATCCGCTTCCGCTCGGCATCCGCCTGCAAATGTTCTTAAGTAACTCATGCGAATAAAAAAATTGTCATCGCCTAGGGTAGTCAGTCTGTCGTTCGCATTTTCAAACATTGACTGATTGCATTTCTTAGGTTTTCTTAGGTTTTTTCTGATTATATTATTCAATTTTCTTACTTCGAAAATTTATGAATAAAATCAAATAACATTGTGCAACAGGGAACACAGCCAATATTACTGCGGATAAGTCGCCAGCACTGGGTGCGAAGTGCGAACAGAGGAGCGCCGGTTTGCGCATGATGCTTTAAAACGAAGCGTCTACATTGTAGTTCTATCTGGTCAGCTGGCGGCAAAATTTGAGGCTAGAATGACGATTTACCTGCATTTCGCTGGCCGCGCGCAGCTGGTCCTTCTTGGTCTGCAGGCGCTGGCGTTGCGCGCGCAGGAACTCCTGGCGGCGGTGCAGCTCCTCGGCGCTGATGAACTGCTTGGCGCTGACGAAGCTGTCGGCGTCTTGCTCGGCCAGCGCCGCCTTGGCGATGGACGTCACGCTCCCGCTGGCGCTCTTCACCGGCACCGCCTCCGCGCGCCGGACCCCGGGCGGGGAGGGGACCCGGGCGGTCCCGGCATCCCCTTCCGACGGCGGAGGCGCCCCGACCGCCACCAACTCGGCCTCCGACTCCTCGTGGACCACCTCCAGCGCCTCCACCTGCTCCAGCATCCCGCGCAGGTCGTGGACGGACACCCGGGCCTGGCTGTCGGCCAGCAGCGCCGCCAGCCGCTCCGACTCGCGGAGGGCCCGCTCGATGGCCGCTTCCTCGTCGCGGATGCGCCGCTGGATCTCCTCGTACTCCTCCGCCGACTCCCTGTACAACAGCACAACACTGGAATCACTTACGCGTGACCTTTATACGGCCGCGCAAACATCGTGTCGCCTTTCGTTGGCGCACGTCAGCCGCCAACGTTGTACACGGAAATTAATCAGGATGAGTGTGTGCCGGGGTAACAAAGACAGCACCGGCAGGCACGTTCTGCCAGACGCCGATGTGATGCAATTAATTAAGGGATTATAAATAGCTCGCGGTTGGTAAGCGGATATACGTGTTTGCCGGTTTGTCTGTCTAACGGCGTTGTCGCTTACCATTTACGACGAAGAGGCAGCCAGAAAGGTCACCCACAAGATGAGGAATATTTATTAAATAATTAATAATTATATATTTAATAAAAGTCATCTTTAATCAACAGTAGAAAATAATAAACATTTATTTGTCATAAAATAATATTAAACCAGTTTTAAATTCTAATGTTATTCGAAACGGATTCGAAACTTTCGGAAGCCGGGGTTCATCAGCCAAAAAGCTGGTCAAACAAGTCGGAAAGAGGGTTGAGCTACAGACAGGCGAGATTCGCTCCATGACTTTTTAAGGCAGAATATTTCTTTAGCAATTCAAAGAGGTAACGCAGCTTCTGTTATTGGTACTGTGTAAAGTGGAACTGACTCTTGATAATGTTATCGCTTTATGGGACATAAATTCCATCACATTTTAAATAATAACTCTTGACTACGCATTCATATTAATTAAATTCTTACTTATTCAAATAATAAATATATTTATTTATTATCTGTAGCTTAATATAAATTAATTCATTTTATAAAACTGAATATAAATTAATTAAATCGTGTAAAAGAAGTTGAGAAAATTACGATTTACCGGAGGACTTGCTGCAGTAGCGCGTCATCGTCGTCCTGCTGCTGCCACTGGCGCAGGAGCGCGTACAGCTGCTGTTTCAGCTGCGCCGCGCCGTCCTCGTGCGGTGTTGACGGCGGCAGTGCCGCGCCGGAAGGGGGGTCACCCGGGTTGGGAGGCTGTCCCGCGACAGGCGTCCCGCTGGCGCCGGCCGACCGCGATGGCAGGGTGCCCTGGAAGGGCGACAGACCGGTCTGGCGCTGGATGGACTCCAGCGCGTACAGCTGCATCTGGATGTTCTGGCTCACCATCGCCTGTGCACGTAAGAAAACATAAGAAAGCATAAGAAAACCTAAGAAAGCATAAGAAAATCCGTGCACGTCAACACTTGAGCCTAAAGGTACGCGCATTGTTAGTCACGTAGCAAGCTAGCCGGAAGAGTTTGTATAACCGGTATTGGTACTTCAAGGACTTGATTACGCTCATACAGCCGGCTTTCAGGCTGCTTAATTACACGGCACATGACGTACCTGCTTGAAGATTTGGTAGTTTTCATAGAAAACCAACGGCTGCAGCAATTCCTGAAATAATTAACATTATTATACAATTAATATGTAACTGGAAATATTGGATTGGTTTTTATTATTATTATAAGTGCCGACGATACATGCCTTAGTAACGGCGTTAGTGTGCGTGTCGGTCATGGCCAGGTGCACGGCGTCCCATAGCACTTCCGGCGGCGTCTTCATCGACATACGGTACTCCAGCAGCAGCTTGTCAATCTGTATTAATGCGGCGCTATACAGTATATTATATGAAATATTATACTATATATATATATATATAATATACTATATTTTAAAATTAATTTAAAATTATTCATGATCAATTTAATTTTATTTTACGGTGTTACCTGCTTGTATTATATGTACATGTGTACTGATAGAATTACATGTACAGTATTGTTATCGATAGACTATAATATTGTTACTCCATAGTCCATACTTGGTATTATTTATTATTCTGGCATAATTGTTTTTATTATTGTTGTATTTGTTTTGTTTACTAAGTTTGTTGGTGCATACGAGCAGTGGTGCATATTTAATATATGTATGTTTGCCGCTGATACGTTTGCTTTTTTTGTTGGTGGAAAAATACTTATAAACTGCGTATAATTTAATAGTTTACCATTGATTTGTAGTTGTGGAACACTTGCCGGTACAGCTCGTGCTCCGCCACGTCCGCCTCAAAAACTGCAACAACACAGTTAATAATTTAGCCTACAGAAACATCTATTTATTCCATATGTTCTTATTTCTATTTATTTATTTATTCCATATGTATTTATTTAATCCATATTATTTATCTATTTATTTATTCCACATGTTCTTATTTCTGTTTATTTTTTTACACAGCCGTTTTAATAAAACAGCTTCCGCTGTAGTTCGTACCGATGCACTCGTTCTCCATGAACTCGTCGATACAGCTGATCCAGTGCGGCGACTGCAGGAGATGCATCAGTCGCGGCATAAACTCGGCGACAGCGCCCGAATGGCTGACCGCCTCCCGCAGCGCCGCGGCGGTCCCGCTGCTGCCGGCACCGCCGGCCGGGAGACTGCTGGCCGGCGCCGTGACGACAGTGGGCATCGCTCCGGGGTCCTGATCGCGGGAGCGGCGCCGTCCCGGGCCTGGGCGGGACGCCGGCAGGAGGTTCTCCCGGCTGCCACTGCCGCTGCCGGCCACCTGCTCGCTGCTGCCGTCGGACGAGGACGGCGCACTGGCCTGGACGGTCGCCGGCGGCGCGGCGGGCTTCTTCCCGAAACCGAGGTGGAAGGGCATAATTAAATCGCGTCGAATGCTGTGCGTGAAGAACTGGAACTGATCGGCAGTGAATGGTTTACACGAAGCAAAATTCAGTCCTTGTATAAGCGTCCGGGACAGAATTAATTTAGGATGACAACGAGGGGAATAAAACACTAACGATGTACAACGAATACTGGACGTGAAGAACTGGAATTGATCGGCAGTGAAACGGTTTGAAGCGAATTTCAGCCGTTGTTAGGTTCGAGACAGAATTATTTAGGATGACGATGAAGAAAATACAACACTAAGGATGTACGGTAGAGTGAGAGATAATTATATTGTAACGTGTCGCGTTGAATGCGCAGTACAGTTATTAACAGGTGCCTGTGCGTGATGGCGGTGATTAGGAGGAATAACGAGCGACACAACAGCGATCCTGTCGCGCAGACAATCAATACCATCAGCAGCTCTTTACCGAACGACGCGCACGGGTTAATGGGTGTTTATACTGGCTGGACGACCAGGTAACCGGGATGATAGAAGACGAGTGTTTATGCTGCAGGTGCCGCGCTTTATATAACAGGACTATAGCTTCGTTTGAGGCAGTTGTAAGCAGGGATTTGTACTAGGTACGCGGTGGGGACGTATTTGTATACACACCAGGTAAGACGCATGCCGATCGATGTACTTGCTCCCATCCGGATCATCCCATCGACCATCCTGTTGCTGCCTGTTTGGGCCTTAATTTGCCAAACAGATCGCGCGCAACCGCGTGCTCACAATTTCTCAAAGCAGTTTGCACAGTGCACTGTGCATGTATGTACTGTACGTGTAGTATATGTATTGTACAGATTAATGGGTTACGCGAAACTCCATACCACGACCCGCTACGCCCCACTCTTTACGCGTTACGTGCATTTGGCATAGTTGCTGCTTTGCAAGCGCCAAAAGCGACTACCTGTACTACCTGTACCTGTACCTTTACACTACCTGTACCGTTGCGCAAGAAATCAATCACCCGGCTTGAACACGTCTGCAATACGTAATTGTTATACAGTACATACCGGCAATAAATGTACTGTTCATGTATGATTACACTTTATAAATTATTTGCACTCACCGTTAATATATGTAATCGTCAAGAAATTGGTAGATTTTACGGTTACTCTTCTTTGGAGTTAAAACAAGGTGAGTACTGTGCAGTGCGCAGTCGTATCTGTACACGAAAAATGCGTTAAGAAACTTTGATCTTTTATTATCGTGTAGATTATCCTTATGGTTTTTATTTAGTTGCTTTTCATGTATTGTGCTAATAATTCGATCAATTTATTATATTATACGAAAGTCTGTATGTGGAGATGCTCGGATAATGTACAGATGGTGCGCACACTAGTGACATGATCACATTATGTATACGAGTACTCGTACTTCTACTGGGAGCTGATTACAGTACAGTAATTGTGAAACTTTGTAGAATTTATTGATTCGATGGTCTTAGTAATGGTCAGTTATTTTTTGATCAGTAATTAACTGTATTTTTTAAGGTCACTTTAAACTTGCGGTTCTACCATGCAGTACGACTGTACCGGCTATACTTGTGGCAGGTTAGGTATTTTCTTTTTTCAGACTTTCACTTACACAACATAACAGGTGACGCACTTTTTTCTGAAACGAGACATGTATCCAAAAAGATTATACGGTAACTGAATTGCGGGTCACCGGTAATTCTACACCGTCCTTCTTCAAAAGAGACTGCGAGTGCCAACAACAGGGGAAGACAACCAAGGGAAGATCCAGGTAGAAAGGTCAACGACGGGTGTATCGCGTCGAGCATTAGAAGCAGCGCAGTAGCCGCCACCCGGAGGGCGAATAGACGCCGCTCAGGAGCTCCGCAGCCAGGCCGTAGACCACCAGTGCCGGGAGCACGCACTGCACACCCATCCGCCGCATCCACGTCCAGATGCACGGGGAAGCGCGGCTGTCCAGCGACGCCCGCGAAGTTTGAGCGGCCGCCTCGCCGGAGAGTGCGCGGAGGCTGGCGTTGGCGGGACGGACGCGCAGCTCGGTGGGGAACATCTCCAGGAGGCGCAGCAGGCCGCCGTTGGTCCAGCCGAAGCCCTCCTGCACCACGTACTCCCCGCCGAACCCGAACTCCCCCGGTTCCCGCACGTCGTACTGTACATGAAGAAAATCGCTCGTTATTTTTACCGTTAATTAAATACAACGTTTAACGAATTTTATCCTACTGGGAAATTTAAATACAACGTTTTATGATCAACGACATTTAGTTTTTTTTATATATAGTTAGACATGCCGGTGGTCTTTCCGTATTTTACTCTGCACACACAATCGCGTGCTATTTAAATTCTTTGGGATAAGTTAATAAAATTGATAAATTTTAATAGTGTATCGCAAATAACGCAATTATAAGAAAAATTAATTTAGTAAAAATTTAATTTAGCTATGTTACAGTTTTAGTGGTGGTGACCTTTTCGTAGAAGTGTCCGTGGCCGGCGTGGCCGTCGTAGAGCGCCTTCACCCAGATCTGCGCCCAGGCCAGCGCTTGCGAGCGCATCTCGGGGTTGTGCGCGAAGCCCTCGATGAGCATGAGCTGCAGCGGCGCCCAGGCGTTGGGGAAGTCCCACTGGCAACAGTTGGTCGCCGAGAAGTAGCTCGACGTGGGAAAACCGCCGGGATACCTGTACAATATCGCATGATTTTAGTTATTTCAACAAGGGTCTTTAGTTTATGGCAAAATGAAATTAACGTACAGTACTTACGCATGTAGCGTAGTTGGATAAAGGAGTCCCTATTTCCTTACATTCTATTAGAACTAGGAGACAGAAACACCAGAAATCCCGACTACGGGTCAGATTCTCTTTAATTCAAGACCGAAATCTCAGAAAGCCAGAGAATGACATCATCACATTAGTCGTCGCTGCGCTTAAATAGCCTAAACTGGGCAATCTGTACTACCCGTACGTCTCATACAACTGCACTCGTACATACGTAAGCGGCACCGCCGCTACACTACCCCTTTCTCCGGGATAGGAAAACAGGAATGCCGTTAACACAGAGAGACAACAACCATGGGCGGAAGACCCCTTTCTCCGTAAATTAATAATAAAAGATCTTAACTGTATATTCCACACAAACATCGTAATTCTTCAGAAAAACATCGTCACAAATAAACTCTCACAATATAGAATAACAACCATTAAATCATCACATACATCATCATTATAACACCATCTGCTCCCTTAATAATCATAATTAAACTCATCTGCTTCCTCCTCGGTAACACCCGGGATTCCAGAAGGTACTTCACATCACATCGCCATCATCACCGCCTCACCAGTGAACTCAGGCTTCATTCCTTCCCAAGCAAACAGCGCATGATCCATAGCATGTGGAAAATCATCAGGTCATCATCCGTACGGCAATCCATCCGGTGACGTCATCTTTCCATTCGAACACGAGCGCTTCACGTGGCATCCAATGACGGCTTCCGTCCAGGCTCGTGTTAAGCAAGGCATGGACAATGCGGCATGACACGAGGCAGATAAGATCGCATCCGGGTTGGAAATCCCCATACAGCCAGACAGGCCGACGCACTCGCTCAGACATTAAGCAGCGATTACTTCCTTGTCAGGAAATTATGAATGAATTATTTCTGAACGCAGAATATTCATTTCTTTATAAAATCGAATTCTTATTTTCATTATCTCCTAATCAGGATATTTCCACAATTAAACCAGATAATAACAGTAGAATTTCAAGATTAAAAGAGCAGTATCACCTTTTAATTCCTCTTGAAGGAAACGCTTTATGACAAAATCTCAATCTTCAGAAAATCCAACATTTAAAGGGCAACATAACCCTCTAATTCCCACTGTAGGAAAACCAATTTTTTATCAGCACAAAACATTTTCAAAACAATCCTGAATGAAGGAACCAATAGTCGCAGCAAATTTCAGACTATCAGTAAATTGAATTTCCTTTCAATAAACAACATTAAAATAAAATCTTTGAAAATTCTCGCATTCCTGTCCCATAACTGGATTCACTAATAACTAGAAATTCTAAACAGAAGTAAATCAATTACAATTAAATTTAAAATTAAAATCTACGGTGAATTCACAAATGTCAGGAAACAGCCGGAATTAACTGCGAGACTTATTCATTAATATTTCTGTTAAGAAAATTTTCAGCGATTTTAGACACACTCCTGATTAAAAGGAAATCATTAATTTTCAAGAAGATTTATCTCACTGTATCTCCTGAGAATAGGAAAATCAGCAGCACAGAAACTTCTCTCCATCCATCCATCCTTCATGCTCTTGCTTCGGCTGAAAATTCACGGTCACGGAAGGATATCCACTGCGGATTCGCCTCCTCCACGGCGAGGTTGCGCGGTCCTTGCCAGGCAGATACAGGATCCACGATGGAAAACGTCCATGCCGTCGAAAAGTCGGCTACCGCCGTAGCACCCAGGAGCGCCAATTGTAGCGTAGTTGGATAAAGGAGTCCCTATTTCCTTACATTCTATTAGAACTAGGAGACAGAAACACCAGAAATCCCGACTACGGGTCAGATTCTCTTTAATTCAAGACCGAAATCTCAGAAAGCCAGAGAATGACATCATCACATTAGTCGTCGCTGCGCTTAAATAGCCTAAACTGGGCAATCTGTACTACCCGTACGTCTCATACAACTGCACTCGTACATACGTAAGCGGCACCGCCGCTACACTACCCCTTTCTCCGGGATAGGAAAACAGGAATGCCGTTAACACAGAGAGACAACAACCATGGGCGGAAGACCCCTTTCTCCGTAAATTAATAATAAAAGATCTTAACTGTATATTCCACACAAACATCGTAATTCTTCAGAAAAACATCGTCACAAATAAACTCTCACAATATAGAATAACAACCATTAAATCATCACATACATCATCATTATAACACCATCTGCTCCCTTAATAATCATAATTAAACTCATCTGCTTCCTCCTCGGTAACACCCGGGATTCCAGAAGGTACTTCACATCACATCGCCATCATCACCGCCTCACCAGTGAACTCAGGCTTCATTCCCTTCCCAAGCAAACAGCGCATGATCCATAGCATGTGGAAAATCATCAGGTCATCATCCGTACGGCAATCCATCCGGTGACGTCATCTTTCCATTCGAACACGAGCGCTTCACGTGGCATCCAATGACGGCTTCCGTCCAGGCTCGTGTTAAGCAAGGCATGGACAATGCGGCATGACACGAGGCAGATAAGATCGCATCCGGGTTGGAAATCCCCATACAGCCAGACAGGCCGACGCACTCGCTCAGACATTAAGCAGCGATTACTTCCTTGTCAGGAAATTATGAATGAATTATTTCTGAACGCAGAATATTCATTTCTTTATAAAATCGAATTCTTATTTTCATTATCTCCTAATCAGGATATTTCCACAATTAAACCAGATAATAACAGTAGAATTTCAAGATTAAAAGAGCAGTATCACCTTTTAATTCCTCTTGAAGGAAACGCTTTATGACAAAATCTCAATCTTCAGAAAATCCAACATTTAAAGGGCAACATAACCCTCTAATTCCCACTGTAGGAAAACCAATTTTTTATCAGCACAAAACATTTTCAAAACAATCCTGAATGAAGGAACCAATAGTCGCAGCAAATTTCAGACTATCAGTAAATTGAATTTCCTTTCAATAAACAACATTAAAATAAAATCTTTGAAAATTCTCGCATTCCTGTCCCATAACTGGATTCACTAATAACTAGAAATTCTAAACAGAAGTAAATCAATTACAATTAAATTTAAAATTAAAATCTACGGTGAATTCACAAATGTCAGGAAACAGCCGGAATTAACTGCGAGACTTATTCATTAATATTTCTGTTAAGAAAATTTTCAGCGATTTTAGACACACTCCTGATTAAAAGGAAATCATTAATTTTCAAGAAGATTTATCTCACTGTATCTCCTGAGAATAGGAAAATCAGCAGCACAGAAACTTCTCTCCATCCATCCATCCTTCATGCTCTTGCTTCGGCTGAAAATTCACGGTCACGGAAGGATATCCACTGCGGATTCGCCTCCTCCACGGCGAGGTTGCGCGGTCCTTGCCAGGCAGATACAGGATCCACGATGGAAAACGTCCATGCCGTCGAAAAGTCGGCTACCGCCGTAGCACCCAGGAGCGCCAATTGTAGCGTAGTTGGATAAAGGAGTCCCTATTTCCTTACATTCTATTAGAACTAGGGGACAGAAACACCAGAAATCCCGACTACGGGTCAGATTCTCTTTAATTCAAGACCGAAATCTCAGAAAGCCAGAGAATGACATCATCACATTAGTCGTCGCTGCGCTTAAATAGCCTAAACTGGGCAATCTGTACTACCCGTACGTCTCATACAACTGCACTCGTACATACGTAAGCGGCACCGCCGCTACACGCATTTTCTCTTGCATACGATTTAAGTTCATTAAAAATTGTACCATTTATTACAGTAATCAAATTTAATTCATTGCAAAACTGGTAGTCGATTCATTTTAAATTGAAGTTTATTTTGGTATACAGTAAATTATGTACGTAATAATAAAAACTGCATATAAAAGAAAGATTTGTAATAAAAATATTTTTTTGCAGCGCGTGACCTTTTGCTGTTTCATTTCTAATTGCGTTGTACGCACCGTGTGATGTTGCGCAGATCGAACGAGTTGAGAACCTGCCGCATACGGGCGGTGGACGTGACGTCGACGGTGCGGCCGCTGCATTTGTGGAAAATGGGTTGGACGCCGCTCAAGTAGAACTCCTCGCGTTGGCGCCCCAGACGACTGTCGTAATCCAGCCAGACGCCGCGCGTCTCGTTCCAGAAGAGGGCCTCCAGGGCGTCGCCGCGGTCCAGCGCCCGCTGCCGGAACTGCTCGGCGGTGTCGGGGTCGCCGGTTAATTCGTAGAAAATGGCCAGCCGCTGCTCCACGGCACACAGGACGGCGTTGAGGTCCACCGGCACGATGGTCTCCGTGCGGATGGTGTGGAAGGGGGCCTCACGGCGCTCCAGCCAGCGCGTGCTGAAATCCCAGCCGCTCTCGGCCGCCGCGGCGATGTTCGTGAAGAGGAAGGCTGCGTCTGCACACAGCAATATTCATCCGTTTTTATGCTTTATTTATCGTTTCTATTTCTAGCACTTAATTTTTAATTAAATTATTTACTGTTTTTAATTTTTCCATCTATCAACATTCAATTTTGATTGCTTATTTATATTTCTAATTTATACTTTTTTCATCTTTCATTTCCAGTTTTCGTTTTTCGTTTTTGACTATTCATGCGTGTGTGCATTTTATTCAAAATGTAAGCGTGGATTTTTAATCAAAAATGTACGCGTGAATTTTGGTCCAAAGTTAACGCGTAAATTTTATTCAAAAATGTATGCGTGAAATTTTTTCAAAAATATACGCGTGAATTTTGGTCCAACGTTAACGCGTAAATTTTATTCAAAAATGTATGCGTGAATGTTATTCAAAAATTTAGGCGTGAAAATTTATTCAAAAATATAAGCGTGAATTTCTATTTAAAAATTTAAGGTTTCATTCGGTTTAAAAGGCGCAGACATAAATTCAGTTTTCATTTCTGATTTTTCTTTTTTTTATTTTTTTGCTTTCGTATTTACTTTTCATTACAGTGTTTGCCGGCTGTTACCTTGTTAGAAATAATGCGGCCGCCCATACCTGTCTGATTATAGGCTTCCTTGTAGCGTTCGCCCGTCTCCCGGTCCTCCAGATAAGACTCCGGACGCGGATGTTTAATGTCGCCGCGATAAACGTTGAGGAGATATGTCTTGCCGTTGTGCGACACTTCAATACGCCGTTTATTCATCCAGAAATCGTGCTCTTTCTGCAATGCCGGCAGCATCTCCTTGATGAGCAGCAGCGTGTCGGTCTGGTTGGGCACATTGTAGTGCAGGCGGTACAGGTCCAGCATCAGCGCCAGGAAGGGCGGCTGTGACCTTTTCAGGTAGTAGATGCGATTACCGTTCGGGCAGTGCCCGAACCTAAAAAAATAATTTTCTTATACAATAATAATAATCAAATTTTTTGTTTAATACAAGCGTTGTATTTCCTTGCCCGGAAGAGTGACCTTTTGGCTTACTTGTGGATGAGGTAGGCAAAGTTGCGGAGCATGCCCTGCACGGTGTGGGGCATGTTGGAGGCCAGGAGGCCCTGCATGAGCCAGTAGGAGTCCCAGTAGTAGATCTCGTCGAACCGGCCGCCCGGCACGATGAAGGCGTGCGGCACCCAGATCAGCGTGTGCTGCTCGGGGAAATCACGGGCGTGCAGCGAGATCTGCGTAATAAAAGGTCATCATTAGCGCGCGCATTCACGCCAACAGATTTTTAACTGATTATCTCAACTAAAACATCATATTAACATTACTAATTAATTCCGCATACCTATTATGGAAATTAGTATTAAATTAATTTGTTGATAAATTACGTTGAATATTAGCTATTTATTTTGATATTAATTTTAATTTACCATCGACGCAAAAACTAATTTGTAAATCAATAAATTAATTTTTCTCATTTATTTTTATTATAAAACTAGCTGGATAATGGCTGTCATCGGAACCGGAAAATAAAGGTCACCCGCTGTTTGCTGTAATTACAGGTAGACGTACATTGCGCCCGAGGTCGCGCCACTTGTTATGGATGCGGAGGGCCATCTCGAAGAGCTTGCGGTCGGCGATCTTCTCGGCGAAGGGCACGCCGCCCTGGCCGAAGCGGCGGTAGTCCAGCGGGGGGTGGACGGCGATGTCGTTGTCCAGCGGGTCGTAGTTGGCCGCCAGATAGCTGAAGACCATGCCGGGCGTCACGGCGCTGAGGTTGCCCTGCGTCAGGTTCTGCCAGGCCGCCAGCGTGACGTTGACCGGGTGGCGCAGCGGCAGGTCCACGTAGGTCTTGGAGTCGCTGTGCAGGCGCATGCCCTGCACCGTGTCCAGGATTTCTCCATAACAGTACACCGGGCTGTCAAAGAATTTGCAACAAAATTCAGACGGAACTGTATTCTGAACAACGAGCCGAAGAAAGTATAAGAAAGCATACGAAAACATGAGAAAACATAAGAAAACATAAGAAAACAGCAAAGTTTGACCGGCTTTTTTTCCTGATGCCTTACTTGGAACACGGCAGTCCCGCGTCGTCGGGCTGTGAATCGGCTTCGGTGAGCTGTTCAACGGCGGCAGTTAGTCGTAGCAGGAGTGGCATTAGCAAAATAATAATCCTCCGTTGACCGGCGTTGAAGAGTGCCGTATTAAACGGTAGGAACGCCCACCGACGCAACGACGATCCCGGCGCCGGCATAGTGCCGTGCCGCCGCCGCGGAGGGGGCAGTTGGGATTGTAGGTAGTGGGGCGAGGCAGGGCCGGTCTAATCGATGAATTACAGCAACATTAGTATAAAATTTACCGTGTTTCCCACGATAGACTGCACCGTGGGAACACGTTCTCGCTGCTTTGAATTTTCGTGGCGCAAACGCGGTACCGCTCTTAAAATACTTTGGAAAAATTTCAAAGACGTACAAAAAGATAAAAAATTTAATTTCTGAGCGGATGATGTAGTGCACAAAGGGACGAAGAAATGCCGGTGTCGAGCGGAAGACAGGATGCCTTGTCCGGCCTATTTTGGTATGCTTTTATACAAGGGCAGACGTTTGTGCAGCGTTTTTGTTTGCCGCCGGTTAGGCTACGGTTGGGATTGATCCTGGCAGGCGGGAATCTTCCCGGCGCGCCGATCTCTTGAAAGGCACTCAAGACCCTCAAGTCGCCGTCTATCTGATTTATGCGGGAAATGACAGCGCAGAGGAGAGTGCCGCCCCAGGCTACATGTTATGCTGTTCAGCGCCAATGCGTTATCATTCGACAGCCAACACTAAACGGCGATAGTGTTGTCTCGCGACTGCCTGTGTGGTCGGCCCGGCGTTTCCGGCGCGCCGGAAGTGATCATTCTATGCGTCTCGTCATCCAGCGATGGAAGAAGCAGACTAGCCGGTTTGTAATATTTGTTCAGTGAGTGAAGGGATGCACTAAGCGCGGCCGCGGTCGCTGCACGTGTGCGTTGAGCCGGCGCAGTGCGAGCGCCGCCGGCCGAACTTACAATCCATTTCCTAGTTTTTGGTTTAGAGGGGAAAACAAGGGGTATGGCTTATACACAGCCTTACAGAGAATGAGAATGCAGCGGCTCTGTGGGTTACGTAAATCCGTGCAGATTAAAAATCAGTGTGCAGCGGGATTACAGCAAGCACAGTGCGAATACAACCACATTCACTACAGTAAGTCTGAACCAAAAATTAGAAATGCACTGCAGTCTGTTACAGGCAGGATCAGTACGTACATCGGTCGAGGTTTATGCAGGGTCGGAAGCCCGCCGCGTCCGCCGTGTATGCAAATAATCGAAAGGTCACGCTAACCCATGTCATAATTAATCGTCTGCCGTCGTTTACAAATAAAAGCCAGAACATCTCATTAATCGTCTATGCGCCCGCCCTGCGGAAGGGGCTTACCTGTAGCGGTCAGGGGAGAGGACGCAGGGCACACTAGTGTCCATCAGCGGCAGACGCAGTCGGGGGGCGGCCGCATAGGCGGGGGCGTGGCCAGCGGCCGGCCGACTGCCGCCTCAGTGCGTCGACGGATGGAGCAATACGTTAGCGCTTGTGGCGTTGGCGCAATCCGCAGTATTGTATATAAAGAACTACAGTATAAGATGGCTTAGAACATCCTCAACGCAGCAGGAAAGCGCGGGAGTAACATACGATTACTGCATCTTCATCCGGAATTCGCCCTTCTATAAACTACCTCGCTATAGTCGTCGAGCGCCTGGCCCGGAAAAACACGGAAAAACACGGAAAAACGCGGAAAAACCCGAAACACTGACCTGACAAGCACCCAAATTAAAAAGCGTAGTTACTGCGTTGATACCATTAATATAAAAATTAATAATTTTTATTTCACTGAGCGCATAATCTGTGTGCCAAAAACCAGGCAGACAGGCACATGCGACATGCGTGTATGTCTAGTTTCACGTGCCAGCTGTCGTTCGATCAATGACGTAGTAAATGCGCAACACCAACGTCGCCGACGAGCGACGCATTGGTGAACAATCGATTTCGCCATTCATAAAAATACTGTGGTATTGGTGAGTGTTTTGTACAGGTCTGCGTACGCTAAAGCAGGAGTATCTGTCTATTTATTCACTTTATTAAGTATAGCTGTAATTTTTAGTCGTTTGTTGACTATTTTTATTTATGTACGTTATTAAGTAGTACAGCATTTATTTTGTATACGAGAGTAGGTATTTTACGTGTTTGCTAGATTTTAGAATTACATCAGCTGTGAAAATAATTAAGGTACTGTAACGCATGTAGAGTAGTTATTTAATAATCATAACGTTGTTTGATTATCCCGTTGGACTCGGCATCGCGGAATGCGTGGACGAAAGAAATCTAAGTGAACAGTAAAAAATCGCTCCAGTCACCCATTTACTGTAATAACAATTAAGGGATTTGGCCCGGTACATAGCGCTAAAATCGTGTACATTGACGGGAATATTGGCTTTCGCGCACCTTCAAACACTTTTTTGGGTTGCTTTTTGACATTGTGTAGCCAAATGATTGGCGTAAATAGACGTGAAATCCGTTTTCGCCCGCAACATCCGGTTGCGGAGTTATGAGGGTAACAAAATTCCAAAAAGTTTAAATGCATTCAGGTGTACCAAAAGTCTCATTATGGACCGATCCCTTTCAAACTTTGCACGTAAATGCACATATCCATGAAGATCGTTTTGACACGGATCCACTGTTCTAGCATGTTTTTCAAATTTTAAAATGAATTTCAAAAATTTTAAAATCCATTTTAAAATTTGAAAAAAATCGTAGAAGTCTGGATCCGTGTCAAAACGATCTTCATGGTTATGAGCATTTACGCGCAAAATTTGAAAGGGGTCGGTCCAAAATGAGACTTTTGGTACACCTGAATGCATTTAAACTTTTTGGAATTTCGATACCCTCATAACTTTGCAACCGGATGTTGCGCGCGCAAACGGTTTTTTTCACCTAGGTATACAATTCTTCTGGCTACAAAATACCATAAAGCAATGCAAAAAAGTGTTTTGGAGCGCGCACCAGCGAAAGTTCCAATGGATGTACACGAACTTGGTGCTATGTACCGGGCCAAATCCCTTAACTCAATAATATTGCAGGATATTATGCGTAACATATTATGCGTTGTGTGCGTAACGCTTTGCTATGCTGTATATACGAGAACTGTTAGAACACTACAATTAATTATACATAGGTATGCTACAGAATTTACAGTATCTAAGGTACAGTAGACGTAAAGAAGTCAGTTAATGAAGACTTCTTTTCGAGCCAGTTAAGACTTAATCGAATAAGTCAGTAAATGCTGATGTGTTGTTAGTTAAAATGATGAATCATGTTGTTTGTAAACTCCACGTAATGCAGCGCTGTTGTGTGATTTTGTTTGTATTACGTAGACCGGATGTTGCTATGGTAATCGTATGTCTGGCTGGAACGATCCGGTAACTGCGGGTGGGCGCCGTGAATAATACTGTCGGCATTCGCATCGACGGTTAGGTATATACCTCATAAACATAAACATAAACATAAAAAACATAAACATAAAGCTTACCCACATAAACATAAAGCTTAAACTCTCTTAAAAACTTTATGTTTATGCGAAAAAGCCTTATGTTTATGTTTATGAGGTATATACCTAACCCGCATCGACTGCGTTTCTCCTGCGTTAAAGTACTCAATCGTATTACTTCGGATGTCTGCGTAATTTTATGCGCGGCTGCACATTCGTGTATCTGCAGAGGGTGAGTGACCTTAATCGCTGGCCTATAGCATTCTGCCGAACAGCTTCTAAATAAATTATGCCGGCTTTTTAACCAAGGCAAAAAAAAGCGAATAACCAATTTTTAGTAACACGCCGGCAGAGTTCAACGTGAAATATTTGAGTTAACAACAATAAAAACAATTTATTTGCCGGTGGCTATCGACCGTTGCGGTAGTAATTATACGGCGCGTTGCTGACCTTTCCCGTGGCAACGGCCGAGGCGCTGGACGGCGCCGGCGCCCACTGGTCGTCGTCCCCGGGCGGCAGGTAGCTGCCGCCCAGGGCGTCAAACTGATCACTCCCCGCCGAGCCGTCATTGTAGCCCCCCGCGGGCGGCCGACCGCGGTAGCCGGGCGCACCCGGATACTGCGGGTAGCGGCCGCTGTCGTAGTACCCGTAGTACGGGGGATGCGGCGCCGGGGCCGGCGCCGGCACCACCACCGGGGCGGCGGGCGGCGCGGCCTGCACCGTGATCTGGATGGGCTGCGATTTGGAGGAGAGTTTGCGGCGGTAGGGCCGGCGTTGGGGCGGCGGGAGGGGCACGTAGTTGGTGGGGCGCGGCGGCGGCGGCGGCTGGTAGGCGGCCGGGTAGGTGCCGTAGGGGAAGACGCCGCGGGTGGCCGTGACGATGTCGGCGGGGTTGGCGGCCGTGACGTTGATGATGTAGCCGATGAGGACCTTGGGCCCGTCGACGACGTTGTTTGTGGTTGTGTAATTGTAGTACGGGACGGAGTAGGTGGCGTAGTCAACGGGCTGCGGGTAGTAGGCCGCCGCTGAGGACAGGTAGTTGTAGGCGGGGTCCACCGGGGTGGGCGGCGGTCCCGGCGGGTAGGGGCCGACGGGGTTGGCGGGGTAAGGCGGGGCGGGTTCCGGCGGGTACGGCCCGGCGGCGGGGTAGGGCGGGGCGTAGGAGGACGCCGCCGCCACGGGTTCCGGGGGTAGGCACCACCCGGAGGGGGCGGGCCGGCGGCAACGGGCTCCGGCTCGTACGGAGCGTCCACCGCGTCGCCGGTGTAGTCCCCGGGCGGGACCGGTGGAACGGGAGGTCCGTAGCCCAGTTGCCGAGGTCCGGGATCACCGCCAGGAGCGGCTAATGGAGGTCGAGCGCCGGCCGCCGCTTCCGGACGGGGAAAAGGTAGGAGGCCGGCGCGGTTGTCCGGGATGGCAGGGATGGTGCCTTGTGGCGGTTCCATGGGTGGCCCGGCCGCTCCCATCATTCCTGTCCGGTAAAACTTACAGTTGCGGGGAAAAAATTTTATATTCGTGGACTTACCACCGAGCTGCTGAACAAAACTGGTGCTGGGAGACGCGCCGCCCGGCCCCGGCATTCCCGGGATGGCCTGCGCCTCGATCCGCGCCGGCGTATGCAGAACGGCCAGGATGAGGCAAACATTGGTTAAAAAAACGAAGAATCTCCTTGGTCCGTGTGCTCCTAGGGTTTGCATTTTGTGTGGAATTATAGTGGCCAATTTTGCTGCAGCACTGTTAAGCAGCTAATTGCCAGGTCAATGCCGCATTTTCATGGGCAATAAACACGCGTAAGATGTTCAGCCGGAGATGTAGCACGGTCGTAAAATTATGCAACCGACCCGGCCATTACCGCTGCAATGTGGACGACCGGGGCGTGGCCGGCTTAACACGCCGCGCCGACCAGTAACCGGTATTTTGCACGTATTATCCGATGCTGTTGCCACACATTCGACCTCCATCGCTACGTCTAATCCTGCCAGGGAAATTTCCAATCAGCCAGATGTAGTGCAACATAGAAAATAGTGTGCCCGTGACCTTTACATATTGCACCTGTTTGCCGGCTGGGTGCGGCCGCGTAACATAATGACTGTCCATCCAAACAGCAACTCAACGTGGACCATGTTTACGGCTGTGGTGTGCTGGATACAAAACGGCAGCGAGCTGCTCAAATTAAAGCAGCGTTTAATATAGTCAGCAGCACTGTAATTAGGCGTGTTGCCGTTAAACTACGCTGACGCACGCCCATTGGCGAAAATATATATTTTTCGGTGCAGGATGCAGAACAATGTTGGGCCGGCAGCGCTTGCTGACTATCCTTATTAACAAACGCCGATTTTCGCAATTATTCCGATATACAGCTTTTACTTCCTCTAAATGAGCCAGTTTGGTCGTCTTTCCAACCAGCGGCAGCCGTCTTAAGCTTGCGACTGCCTCGTTGGCCAGTCGATTATTAACCTACTTCACGCAGTACTCGGATATAATAATATTATATGTTGCGAACTTGAGACAATAATAAAAAAAATATTTTGCACGGAAACGTCGCTTCGTCATGCTTCGGGCCTGTCTCGGCATATAACTGCGTACAGCGGAGCTGCATCGTACCGCGTACACTTACGTACAGACACTGCAGATACCGTGGATCAAAATCAAATTAATAGTCACAATGATTTTGATATCGTGGACAACCGCCATCGCTTGGTGCAGCAATGCCCACTGGCCAGTGTGTCGTACAACCACGACAACGGTAACTATGCAAAGAACATGTTAGCGCGCGGTGTATGCTGATTGGTTGAATCCGGTCGGTCGGCTTTACGCAGTTTTATTGCAGTACCCCAATTATTAAGTATTGTTTATACGGTGTTTTCCTCTAATTGTAAGCTGAAATGAAGGCGCGTCGGCATAGTTTTGACGGCGGTGCATGCATGATGCAGCCAACAGAACAGCCGACAACCACAATTGCCAATAATTATCATCAGAGCAACAATTTTATTGTTTCTAACGGTCAGCACTGGCTGGGTACTTATACAAATGTACTAATATTATCATCACAAAATTTCTTGGTTGTGTGCCGGTCCGGCGGCGAACGATGGAGGGCGCTGTAGCCAGCTACAGCCATGGTTTAATTTGCTATTATTCTGTGCAGATAATGCAGGGTACTTGAGCCATTTCAATCCAGCATCACTACGTGCCTAACGGGTATCCAGGTTAAGCGGCGGAAGACGGGCATTCTTTTCCGGCATTATCACCTGCAACGTGCAAAGTCATTAGGCTTTAATTTGGTGCCAGCGTTTTGCGCGTATCGTCGCTCTTGAAGACTGTGCAGTGATTCCATCGTTGTACTCTGTTTATGCCATACTTGACGATGTATAACAAATAAAAATTAACAATTTTATGTCAAGCGTTCCTTACTATCTCGTACAATGTCAATCAATCAGTAAACGCTGCACCAATACGCATCACTAGAAAATTAGTTGACAGATGTGCTGTACAATAATTTAATTTTTTATTATGGCTGTTAGAGAAAATGCAGCAGCCGTACTGTGAAAATTTAATATGCGTCCCAAGGTCACGAAAACGATTTTGGATGTTTTTTCAGTGTTTAAATGTGGATCATTTTATTTAATTAGTGTCCATTAGTCTATAATTAACCCTCTATATGTATCTCTGTCGGCTGTTGCTTAATGAAACGAGTGTATTTTATCAGTATGTGTGCCGGGGCGGCCAGTAATAGGACGGGTAGCCGGCATACTCGCCGAACCCGTCATACGGCGCCCCAGCCCCGCCCAGCCCCACACCGGGCGCGTAGGGAGCAGGCGGTGCTTCTGCCGCAGTATATGCCGGTTCTGCTTCGCTAGCGTACCCAGGAAACCCGCCCGGAAAGCCGCCTCCGTAGCCCCCGTAACCGCCGGGGAAGCCGCCGGGATAGCCGCCGCCGTATCCCGGCGGGCCGTTGGGGTAGCCGTAGTTGGGGGGCAGCGCGCCCGGGTAGTAGCCCTGGTAGAAGGTGGGCAGGTAGCCGTAGCCGTAGGTGGCGTTGTTGACGTAGGTCGGCAGGGACTGCACCTGCAGCACGTAGCCGAGCAGGTACGACGGGTTGGTCGACACGTTGTACCCGTACGGCGCCACGAAGTAGTACGGCGAGGCGTAACTGCAACATGCGCAAATTAAATCACCGTCATACCATATCGTAGCGGTAAGAGGCTGGATGAAGGGTATTATGTGTTGAAATGATGTACTGCGGGGTTTAGCGCTTCAACCAGTGTTCATTTGTACAACCCAGTAAAGTGACCTTTTCAATTACAGTAATTACAATTAAAATTAAAATTACATTAAAGAAAATTATGTGACATTAAATAAGCACATTAATTTAGTTAATATATACGAATTAAATATGTAATAATATATGTTTTATTATTTTCACAGAACGCATTTTTGAATGTTCTAAATTTTTATTAATTTAATTAGTGTAATTCTGCACCGGCGCATTCATAAACGTCTGTACAGATATATAGTATACTGGTGCCGGTTTAAATTAAATTTATTTTTTAATATTAAGCGCGCAATTATCTGTACATAACATGCTGTACGTACCCGTAGCCGCCTCCGTAGCCACCGGCATAGCCACCGTACTGACCACTGACGGTGTGCCGCGACACCAGCGCCACCAACAACACCGCTACGCCGCTCAGCACAGCGTATGCGAAACTACGGGATCCGCATCCCGTCCAGCGTGTATGCATGGTCCACGCTCACTTCTCCCAGTCCGCCCCGCAAATCCACTAACGGCCGGTCACGTGTTCACACTATTCGCAATAATCCCGCTTGATACAAATATATTCACAAAATAGTCCGAAATCGAATAATTAATGCCGGTAAATAAGGAGAATCACCCATTAAGCGATGTACGGTGCGCTTTTCGACTAACCGTCTAATTGTAGCGAGGATGTTTTTCAGTGCAGTTCAAACTTAAGAAACGGTGCCATTAATTTTTTTAATTAGCGCACTCCCCGGCCACGCTGTACGCGGTGTCGTTCGTCAGCCGTATTAAACTTCAACGGACTTTATGCGTTTTGTAGGTAGTTATTGTCCGGGCCATCGCTGGACTGGATCGTTTGACTTTCTAGTGCACTTGTGCGCTGCGGTACATGTATGACATTTTATTAATAACAGGAGTCCAATTAACTTATATCTTACGCAACAATTCCACAATAATTTATGAACATCCAACAATTCTCGGAAGAATTTCTTAATTTCATGTTCCTGACAGGCGCATTTAATTCTTCAGATATTCATGCAGCATCACACTGACAGTCAACGTCTCACTGCTTAGCTTGACTTCCTTCGAAAATTTGTTTACTTTTAACTTGTGCAAAGATAGAGCAGGAACAAATCAAACGACAATTTTAAATCCACGAATTCCAATCGTTTCCGGTGGGTGAAGCAATGGCAGCCTCCCGGTGTGGCAGCGCGATGTGGCTTTACTGCAGGTATTGCATTGGCAGCCGCCCGAAGCGTGTGGCACCATGGTAAGGCTTTTTACAATGCAGGCAGGTGTAACACGGGCAGCCACACACGGACGGCGGTCTGAAACTAAACACGTAGATTCCAACACGTGCAGAGAGATTTAATTTTAATAACCTGAGATTTTTGTATGATGTGTGGTTTCCATCAAAATGGAATTTATGTTGTTTTGAACGATTGATAATTATTCTCTCTGTCAAGAAGCTGGTGATTTTTAATTTGGCTTGCCAGAATCCTGCCTGTAAAGCATTGCCAGCCGTTTTTGCCTGGTGAAGGAGGTTAGTCTATCCAATGAGTATACAGTGTACTGGTATAGCCTATAACGCCAGTTCAGTCAAATCCCAAGGAGACGACTGTGCGCTCTTCCCCTCTCTTCCCGCTTGTCAGCTGGTACGGCTTTGATCGATTTTCGGTTGGACGGGTGGCTGATCGTGCTTAAGGACTCGATGAGTATGTCAGTAGCCCGGCCGATTATCGATCCACTGAGCTAGCGTTGCTTTGTGGGGCTGACGGGAGCAGTGATTAGAAATCTACACTGTGCAGTTGACAGTGGAATTTCTTCCCCAACTGCTTTCTGTACCCTACCTGCACCTTCCGTCTCGTTATCTACCAGTTTAATTTGTACGGTAATCCAGCATGTCAGTATCGCGCTAACCGTTGTCTGCGTTCCACAGAGGAGTGCTGCGTTTGGACGATTGCGGATTGCAAGGGTAGTTACTACCTGAAGACCTTACGGCTTAGTCCTGTGCTTCGGGAGCACAATCAAATAGGTATCGCTATTTCATGCGTTTTGTTTCGTAGCAGTAGTTGAGCAATGTTATACATTTAATTACTGTAGTATAACCGTAGTTCGGCGAGGTATCAGGGCTCCGGTAGGAAAATAATTTCAGCTGCGTAGCTACTTGAGCCGTTGTGGTGCTGATGTTGTGTAGAAATTATTGCGATGTGAACAGCGAGCTGGCATTGATAGTTGTTCTCCTCTTGCCAGACGCTCGGCAGGTGTATTGCGCGAAGTGGTGAGCCATGGATCAGGGAAGCGTGGGAGCTGTGCCTGCCGCTGCTCAAGGACCTTGGGTAAGTCGCAAATTCATTTCCACTTTTTCTCAACAACCGATCATTCTCGCTATGTATTTCAACCGTGCATCTGCTGTTGCCTGAAGATATCCAATTTCAGAAATAATTCTTGTACATAGTGCTCGCTTTTTTTAGATTATTTTACCAGTTGTTTCTGAAATTATCTGAACAGGTGATTTGTGAAATTGTTTAAACAGTTAATTTTTAATATGATTTATACAGTTATTTGTGAATTACAGTATTTAAACAGTTAATTTTTAATTATTTAAACAGTTATTTGGGAAATTATTTGAACACTTCATAATTTTGTGAATTATTTAAACAGGTAATTTTTAGTATTGTTTAAACAGTTAATTTCTAAAAGTATTGAAACCGTTATTAATTTTGTGGAAATTATTTGAGCATTAATTTGTTAAATGATTTAAACAGTTATTTGTGAAATCATTCAGAGAGTAAAGTTTTACAATTATTTAAACGATGATTTTCAAAATTACGTAGCCAGTTAATTTTTGAAATTATTTAAAAACAGTTACTGAAATTATTATTTAACCAGTTGTTTTTGCAATATCTGTGGCTTCCTGTTAATGGCAAGTTGGCAACCAGTTGTTGAAAATACACAGCGACAGTGAATCCGTTAATGTTAACGAGATAAATCCCCGTCGTGACTCGTGAGTGAAGACGTTCGTCCGGCTGAATAGAGCTATAATCGGTTCTCTACATAAGTATACATTGGTGAAACAGAAAATCACGCAGTAAATCACTTCAGTACGTAATACACTTCGTCCAACCTCTTACCGATGATAGTATCTAGCAATTTACTGAATTTAGGTAACCAATGATTGCATTTTGCAGTATTTAACAACGGGACAACGAATTTGCGGCACCGTCGCCGGCATCGGTAAGGCCTTCGTGATTATCCTGTGTTCCTAACCGTTAGCCGCATAGTTGTGCCGGATATGTTGCAGCGGCCGTGGTGTTTGGCGCACTGCTGATCATCTTCTCCGTCATCACCTTGAGCGTCGGCTGCGTCATCGGCGGCGTCCTGCAGATGTACGTGGTACTGCTGTTATCCGCACGTGCCGACGTTTCTAGAAACGTGCTAGTTAATTTCCCCGTATTTTACAGCGTGTTCGGCCTGACGATGCTGGCGTTCGAGGCGCCGTTCCTGGTGCGCGGCCTGACGGCCTTCGGGCGCATCGCCGCCTTCTGGGAGCACAAACCGCAGTGGTACAAGGTCATCCTGTACGCCGCCATGGGCATCCTGCCCCTCATCATCTGCGGCTTCGCCACCAACAACATCCTGGCCTCCCTCGGCATCATCATCACCGCCGTCCTCTACGGCATGGCCGCCGTCGGACGCAAGTGAGTGGCATATCTCTGGCTCGTGCTTATTGGGAATTCTTCGTTCATGAACGATAATTACAAAACTCAATCCCGATCGCGAAATGTCATCAAATACAGTACTTGCAACATTTTGATGGCCTGAAAGGCGTATAGATGCTTTAAGACGCGAAGCTTCTAACGCGCCTAAAGAGGCATTCGTAACGCACATTCGGTGAAAATCATTTTCCTGTCGAACATAATTTACGCTTCATCAGAATCTCCAAGCTGAAAATTTTTATTGAAGGAAATTTAGTGACTTCCGGCGCTTAAAACACTTGCAGCCGCTCGAGCGCCAATTTTATCTAGGATTTTTTAATAACTCCCGTTCATTTCCTTTTTTCATTTTCGTCACGAAAAAATTGTATTCTCTGCACTACTGTTGCTTTAAAAAACTTAGAATAAATTACTTAAATTTTAAATGCAACGTCAAGGAGCAGACTGCTACGTAAGATTCACAGACCAATGCGGCGTAAATCGAGCGTGAATTATTTAAGTGTTAATCGGATTCTCCAGACCTTCCGGCCAAGGTGATTAAGCACTGTTGTGTCGTCTTGCAGGGGCTCCGGCGCGCAGATGGTGCCACCCGGGCCGGCCTTCCAGGGCGAGCCCTACGCCGACAAGTCCGGGCTGGTGGAGAGCCAGTACAACACCGGGGGATACGCCGCCGGCCCCGGCGGCTTCCGTTGAGCTCAGACAAGCCCCTGCTCTGGCTTCCGACGGGGCGCTGTACTGCCCCGGGATATTCCTACACCGAACGATTGCCCGTGACTTTTATAAGTTCCTAACTGCGTCGCTGTCTCTGCTTATGATGTATTCCATGGATTCCGGTTTAATTTCTCCTATCCACAGTTTTATAACGTTTCCGTCTTGATGTTGGCCGTTGACTGTTTATGTTACTCTGATCTCCGAATGTTGTCTCGCAGTTGCATGTGCATCCGTATAATTGTTTTACACTGTTTCCATTGGACATTGATTCGTCATTCCGTAGCGCCGGTAGCGGTTTAATCATTCAAAAATTCGTGAAAGGTTACATTGGCCGTTGATTTCGTACTACTTAACGTGAATTCCTCCGCAAATTCGTTGGCTTTTAACTAAATTTAACATGTAGTAGAAAGAAATAAACTGGCAGATGTAAAACAGCGAAGTTTATCTACTTCCGGTGGGTGGAGCAATAGCAGCCTCCCGCTGTGGCAGTGTGATTTGACTTTGCTGCGAAAAATTGTGTAAAGTTTCTATTTATTTCAAATTCAATCAGCAAATCAGAAGCGACCTCTGTCTGTTTGCGCTCCTGTTAAAAAGGAAGAACAAAGACATTTGCAGAAAATATTTTACATGGATAACAAACCGGTCCACACAAACAAACAAACCGGTACCGAACCCATTGAATTAGCACAGGACATACTCCATCACTCCATGTAAGTAAACCGCAGCGCGTGCTGCATATATATCGTTGGTGCCGGTTTTGCTCCTGTTCGTACACTGTCCCGAGTGGCAGTGAAAGACAAAACACTATGCAATATTACTGTCATCCGAAAACGTTGCATTCTGCAGCATAAACAGTCGGGATGGCGAGCACGGCGTCCGGCACACTGCACAGCAACCCTGTCAAACGAACACAGGCACATTAGGCAACAGACTAAGCACCTTCGCCGGAACCCTTTATTTTCGCATGTTTTCTTAGCAAATTGCGCACCTTGGCTGCCACATAACGACACACGCAGCTCCAGCAGAAGACGTGTCCGCAGGGCGTGGCCGCTACCCCCGTGGCGGAGGCGCCCAGGACTTTGCCGCAGACGGGACACTCGACGTTGTCGCTGCTCTTGTTCATCGCTCGAAGGTTATTATTATTATTATTATTATTACTATTATTATTGCCGTTTTTCATCGCTCGCGCGGGTCCTTCGTCAACACGCTGCAGCAGCTCATCCAGTGCCACAAGCGCCACACACCCGGCATCCAGCACCGTCCGGAATCGGCCACTTCCGGTCGCCGGTACAGTGCGGCGGCGCCACGGTCGCAGCGCGTCCAGGACGGCTCGCAGCCAGCGCAACCGGTGCTGGGCCGCTGCGGACGTCGAGGGCGGGGCGTCGACGTCCCGGTGCATCTCCGCGATGGCCAAAAAGAGGCGGAAGATCCTCCACTGCGTAACACCAGCTGAAACAGAGGATTTGTCGCCAGCATTGCGTTGTTCCAGCTGTGAACGGATCCAGCGGAGAATAGCCGATAGCATCGCCATTTGTGCCGCTTTGACCAACCGCCCTAGGGCGCCGGTACCCTGGCTGTTGTGGCAATCACAGTAATCACACTGGTGGCATGTGCCTTCGGAAGGGACCACGGCTTCGAGGCCAATACTGAGAGAAGTGCTGCCGCATTGGCAACCGCACGGGCGTTGGTAGCAGCAGTTGGCGATGTGGTACAGCGCTTTCCAACAGCCGCGGGCGGGCGCTGCTGCTCCAGGAAAATCTCGCCAACTGGTCGCGAAACGCTCCACGACATCGCAGTAGTCACGCCAGTAACGAGCGTTCACGCGCTGAATTTCCAAGGATGTCGTCAGATCCTGGATGAGCGCGTCCATCGTCGCAACGTGGAAGCTTGCAACAATATTACTGGCAACTTGGCACTGGCTTCTCCATCCGATCGTCACACGTAAAATTCGTCAATCACAGAAAACACTTTCCCTCAGTCGTCGTCTTTCCCAGTCAAAGACCGATGGATTACGGAATGGCCTACTGCAAAATAACATTTACTATCCAATAAAATTAGAACAATTTGATTCTTCGGGTGGTGTTTTCGTCAAAATCGATTTTAAAAGTAAAAAAAAAAAGAAAATGAAAGCAGAAACTGAGAAACTGACTGCACAGCGTTTGATGCGTGCGCCCAGGGCGGCAGTTACGTCTGCTGATTTTTAGCCACTGATTCCGACGCACAGCTACGTAGTGGCAATTAATTTGGAATATTCAATCATTTCTCATGATTTCTGGAAGAAATAGAATTGTATGTTTTGAGGATGCCTTATTGTTTACTCTCATCTTAATCCTGAATGCGCAGTTTGCATTATTTAACATAAAGTAGTCTATCGCTTCATGGATAATCTGTGGAATCTGTAGAGTGTGTTGGCCTTGTTGTCATCAGGCTGGGAGAGTGCAGGACCTGTGTGTTGTCAGTCGGCTGCGTTTGTTCGGGGAGCCTTCGCCTTGGCGAATACTTTCTGCTGTTGCTGTTGAATCTGCAGCTAGCTGATCTACGCGGCTAGCTGCTACATTTCTTCACTGACCACCAGTGTGCTTATTGTGCCCGCTGTCGGCCAGAAAAAGGCAGATTCGGGACGGAGAAGATCGCTGCTTCAGTGACACGCTGCAGCGTTCTGTGCAACGTGACAATCTGACAGCGTACTGTAGCCCGTTGATTATCATTTGCGATTTTATAAGTGCTTATTCCTCTCCAACTGCTGGCTATCATGAACTCCAGCACCACGTACGTGTAAATACTTTATTATTAATTTTAATTAATATTTATACAACACGCACAAGTATAATTAAATGGATTCTGCGATACAGACTGTGAAACAAAATTTATAAGAATTGATTATTGAATGAAATATTAGAAAATATTTAGCCAAAAACCGTGCATAAATTGTATAATATTAGTATAACAGTATTTAAAACACTAGCAAATATTTAAAATAGCCTATTTTAAAGACCGCCTGGAATCCGTAATATTTAAATTTGAAATAATATTCCTTGTTTATTAGAATTTGAATTGTTAAAATAATTATTTCATTATCAGTGTTTGAAATTTAATTTGACTGATTAATGTAGCTGGCGGGGATAGTGGTATTATGCCCAGTCGGAAAAAGCTGCTGGCCTCCGGCATCCACTGGTCCTCCCACCCGGAGCCCCTCCACGCGGCCCCCGCCGACGCCGCCCCCCTGCTGCCCTTCCCCGGCGCCCCGGCCGGCCACCTGGGCCTGAGCGCCGCCGAGGTGGACGCCCTGACCCTGTCGACGCTGTCCGCCGATGCGCAGCCGGCCCTGGCCTTCCCCGTCGAAGCGGAAGCCGCGCCCGCGCCCACCGGGATGAGCCAAGCTCTCTCCTGCCGACCCCGTCGCCCACGCTGCAGCTGCCGGTGCCGTCCGACTGCAGCATGTCGGGAGGGTCCGGTTCGGAGATGAGCACGCCCTGCGTCAGTCCCAAGGGACCGGCTTCACCGTCGCCCAATAAATTCTGCCCAGGTATTTTTATTTTAATTTCTTATTTGAATTTATGTTTTTCCTTCTTTATTCATCAATTTTATCAATTTTCGGTTGTTATTTTCAGTTGACTTCATGTATTAATTTTTATCGATATCTTTAATAATTTTACTATTTATATTTTTTTTTTATTTATGTGCTTTACCATAGCAGGAATGAAGGCGCATATTAAGATTGCGCTTTAGGTACGCACACAGTCATAAAACAATTATCTATGTATCTTCGCGACAGGCGGCGTCGAACGCGTTGAAAGCGCAGACCGACAGACCTTCATTCCTGCTATGGTTTTAATTTTGCTTATTTTATTTTTACAAGTCTTAATTTATTCACGCACGCAGTTGTTGGCGTTCGCCTTAATAACAGCCGAACTGAAACGTTGCTTAAGAAAAGCCGGTTTTTTTTATTAGCACGTCCATCAGTATTACAGTATAATCGGCTCGTTCATGATTGTTTTCTTACTGTCGATGGGACGTTGGGAATACGTATGTTGTCGGTAGGTTCGTTGATCCAGCTGGCCAACGGGCAGCTGAAGGCCGTGGAGAACATGACGGTGGAGGATTTCGAGCTGAGCGCCGCCCTGTCCAGCAGTCTGCGCGTGGAGTACAGCATCGTGTCGCGCATCGAGAAGAGTCCCCTGGGGCATCTGCGCGCGGAGAAGAAAGAGGACGCCGACGTGGTCATCTACTTCCGTGTGGGCCATCTCAGCGCCGAGGTACGTGGAAAGCATAAGAACATTAATCGAATATGTTCAATGGTAATTGCCCTCATCCTGGTGTACGGTTGTACGTCTGATAAAGCTAAAGGATTCGTGTATGGCTATTTGATTTGTATAAAGCTAACAGTAAATGATTTGTGTACATTGTTCTGAAAACCGTTGGCGCGCGCAACACCCGGTTGCCGAGATATGGCGAACTAAAATGGGCGAAATGTTTAGACGCAGTGTTGTGTACCAAAAGTCTGGTTATGACCCGATCTTCTTGAAACTTTGCTGTAAAAGACGCACGGCCATAACATAACGTCGAAAATGAACCAATATCAGATTCGTGGCATTTTTTTCCGACTTTCTAAGGAATTTTAGAAACTTTAAAATTCATTTTAAAATTATGGGATAGTCCTATGAACTTGAAACTGGTCTACTTTATGACCGTGTGTCTTTTACCAAGTACAAAAAAGTGATTCGGAGTGCGCGAAAGCGAACGTTTTAGTGTAAGTATACAGTTTTTTGACATCATGTACCGGGCCATTTCCCTTTAGAATGTCCTATAAAGAATAACCTGAGAATTTGACGCCGGAAAGGGTAGTTATTGATGCTGGTTCGTATTGTTAAGGTGGCCGTGGAAGCGACCACCGCGCACCCCTTCTTCGTCGTCGGCAAGGGCTGGTCGTCGGCCGCGCCGGCCAGCACGCTGACGCGCTTCGGCCTGAAGGTGGCCTTGTTGGTCGCCGGGGACACCTGCATTTCGCTGGCGTGCCGCGACGCCAGCCAGTCTTCCAGAAACGTCACAGGTGAGCAAATGCAGTTTATGTACGATGTCGGACTGCGAAAGTGGACTCCGCGGGTCAAAAATTGCATAAGAAAATCAACAAACAGTGTGCAACAGGAGCACATCACCGGCAACTGCGAAGCGCGTTATTTCATCTCGATTTGACGATTTACTTCGCATTTGTATGCGTCACAGCTCGCTTGGTTTCTTATAATTAATTGTTCTAAATTCTAATAAAAACTTAATGTTTATTTTGTAGTTGTGCTTTTCTAATAAAAATAGTGCAGAAAAATTGATTTTTTGAGAAATATCGAACAGATAATAAATAAGAATTGTCTACAACTGTCGAGATCAACTGGCATTAAGCCGCCGCAGCGAGCGGTTGTTTCACGCGCCGGAAGTTTGAATTTCCTTCATTTCAAATGTTCATGTAAACCTACTGTGTCAACTGATATGCTGCTGTTTCTTGGGTTTCTTAGGTTTTCTTATGTTTGGATTGTTGTGTAGATGAAAATACTCTGGCCGCCGCTTCCGCGTCCAGCGCCGTCCGCGGCCCGGCGGGCGTGGCCAGTGCGCCGTCGCGGCCGGAAGCCACGAAGGTGGACGCGCGCACTACCTTCCCCTTCCAGTACGGGCCCGCGCCCGGCACGGGCGAGCCGCCGCCGGCGCCGGCCAGCAGCCACTCCGGCGTCCCTCCGCTGCTCTTCACCGCCACCGAGTCGGAGCTGGCCTCCTTCCGGCGCTGGTCGGCCCCGGAAGATGATCGCTTACTAGAGACGTTTCTCGCGCATCACTCCCACATCCCGAAATGACCGGATGTGTTTCTCTATTACGCACGCGGGCAGAAATGATCTCGGCGTGCGTCAGTGGTGCTGTGATGTCGACAACGGCTGTGGATAAAAAGCTGCACTAATTGCCGATATTGCGAGGATGATTGATTGCTATTTTTCTAAAAAGGACATTTACGCGATTGCTGGGAATGGTGGAGTTGCCTTGCGTAGAATAGAAAACGTGTTGATTGGAAATTGTTGTGTCTTCGCATCGTTCACAGCCGATTCACTCGTTAAGCTAAGAATATTCTTCCAGATAAATGCCTCATCTGTTTTCATTCCGACTTGTTGTTCGGGCAAAATCTAGTAGATCTGATTAGGGCGTGATAATTTGCATCGAAGCACAGCAAGATGCTACTATTTTGCACCGAGCGCGAAGCGCGAGGTGCTGCAATAAGCCTGCGTCAAGAGCATAAAATTTGCCTGACGCCACGAAGAGCGTACGTCACGCTTTTCCAATTCCACAAATCCAGTACCATTTGTCCAGTGGTACTGGCGCTCGCTCGGTGCACGGATGTGGTATAACCACCACCGCTAGTAGTTAGTACGAGTATCCCGGATAACTAGGAGGCAAACGTGACGGTGATAACTGATAAACATGCCAGTCCGGACAGCATTCCAGCGTCCCTGATTCGATCGATCGCTGGCATAGGAATGCCATGCGCTTATTACTATGCAGTGTTTTACACAAGTAGATGTAGTGCATGCGAACCCGCGTCCTAGTCACTCGCACATGCCTTGTATGAACGAGTATACGATAATAATATTAACATCACCATGTAATGATATTGATAGTGCCTGAGTGCGGACGTTGCATTCGGGTGAAAACCGGAGAAATTAGAACTAGTGGATCACCGCTTGTCTGCAGCCGCGTACCAGTCTAGCGGTGATCAAGTGAAATCACTGAAATGGCCGATTCGCAGATGATGTGCTTGTAAATAAATCCCTTGTACGAGTAAATCCATTTGATTTACGCGCGCCAGGAGAGTCTGATTACCGATTCAAGGTGAGTTCCTGCAGCTTGCTGCATAACCTGTTATGGAAGGTAGTAGCTGCGATGCAGCCATGGTCTCTGTCCCACGGATAATCGGCAAAATTTGTAGATTATCCGTGGGGCAGAGACCATGGCATATGCAACGGACACCTAAACAGATCGTTTTCGCTACATAAGTGTAGAACATTCCCTCGATCTTATTGACGGGTACTTGCCCGGTGATTCCTTTCCTGCGTAACGGTAACACGCAAAAATTAGTAGTTAACTAAGTCAGCTACTAATTTTTGGGAGTGTTTTTTATGGAGCTTAGCTTAACTGCTTAACTTAACTGCTTAACTTAACTCCTGCTGCTAAGCTCCATAAAAAACACTCGCTTTTACGGGCACTAGTACTACGTAACCGAAGCGCAGCCAATAATACTACGTCTACTACCTTAACGTAGTACCCTTCGTGCTTAAGAGCAGGCCGAAAATGATGACCGGCAATCTTAATGAGTAAGCAAAGTGCAAACAAAGCGAACAAGAGCAATAACGTGGACACATTTGCTTTTGCAGAAAACGGAGTGTGACATTAATTGTAATGTAACGTTTTGTCATGTAATGTTGTACAGTAATGTAATGTTTTGTCAGTGGCGGGTAATGTATTGAAGATACTACAGGGAAACCTGTGACTTTGAACAGTTTGAATGAACAATCGCTTAAATTGAGCACGCTCGTACACTGAACGGTTTTACTGGAACCGGTGAGTCCCATAGACTGTAAAACTTGTTCCGTACATTGAACAGGCGTCTACATTGAACGATTTTTTAGGAACCGTAGGTGTTCAGTGTACGCAGGTTTTAAGTTTTACTGTACCGCCACCTTAAGTCGTGACAACCTGCTTAAGGAAAATGGCCCGGCGCATGGGGACAAAATTGGCATACATACATGGAACCTTTCGCTTTCATTTTGAATCACTTTTTTTGTAATACTTTATGTCATTCTAAAGTGAAAATAATGATTTGCGTACGTTGTTCTGATAACCGATTCGGCGCGCAACATCCGGTTGCCGAGATATGGCGAACCAAAATGGGCGAAAAGTTTAAATGCATTTTCCCATAGTTTTAAAATTTTAGGAATTCATTTTAAAATGGGAAAAAAACTGCTATGAATCTGTTATTGGTTCATTTTCGACTTTATGGCTATGTGTCTTTTGCAGCAAAGTTTCAAGAAGATCGGGGTAGTAACCAGACTTTTTGTACGCAACCATGCATTTAACCTTTTCGCCCTTTTCAGTTCGCCATATCTCGGCAAGCGTATGTTGCGCGCGGAAACTTTTTTTAGAACAATGTATACAAATTATGTAGCTCTAAAATGAGATAAAAATTAATAATACAAAAAAGTGATCCGGAGTGCGCGAAAGCGAAAGGTTTCGTGTATGGTTCCCACTTTTGGCACCCTGTACTGGGCCAATTTTTCTTAAGGATGCATGTGCAGATACGTCTCGATCTATCCACCGCAACGTATCTCCTAGCTAGTTAAAGGTTTGCTATTTATAATGTATGCTGCTGTAACACAAAAGGGAATTTTAGATTTCACATGGTTTAGACTCCGTTCACTAGAAACTACCGCGTCAGATAAACAGTACGTTAGCAGACTAAACAGCGTTTAAAATGCTTGTACGGATGCACACTTGCAGTGACGTACAGCTGAAAAATAAATCGAATCGAGAGTGCCGAGAGCGTGACCAACCTGCTCTCGGGGAGGCGGTTAGAACACACAAAAAAGATCCACAGGCAGCATACGCTGGCTTGTCGCTCTAACATATGGCTGAGCCGTTGTACAGATCCACGTAAGGCAGACAGTTTTTACGCGTCAGCCAACGACGTTGGCTTACGGCGCCTTACGTCGCGAACGGACGTAAATCAACCCGTAACGCCAACTTCTACCCGAACGTCGAAATGGACGTAACTTGTTTTGTGAAATCTAAAATTCGCTAAAGATAAACAGCCTGGTCCGTTTGCCAACTTCGGGTGATCCTGCTACGGACGATACCAGACACCGTTCGATTTCAACTAAGTCTGCGTGACCTTTGCAATATGAGCGCAGAAATAAGTTCGCAAGACTTGCTTCTTTGTTTAGGCCAATGTCAAAACGACGGCGGAATTTTGTCAGGTCAAAAAGACGGCGGAATTTTCTGCCGGCGGAAATTTTGTGAGGTCAAAAAGACGGCGGAATTTCTCGTGGTCAAAATGCCGGCGGAATTTTTGTAACTTTTTAATTTCATTTACTGTGCATATTTAAAAACAATTTGGAAGAAAAATGTATCTTACATAGATTCGGGCGGCTCACCGGTATGTACAGCTCTCAGACGAAGAATCTCTACGCGCAGACACACAGAAACCGCGGCTAACTCAGACGCATTCTTGCGGCAGAAGCGGCTGCACCACAAATTATTCTTTCACGCGCAGCGCGGCAGCCGCTGCGGTTTGTTTTAAAAAAATTGGCATCTGAAGAATTTTGCGAAAACAGATTAATACATTATCTGGTTATTACATTATCTGGTATCTTAATACTGACATGGAGACGTGACACTTCTGTTCTAAATGGCATTAAAATCTGGCATGGAGGAAGGTTACGAAACGGACGATGCCAGCGGCAATGAAAGCGAACATCCGGCGTAAGTAACACACTTCAGTTTTATCTAACCCAGTTTTTTATTAGACAATTTTACGGTTAATATTATACTTATAATACATGTGTTAATGCGGCTGTGTCGTGCTCATTGAATATTTAGGTATTTATCGGAGACAGCTACTGTCATTTATATCTGTCTAACGTAAAAGATATCGCTATTAAACGTTAAAAGAAAGTAGGCGTTACGCACTTACTTTACGATACGCATTACCGTAAGAATACTTATTTTTTTCTGTTGGAACAAAACTGGATGCAATAACTGCAGATAAAAACGTGTAAAAAGACGAAAATTGCAGACGTTTGTTTTGTAACAAATTTTATGACTTCAGCGGCGAACTAGCAAGAAGTTGCATGGCAAACTGACTACGCGCAAAAAATGCTCGGGTGCATAAAAATGACCTTTGTGCTATTAAATCAATATTCATTCAAATTTAAATAACATTAGCGCTTGTATTGCCCATGTCAACTAGTTTAATAATAATAGTATTATTAGTATTTAGGTGATTTCTTAAGTGACTTAGAAAACGCATTTAGTGTTTAGTGATCATACATGCTAAATATAATAATTTTTTAGCTTCGGCACACTATGGTACTTCAAGCCCCACCCTACGATGAGCCAAAAGAAGCGTCGAGAGTTTTGCTTGGACCTCCTGGACCGTGACTACGAAGAGCCCAACCAGGAGTCCTTTGAACCCATAACTACGATGCCGATGGCCTTTCAAAACGCCAAAGGTGATGGAATATTTTTGGTACAAATGGGGCCGGAGGACACCCGAACCACTCTGCGGCCCGACGGCTGCGGCAGATGGAAAAATAATGGTAACACGGCGACTGAGGATGTATACACCACCTACTATCGCAATATTACTTGCCGGACATTTCATAAATACGCACATGTCAACGACACCAAACGCTTGGCAGTACTCGACTACTGGTGGGACCCCGACGCAACGCCAAAGGCATTCCCAGTACCGCCTCACGGTAATTCCAAATCTTCGGCACCATTTAATGGCACCAATAAAATCGCGCGTCGAGTGATTTCTAATACACTATCCGAAAATAAGTTTTCCCGTAATGACGAAATCATGGACATTGCCAAAAAGGTTGCGGCAAGCGGCAGCTGCAATCCTATGTTTATTCCACGGGATAAATCACAAGTAAAGCGGGTGAAGATTGCATCGAAAAAATCCGAAATGGCGGACCTGATGGGCAAACTGTGTCAGGAAGAAGACGTATACTTTCACTGCACGACAATTAATACTTCGGAGGACGAGAAAAAGAATATGATACCAGTTGTCTGCAGGCTGTCACAATCACTGCTGGTGAAGTCATTCGTCCTTCCAGGTAAATCCTGAACCTGTTACCAATACTGTCCACTGCTTAGGTAGAATATTATCGCATTATCGTAGTTTTTTATTTGTGGTCTGGTAAGGTACCGTTAATCTGTTGTCTGGTAAGGTACCGACGCACGCCCGGCACTGGGCGGAAGTCAGTGACGGCCGCGGCACCCGGCCGGCACTGGGCGGAAGTTAGTGACGGCCGCGGCACCCGGCCGGCACTGGGCGGAAGTCAGTGACGTCCGCGGCACCCGGCCGGCACTGGGCGGAAGTCAGTGACCTCCGCGGCACCCGGCACTGGGCGGAAGTCAGTGACGTCCGCGGCACCCGGCCGGCACTGGGCGGAAGTCAGTGACGTCCGCGGCACCCGGCCGGCACTGGGCGGAAGTCAGTGACGTCCGCGGCACCCGGCCGGCACTGCGCGGAAGTCAGTGACGTCCGCGGCACCCGGCCGGCACTGGGCGGAAGTCAGTGACGTCCGCGGCACCCGGCACTGGGCGGAAGTCAGTGACGTCCGCGGCACCCGGCCGGCACTGGGCGGAAGTCAGTGACGTCCGCGGCACCCGGCCGGCACTGGGCGGAAGTCAGTGACGTCCGCGGCACCCGGCCGGCACTGGGCGGAAGTCAGTGACGTCCGCGGCACCCGGCCGGCACTGGGCGGAAGTCAGTGACGTCCGCGGCACCCGGCCGGCACTGGGCGGAAGTTAGTGACGGCCGCGGCACCCGGCCGGCACTGGGCGGAAGTCAGTGACGGCCGCGGCACCCGGCCGGCACTGGGCGGAAGTCAGTGACGGCCGCGGCACCCGGCCGGCACTGGGCGGAAGTTAGTGACGTCCGCGGCACCCGGCCGGCACTGGGCGGAAGTCAGTGACGGCCGCGGCACCCGGCCGGCACTGGGCGGAAGTCAGTGACGGCCGCGGCACCCGGCCGGCACTGGGCGGAAGTCAGTGACGGCCGCGGCACCCGGCCGGCACTGGGCGGAAGTCAGTGACGGCCGCGCACTACCAGTTATACTCTAATACTCCCGTTATATGCTGTACATCTGTATAATGTAGATGGTGCTGACTGCAGACTACATCTTACTTTCTTATAATAACAGTATTACATATTGGGAAAATTATCGTTTCTGCCGATAACAAACTTGATTTCATTTTAGGATTTACGGGGCACAACGTTTTCAGTCCTCTGTACATTGATATCGTGCATAATATCGGAGAATATTATGTGATGACCTTGGCCATCCAGCACCCTTACCTGCGCAGAAAGGAAACCGCCGCTGTTTCCGCAAATATTTCAGAAACAGCAAAACTGCGTGGTTTTGGAAATGCAGTTCTTATCGTCGGAACGGCAATGCTAACTGGCCTATTCGCGGCCGAAATGCAAGCCGCATTGTATACGATCCTTGAAAGGTATCAACGTGACTGTGGTGACAGTGAAATATTTACGAAATGGACTCCGACAATTGTGGCTGATGGTGAAGCGGCGCTGCGCAAAGCAATTTTAACGCTACTTCCGAAAGCAAAGCTTCTGACCTGTTTTTTACATCTTAAAGACAATTTCAAACGTCATATGAAGCTGAAGCTGAATATGGACGAATCATCCATCAACATGGTCCTTGCGATCTTTTTCGGTGGCAAATTTACTGACGATGACGAAGAAGAAAAGGGCATCATCGACAGCGCATCCGAAAAGGAACTCGATGCTAAAGTTGCAGACCTATCTTCCGAGTTATCCAGCATCCACCCGGGAATTTTGGCATATTATCAGAAACGTAAAAGGCAAATATTTCTGGACCACGCATTGTTAGATGTACGCCAATCTGCGGCTTTCGGATCTGACCATGTGACTAATAATGTGGCCGAATCTGCCAATTATGAATTGAAAGACACGCTCAGAAATTTGCCCCAAAAGCAAATTGGCCTTATGGAAATTATCTCTCAAACGAAATCTCTCATTCGCCGTCAGGAAACTCACATCGCGGAGGCTATTATCGGTACAATACAAGTAGTTATCAAAGATTATTTGCTAAAAATATCTCACACATTTCATTGCCCGATAATCGGCGAGACATTTTAAAAATTTAAAAAAGTTATTGAAAAATTGAATTATATATAATAAAGGTCTACAATAGTAGTGAGCAACACAACCTTCGGAACTATATTAGCACAATCAGCGCTAATATGCATTCCCGCTGCATGTACAGTTTCAATTCATGCAACGCCATATAATCACGATTTTATGAATTCGCAGGTTGCGGCGAGTTCATTTTTACGGAGGCTTCCCCTTGCGTGGCACACACCGCGGATGTGCTAGACAACGAATCTGTGTACAAGAATTGTCTGCGAAAATTATTCGGCGGGACTTTAAGCCATGACCCTTTATCCGACCGCCGCTCAAAGCTCGCGTCCCATGAGACCGACTGCACCATCAAGTTTCAGGTTTCGTTTGAGAAATCCGAATTATCAATTGACTACCAACCATGCTGGAAAGCTGCGTTTCAGTTGATTAAAACGAAAAAGATTCACAGCGCTCCACCTCTGATGGGTAGCAACGTTTTCCTGGTAGACGATCCTAATGGTCATTTGAAAAAGGTCACATGGTCGGCGGAAGCAGCCGCTGAGTGTTCTTGCGCTGATTTTAAGAAAAAAGCCTTTTGTTGTGACGTTCTGGCCGTGTCTCACATGATGCAAAGAATGCCTGAGTTTCTCGAAAATTTCCGCTGTGCAGTTCCTCCTTATTCAATGCTCATAGGACCGACATCCACAGGAAAAGGCAACACAAAACGAAAAGCCGACAGGAACGAAAAACACAAACACAGTGGGCACAAAACGAAAAGCCGACAGAAAATTGTCGAAAGGAGCCACGCTCCGCTCAGTATCGTCGCAAGCCAGCAGTTTCAACAGACAACTAAAACGGTCGCATATTGAGATCACGGTACTTATTTTTAGTTTTATCCCGCTAAAAAACGTAAAATAACAGTGGTTTACTGCGTAGCGGCTTGTTTAAATAAATTGTTTCTGACGAGTAGGAGGACAATTCGGACAACGAAGTATCCATTATCGGCTGCAAAACTGCCGAACCGGAAACCCTGAAGGTCAGTCGTAGTTTTATTTACTACACTAGCTGCAGTTGTTGTAACATGTCTATTTAATGTGTGCCACTACTCCATAGATTACACAGTAGTTTATTGCTTGGGCAATTGTTTAAATAGGGCGCAATCGCTTCACGTAGGAAGAAATTCAAGGTCGAGCCGAAAGAGGAAGTCGTGGTAATTATGAAACTTTCCATTTAGTAATTAAAATGTATAAGAAATAATTCAATTGCAAATACCTATGTAAAGAGCACAAGAACATGCCTGAAACATACTAATTTTTAGTGGCTTCAATAAGGAAGCATCAATTAAATAAAGAAATTTTAAATTTATTTTTATAGCATCCACAGGTGAACGAACTGTATCAACTGGAACAAGAACTTGAGCGAGAAAAATCTCCAGGTATTATACCCTGAAACTGTTCTTCGCAAAGCCGTAACAATTAAAATTAGCCATATATATTTATTTTGTACGGTTGTTTTGCCTAGAACCGTGTCCCTGTTGCAAGGGGATTAAGCACCTTAATCCGTGGCAGAAAGGAAGCAGCCGTTTCCGCATCACAAAAGATGCCGCTGTCCATCCTAATTCGAAGTGTCCTGGCTGTGGAAAAAGATTTGTGGACAATCCGCCGGCACTGGACATCATTGTGGTCCGCGAAGAGTTTGAGTATATCAGTGGCAGCAATCGGCAAGCAGTAACTGACCGGGCTAAGCCCAGAAAGTATTGTCTGCGTGCGGCATGCATTAAGCGCCGTCACCCGCAGTTCACATCACAGTTTGCAAATCATCTGGATGACGCCGTTAAATTCAAAAAAGATGAGCTGGTTGCAATCGCAAAGTTTCGCGCTGAAATTTAGTCGAAGTAGTGTTGAGTTCAGGGCATGCATGTTCTTTTGTCATTGTGCTTTTTTTGATATTTTGATACCTTGTTTAGCGTCCCAATTAGGATTAGCTGATTGGTATACGAGTACGTACGTATGTTCTTTTGTGATTGTTTTTTGTTTGCTTGCGTTTTTTTAAATTTTTCGACCTTTTGAGTTGTAGTTTTCGTTTGTTGTTGTTAACTGTCTGTCTGCCGAACGATGAAGCATGTTTTGGAATTAGCAAAAGCAGAATGCAATACACCGATACATAATACATAGAATGTCCAGGTTGTACTTAGTACTTACTGCATGACTTAGTTTACCAATAAGTTGGTTTTGCATCAGTTCGTGATTGCCTTAAAAAAATGAATGTTCAGGAAATTCCGCCGGCATTTTGACCACGAGAAATTCCGCCGTCTTTTTGACCTGACAAAATTTCCGCCGGCCGAAAATTCCGCCGTCGTTTTGACATTGGCCTTTCAACAATGAGCCGAGCTGTTGTATTGTAAATGCCGAATGGATGTATGAACTTCAAGGAGGAAGTCATTTTTTGAATGTGGAACTGCCCGGTGAGACATCAGAGGCAACCGCCACTGATGGTTATTCTTTGACCAAAAGGCTGATTCAGGCTCTGCATAATTTAACACTTCAAAGCGCATTACCTAGCTCGCACTGTACTCCGTATTTATGTTGATTAAATAGAATTGTTTTTCCTTTTAATATGTTAGCTGTACCGCTTACTGCATTACGTACTTCATTTACTTGTGTTTTAAAACGTACAGACCATCACGTTTAGGTCCAAAACTTTTGAAAAATTTTCTTAGCGCATTATTCCTCTTGTTTTGGACCATCGGAATCTCCTGCCTTTTTGACCGCAAAAATTTCCTTCCTTTTTTTACCATCAAAATTTCTTTCCTCTTTTTGACCAAAAAACATTCCTTCATTTATTTATTCCTTCCTCTTTTTGACCAAAAAACATTCCTTCCTTTAATTATTCCTTCCTCTTTTTGACCTTGGCCTCTATGGGCCACACTGAAAATGACGGCACACCGACAACTTGCTGACGACTTTTTGCTGAACGACAAAATGATGACACGACATTTTGCTGTAACGACAAATCGCCGAACAACTTTTTGTGAACACCGACAACTTGGTGACGACATTTTGCTGACGTGAGAAACCTAAGAAACCTAAGAAAAAACAACAAAAAGTTAGAAAAGCTTAAACATTAGCGCATCGAGCCGAAAAGCAAGTTGTCGGTCAGCCAAACTGTTTGAATAAAACGTCGGCGAACGATTTAGCAGAAAAGCACATTGTCGGTCACGACGGTCAGCAAATTGTCGGGCAGCGAGTTGTAGGTCGGCAAGCTGACGTGCTACCTGATGGACATTAAGCAGATTACGTCTTGCGTGGTGTAACGAATAGCGGCCAAATTAACGACAATTTTGAAGTTATTAACCCATGAATCCGTAGACACGAAAACAAGGTTGCGTTACAGGGCACCGCGGCATTTCGCCGAGGACAGCTTACCGCAAGACATTTCGCCGCCAGGTCATTTCGACGCCGTGACATTCCGTCAAGACATAAGGACATAAGGAACCATAAGAAAATATGACGAAACGTCGGCGGCCAGATGTCTTGCGGCAAAATGTCGCCAAGCTGAAATGTCTCCGTGCAATATGTCCACGCAAAAGTGCCCCGACGTCCGTATGTCCCGCGCCAAAAAGTCGCTCGTCCAATTTGAGTGCGGCGAGATGTCAGACTCCCAAAGGTCCAGGTGCGGCGTCGCAGACTGAACCGTTCGTTATAGACCGTTCATTAATCGTACCCCGTCATTAACTCTGTTGTCATCGGGTATCTTCGTTCAAACCGGACCCTGCTTACTGTTTCAAACCGCGCATGGCAACGTTTTCGGAGTAATTTTCAGGGTTATTATCAGCCTGCAGGCTCTCGCCGCTGTCGCAAGGTCCTTTCAAAGGTTTACAATTTATTTTACGATAACCAGGAGAAAGTGAGCCGTTGCACGAAAGAAGCTAATTATGCGAATCAAATCATGCGAAGCCGACAACTGACAAGCAGCGCTTGCCAGTTGTCGAAAGTGACTTGTAAATGTCGCAAGATTTCTTCAGATTGTTGAATGGACCGGTTGTCCGCTGCATTTTTCAGGCTTGGAATGCTACATAGGAAGTACTGGAGCAAGGCTCACGGATGCCGGTACAAGTTGCCCGACTGCCTGTTTATGTCACCTGCCACTGATCCTGCTGACGGAGATCTTGCGACAGCTGGATCTGCACACACAAGCTGCCGCCATGCGGTAAATTGAATTTTGTACTTGCATTAAGTAATACGCAACAGACATTAGATTTTTACTTGGGTAATTGGTTGTACAGAGTGTGTGGCTTATGGCAAGCGATACTGAGTGATGCCCGCACAACGCAGCACCTTCTTGTCCTGACACACCATTTCACCGGAACCCAGTGCGACGACCACAACTGTCGGCGCATCGCGACGGCATTGTGCCGTAGCATCACTCCCGCTACGAAGAGCCTCACCATCACCGCCCGCGCCCACGACTGGGAGAGGAAGCAGTCAAACTGGCACAGCGCGTGCATCGTGCCGGAGTTGTTGCGGGTTATGCAGGTCAAGCTGTCTTGGATCGCCATCCAGTCCTTCTGTCTGGACATGCTTCCCGACTGCCTGCTGGCCTTCCAGTCCCGCTGTGACGCACTAGTCGTCGAGGGGCTGGAGATGAGCTGGGGAACGCTGTGCGACGAGATGCGGTGGAATGTGCAGCGCCCCCGTTTCGGCATGATTGGCTTGCCGGAGCGGGAATACCGCTTCACCAAACGACACAATTCCGCCGGCGCCCGGCGTTGGCTGCGGGATGGGATGCTGCTCGGCATCCCGCGGATAATCTATCCGTGGCGGGACGGCTGGCACTGCCAGGAGTGGGACATTGATCGGCCGTTCATGTGGTCCACCAACCGATTGCTGACCCCGGTCACGGCCGACGTGTACGCCCAGGTGGCGGCGGTGCGTGCTCGCTGGTGCGACACTCTGGCTTATCCCGATGAGTGGCGGGTCATCCGCTGCTTCTTAGACAGGCAAGTCACTGCACAGGCGTTACCGGTACCGTTGCGGCGGATGCCGGTGAAGGGTGTTATTGGCTGCAGGTTCAGCGGATTCCACGCGAATGGCAGTGCCCACACGTGGCACAATGTCGACCTGCGAACGCTGGATCTCGCGCAGCTCAGCGCACTGGCGCTGAGGGAAATCGCCGAGATTTTCGCCCTTTAAACCGATCGGCAGGCCTTAACTACCCAAGGCCTGCAAGGCTCCAACGGCTCGCAAGCTCACCTGTGGAACGTTTCGTACCAAAGAAAAAAAGTGAATCGTTTTTTCGCTCCTTGTAATCACAGTAGACATCTGTACACATGCTGTAGACACCTGTAGACCTATCGGTAGTCACCTGGTTTCTTAGGATGTATACAACGGTGTCTGCAGGATGTCTACGGATGTCTACCGCTGTATACAGGCAGCCCTTCTTAGGGTCAGCTTGATACTCTGCCTGTATACACCGGTAGTCATCTGTAGACAGCCCGTAGACACCACTGTAGACATACTGCAGTCAGCTGGTTTCTTAGCTTTTTTGGATGTTTACAGGGTTTCTACAAGTTGTCTACAGGGCGTCTACCGGTTGTCTTCAGATGTCTACCAGTGTATACAGGCAGGCCTTCTTAGGTTCAGCTGGATGTTCTGCTGTATACATCTGTAGACGCACTGTAGACAGCCCGTAAACACCCCTGTAGACATACTGTAGTCACCTGGTTTCTTAGGCTTCTTAGGAATTCTTAGGATGTATACAGGTTGTCTACAGGCTGTCTACAGGTTGTCTACAGATGTCTACCGCTGTATACAGGTAGCCCTTCTTAGGCTGAGCTCGATACTCTGCCTGTATACATCGGTAGTCACTTGTAGACATCCCGTAGACACCACTGTAGACATACTGTAGTCACCTGGTTTCTTAGGTTTCTTAGGATGTATACAGGTTGTCTACAGATGACTACAGTGACTACAAGAAGGAAAAAACGTTCCAGTTTTTTTCTTTGGTACGAAACGTTCCATATATAGCAAGTTACACAAGTAAACGATAGTACTGTACTATTGTATTAACGTTATTAAGAACCTTCATTAACAGACACATGCCAGACACGCAATTTAATGTGCAAAGGCACAGAAAAAGACAAATCGTGGGCAACGCAGTACGCTGTACCGCGGAACTCCACCCCGCACTGCGTTTACGCGCTACATGCAGCGGGATCGTGGCCTTTTCTCAGCGCGATTGTTATGTACTATGCAAGCAGGATATCATTGAAGAAGTGCTTTTGCATTAAATCTCGTTTTCTTAGTACTCAGTTTCATAGGCGAATTTAACTCGCTTGGGCGGGAGGGGCACTGAGAACCCAAGAACCCCAAAGACAGCAAGATAATTTACTACAAAACGTATAAAAAATTTTGTATAAAGTAGGAATTGAACGAAAATTGTTGGTAAAGCCAGATGTCAACAGTACATGATAAATGGAGCCAGGAGCATTTTCGCGCGAAGCGCGAAGCCGACGAACGTTTTCACTACAGAAATTATTAGAAATTCAGTAAAAAATACCAGAAATAATTTGAACAATTGTTCAATGGGTGTAAAAAGGCGATATTTTATGTACAGAGTTCAGAAAACCAGTGAACTTTCGCGCGAAGCCGGCGCACGATTTCATCGTAGAAATTGCTAGAAATTGTATAAAAATTAGTAAAAATAAGTTAACTACGGATACGTGACTGAAATTTTTCTGCGAAGCCGATGCACGCTTTTACACCTGGAACTGCTAGAAATTCGATAAAAAATAGTAGAATATTACGAGTTTGTGATAAAACTCCTTTAGGAACATGGTCTATTAACAAAAGATTAGGATGTATCCTCTGATAATGTGTGCTTCGTGGAAGACCGTGAACTGTACAGGCACTTTCGCGCGGAGCGCGAAGCTAGCAAACGGTTTGACTGAAAAAATCGCTAGAAATTCAATAAAAAATAGCAGTTTCTGCAGTTTTTTGCAAATCCGGTAAATTTTTTCAAGCAGTACTCCCCCCTTTACTTTTTTGAAGTACCCATTTTTCCAAAACTTCCGGAGGGGGCACGTGCCCCCGTGCCCCCTCCCTAAATTCGCCCCTGCTCAGTTTGTACTTACATGTGATACTCATTGAAGGCCATGCAGCCTTTGTCCAACGTAAAAAAGCATATACAAATATGTAATATGTACTTATATGTATATAAGAAACCATACACACATATGAAATATACTGTACAGTATGCGATAAAATAAGCAGGGGCTCCAAAAAGCGGTAGGCAAAGCCTTTACTAACGATCTGCTCTACGTTATTGTCAAAGCCTTTTCATTGTTATGTCAACTAAACATACATCTTTTCTAGCTAGTACTAGTCAAGCACATAGCCACTCACACGATAATTAGTAATAACTACCATCGTAGACTTCACAAAAACGAAATTAGTTTGTAAAAGCCCGGGAAATGCTGCAGAATTTAGACGACACTGCATCATTTTGTGCCGTCGTTTTGCTTTCAAAATGAAATCAGTTGAATGAAGGAACGGAAAGAGTACACCGGATTCTTATTAGACCATCCTGCACACATGGGTGACCGCCGTAACCCGCGCAACGGGATACTGCGGAAGCGGCCATTAGGCTCTCAGACGCGGAAGATTTCATTGAGGCCGTAGATGGCCATGCGGCTGAGTGTGCGTACATCCAGCCGGCGCAAGTCCACCTTGTCAAACATGTACACATTCCCGTCTGCGTCAAACCCACTAAATTTGCAACGCAAATAGATGCAGATCTAATTTTAAGCGCTACCAACGAGTAACTGCACCGTCTACAGGGCACTCACAGGATGATGTAGGTGTGGATAGACTGCCACTCCTCGGGGTACTTCAGAGTGCGCACCCAGCGCGCGTGCACTGCCGTGACCTTTGCCAGCATCTCCTCCGTGACCGGCGGGAAGTTGGCGTTCACGGCGTGCATGAAGCGCGCCGACATCTTTTCGCGGCCTTCGCTGCATTTCAGAAGCAGCCGCGGAATGGTGATTTGCAGTTTGTCAATGTCCAGCGCGTGGGACTCCTTCGTCAGGGGCTGCATGAGGTCCTTCTCGCGGGCACGCAGGAGATTGGTGGATCTCGTATGCGTAAGGACCGGATCGCACTCGAAGGCGTGAAACATCGCCCCGCCGAACAGGTCGCCGACTGCCCAGTTGATCAGCAGAATGGCGTTACACAATTGTTCATACTGCATTGCATCATGTGCTGCCGGATGCAGCGAGAACCCTGTTGAGGAACGGTGGGAAATGGTGGCAGGTCTGTTGTTAGTGCGGTCTTTGAAGACGATAAATCGCAGATGGGTTTCGGTGTCGTTCAGCCAGGGCAACACCAAAATGAAATGTTGTCGAAGGAGCATTGGAAGGAAGGTGAGAGTGAGGGTGGCGGAAGTGATGGAGCGGCTCAAGAGGACTGCCGCTTTGAAGCAGTTGTCGCTGTCCGATTGCAGGTCGCAACAGCTTTCGAAGGAGATGCGGACGTGCACCGCCATGCGGGCGTCACTCAGCAGCAGCTGCCACAACGCGCAGACCCTGTCGCAACAGTAACTACCATTAGGCGACAGTTACATGTGAGATGCCCGATTATCTCTTAGCACGTAAAATGTCCATGAAGAACGAACATTATTAGGTATATGATTAGTTTTACCGTTTGGCCCTCATTTGGGAGTGCACATCGAGATGAGTTAAGATGTCGCTCTGCAGACACGGCGGCAAAAGTGCAATTGCCGCAGATGTCCGCTCAGCATCGCTGCTCAGACCTGCAGAGACGACAGGCAACGCATACCAACTGTCACAAATAACTAAAGAAGAGCAGTTGCCGCCAGGTTACTAACCGGCATCCGGTGGGCGGGCGTCTCGCAGTCTAATCGGCGGCAGACTATCCCGGCTCTTTAAATGCGTCTGAAGCATTCCGCCCAACGTCGTCTCCGTCTGCCAGGTTTCGTGCATGTCCTGCCTGTCCGTGAAACTGACAACGATAAAAATGCAACCTTTGCATTTTTATCGTTGTCAGTTTCAAGGACGCAGATGGAACCGACAGATGGAAGCAGATTATGGAGATGCAGATGGAACTAATTACTTATTACGCAGATGGAACCGACAGCGGTCGAATGAACACAAACAACCCCCCGCGTTGTCGTCTTGCGGCCTCACGGAGATGCTTGATAATTCGGAATTTGTCGGAGGCGTCGCTGAGGACGCTCTGCGGTTCTTCAAAGGGAAATAAAGTGCTTGGTGTAGACTCTACAGTCTATACCAAGCACTTTATTTCCTTTGAACAACCTCTACACCAGACCTGGGCAGTTATGGAAATTTGACCCATAGTTAGAGTTGCGAGTTAACTGCAGCGCGCGAGTTACGCTACGAGTTACGCTATTCAAATTAACTGGAGTTATGAGTTATAACGCGAGTTTCGCTACAATAAAAAATCTTTACTTTGTCAATAATTTTCAAGTAATCTCTTACCGGTATTACTATTATCAGATTTGCAACACAGATCGTAATTAATTCTGCAAAATAGCTGATTCTTAAAATTCCCATCCGTACAGCATATGCCCCTCTACATGCCAGGAAAGCTCTTCAGTATTTTTTAAAGTGAGTGTGCGAACTGAGAAGCAAATGCACGCTCAGGTGATATGAAGAAGTTCTCGTTAGTGCATTTCACCCACGGGTGCTGCGTCAGATTTGAAAATCTTGCTTTTCGCTTCACTGTTTGCATATTTAACCGAAAGTTGTTTACTGTATTACATTATTTAAATAGCACTGAAACGTATGTGATACGTCCCTCTAGAAAGTCTTCAGTCACATTCAGTCTGTTCACACTATAGCTAAAAAGTGCAGAAAAGTTTTTCATTGTGGAAAATAGAAAGTTTGTAAATAAAAGTTTAAGGAGAAACGTGATATCAACGCTCTTACGCTTTTTCCGTTTAGCATACTCCTCTATGGGGCAGTTTGCCATAAGCTTGTATGCTAAGCGCAATCAGTTTATGAAAAGCAATTAATATCTGAGATCTCGTTTCTTCGAAATCTTTTTACTTGGAAACTTTCTGCTCTCTTCAAGATTTTGTTTTGTTTTTTTTTATGCTATAGCCTGCACAGGTTGAACGAAAGTTACAAAACGTTTTTACAAAACGAAAGTTACAAAACGGTTTTACAAAACGAAAGTTTTACAAAACGAAAGTTACAAAACGAAAGTTACAAGTTACAAAGTTACAAAACGGTTGAACGAAAGTTACAAAACAAAACGGCTTTCGAAAAATACCGAACCTGCAGGGGCTACCTAGTCCGCAGCACAGTTGATTACACATATTTTCGTAGCCGAAAGACCCGACTGGAATGCAGTGTACTGGCGGACGCCGCTAATATTCGATTAATGCACATCGCACAGACGTCAGTATAAAACCGATAAAAAACCATGGTGGCCAGTGCCTGTGGCGGTCGTCGTGTACTACAACAGCTGGAACTGTTTTATTTGTGCCTGCTAGTAGAAGTACCGAAAGTCAGTGCAACCCAAGTCGAAAATAATTTCCATTTTAATACTCGTATTTTCTATACTTTTGAGCTAATGATTTTATTAGTAACTTGAAACGACAGAGTTACGCTACAGTTACGTTGCGTTAAATTGTTTTCGAGTTACGTTAGAGTTAAGTTTTCTTTCTAGCGAGTTACGCTTCAGAGTTACGTTATAACTCGATAACTCGAAAATAACTCGCGTTAAGTTATGAGTTAAGTTATAACTGCCCAGGTCTGCTCTACACTGTAGAGCAGGCCGCTGTGCCGCTCCAGCAACGACTTTCCCGACGGCGGCCAAATCCCTGCAACCTGGCAAGAATTCGAGTTGAAAGAATTCGTTCGTTCGTACCTACGAGTTGAAAGAATTCGTTCGTATGGTGTTCGAGACAGATGTGGTGTGCCTAACAGGCGGCGCAGTTGGGAACTGCGCCGCCTGTCGAACTTTCCACATCACCACTGGGATGTGGAACATTGGACAGGCGGCGCTGCAACCACCAAGCCAACTCCTCGACCTCAAGGTGGCCAGTTGAAAGCAGAACGGTTCGCCAGCTTTGGCACGTAGCGCCACATAGCATTTGTGGTTTTCATTGACGACATTTGCGAGACTCTCCCAATAAAAGAGCAGCGTCCAGATGGAGCCCATGTGGAACCAATCGGGCAGGACCGTTGTCGAGTTGAAATCGATGTAGGCGAGGCCGTGGTTAACTTCAATTTCCTTGATATATTCTAAATTCCTAATAACCAAGTGCGTTCGTCCCTCTTCACCGCCACCGTATTCTGGTAGCTCATCGAGTTACCCTCCGCTAGCAGCAGCCGATACATTCCACGTCGCAGGTGTTTCCATTCATCGATCTGCAACAGCCAAGCGTTTTACTTGATGTTTTCTGCTTCACGGAATTATGCAAATCACGGCTTTGTACGAAATATTCTGCTAAACAGCTTCCCATTACCTCGCAGCTTCAGGATTATTTAACAATTCTGGGCGATTGCGGCCAGACTTCTCCACTGTTTTAAGGTTAACAGACAATCAAAACCGAAAACCACTTGCGCAGCAGAAGTTCCCTTCTACAAGCTAAATAAAATCAATACGGGCCTGCAACAGCAGCCTGTACAGTCATGCACATGTAATACAATCATCGCGGCGGAAGTAGGCGTGTCGCTCTGACGCTCCATTTATAAGTGTGGTAAATCTACAGCATACAGCATACGCTGTATCTACCCACATGTACACACAGGCTGTATACCGCATGTGTTGTATACGGCATGTGCATGACGGGATACCTACCTCAACCTGTCACAAGCACAATATAGGATACAATTTAGCGTAAAAAGGCGGGACATTTAGTGCGTGATAACCTTGGTGAAGCCATAGCTTCGACCAGTACCGAGTCTGAGGAAATTATTTTTCTCTGGTACCTGTATAGAGGAGGTGTCAGTTTTACGGTATCGAAACCTGTCATAAGCACAAAGCCAGATACAATTTAAAGTAAAAAAGCGGGATATTTAGTGCGTGATACCCCTAGCGAAGCAATGGTTTCAACCAGTAACTACCCAGAGAAAATTATTTTTCGCTGGTACCTGTATGGAGGAGGTGTCACTTTTGCGGTACCACAACCTGTCACCAAGCACAAGGCCGGATACAATTTCACGTAACAAGGCGGGACGTTTAGTGCGTGATACCCATAGCGAAGCCATGGCTTCGACCAGTAGCGAGTCATAGGAAATTATTTTTTGCTGGTACCTGTACAGATGAGGTGTCACTTTCACGGTATCTCAACCTGTCGCAAGTACAATGTGGGATACAATTCAGCGTAAAAACGCGGGATATTTAGTGCGTGATACCCTTAGCAAAGCCATGGTTTCAACCAGTAACGACTCAGAGAAAATTATTTTTCGGTGGTACCTGTATATAGGAGGTGTAACTTTGACGGTACCTCAACCTGTCACAAGCACAATTAGGGATACAATTAAGCGTAAAAACGCGGTATATTTAGTGCGTAATAAAATTAGCGAAGCCATAGCTTCGACCAGAACCAAGTCTGAGGAAATTATTTTTTGGTGGTACCTGTATAGAGGAGGTGTCACTTTTACGGTACCTCACCCTGTCACAAGCACAATGAAGGACACAATTGAGCGTAAAATAGCGGGACATTTAGTGCGTGATCGCCCTAACGAAGCCATTGTTTCAACCGGTAACGACTCGAAGAAAATTATTTTTTGGTGGTACCAGTATAGAGGAGGTGTCACTTTTACGGTACCTCAACCTGTCACAAGCACAATGAGGGATACTTTTAAGCGTAAAAACGCGGTATATTTAGTGCGTAATAAAATTAGCGAAGCCATAGCTTCAACCAGAACCGAGTCTGAGGAAATTATTTTTTGGTGGTAGCTGTACAGAGGAGGTGTCACTTTTACTTTATCTCAACCTGTCACAAGCACATTGTGGGACACAATTTTGCGTAAAAAGGCGGAATATTAAGTGCGTGATAACATTAGCGAAGCCATAGCTTCGACCAGTACCGAGTCTGAGGAAATTATTTTTTGGTGGTACCTGTATAGAGGAGGTGTCACTTTTACGGTACCTCACCCTTTTACAAGCACAATGAAGGACACAATTGAGCGTAAAATAGCGGGACATTTAGTGCGTGATCGCCCTAACGAAGCCATTGTTTCAACCGGTAACGACTCGAAGAAAATTATTTTTTGGTGGTACCTGTATAGAGGAGGTGTCACTTTTACGGTACCTCAACCTGTCACAAGCACAATGAAGGATACAATTTAGCGTAAAAAGGCGGGACATTTAGTGCGTGATCCCCATAGCGAAGGAATGGTTTCAACCAGTAACTGGTCAGAGAAAATAATTTTTCTCTGGTAGCTGTATAGAGGAGGTGTCACTTTTACGGTAGCTCAACCTGTCACCAGCACAAGGCCGGATACAATTTTACGTAACAAGGTGGGATATTCAGTGCGTGATAACTTCAGCGAAGCCATAGCTTCGACCAGTACCGAGTCTGAGGAAATTACTTTTTTCTGGTACCTGTATAGAGGAGGTGACACTTTTACGGTAAATCAACCTGTCAAAAGCACAATGAGGGAAACAATTTAGCGTAAAAAGGCTGGACGTTTAGTGCGTGATACCCATAGCGAAGCCATGGCTTCGACCAGTAGCGAGTCATAGGAAATTATTTTTTGCTGGTACCTGTACAGATGAGGTGTCACTTTTACGGTAGCTCAACCTCTCATCAGCACAAGGCCGGATACAATTTTAAGTAACAAGGTGGGATATTTAGTGCGTGATAACCTTAGCGAAGCCATAGCTTCAACCAGTACCGAGTCTGAGGAAATTATTTTTTTCTGGTACTTGTATAGAGGAGGTGTCCCTTTTACGGTACCTCAACCTGTCACAAGCACAATGTAGGATACAATTTAGCGTAAAAAGGCGGGACATTTAGTGCGTGATAACATTAGCGAAGCCATAACTTCGACCAGTACCCAGTCTGAGGAAATTATTTTTTTCTGGTACCTGTATAGAGGAGGTGTCAGTTTTACGGTATCGAAACCTGTCATAAGCACAAAGCCAGATACAATTTAACGTGAAAAAGCGGGATATTTAGTGCGTGATACCCTTAGCGAAGCAATGGTTTCAACCAGTAACTACTCAGAGAAAATTATTTTTCGCCGGTACCTGTATAGAGAAGGTGTCACTTTTACGGTACCACAACCTGTCACCAGCACAAGGCCGGATACAATTTTACGTAACAAGGTGGGATATTCAGTGCGTGATAACTTCAGCGAAGCCATAGCTTCGACCAGTACCGAGTCTGAGGAAATTACTTTTTTCTGGTACCTGTATAGAGGAGGTGACACTTTTACGGTAAATCAACCTGTCACAAGCACAATGAGGGAAACAATTTAGCGTAAAAAGGCTGGACGTTTAGTGCGTGATACCCATAGCGAAGCCATGGCTTCGACCAGTAGCGAGTCATAGGAAATTATTTTTTGCTGGTACCTGTACAGATGAGGTGTCACTTTTACGGTAGCTCAACCTCTCATCAGCACAAGGCCGGATACAATTTTAAGTAACAAGGTGGGATATTTAGTGCGTGATAACCTTGGCGAAGACATCGCTTCAACCAGTACCGAGTCTGAGGAAATTATTTTTTTCTGGTACTTGTATAGAGGAGGTGTCCCTTTTACGTTACCTCAACCTGTCACAAGCACAATGTAGGATACAATTTAGCGTAAAAAGGCGGGACATTTAGTGCGTGAGAACATTAGCGAAGCCATAACTTCGACCAGTACCCAGTCAGAGGAAATTATTTTTTTCTGGTACCTGTATAGAGGAGGTGTCACTTTTACGGTACCTCAACCTGTCACAAGCACAATGAAGGATACAATTTAGCGTAAAAAGGCGGGACATTTAGTGCGTGATCCCCATAGCGAAGGAATAGTTTCAACCAGTAACTGGTCAGAGAAAATTATTTTTCTCTGGTACCTGTATAGAGGAGGTGTCACTTTTACGGTAGCTCAACCTGTCACCAGCACAAGGCCGGATACAATTTTACGTAACAAGGTGGGATATTCAGTGCGTGATAACTTCAGCGAAGCCATAGCTTGGACCAGTACCGAGTCTGAGGAAATTACTTTTTCTGGTACCTGTATAGAGGAGGTGACACTTTTACGGTACCTCAACCTGTCACAAGCACAATGAGGGATACAATTTAGCGTAAAAAGGCGGGACGTTTGGTGGTACCTGTATAGAGGAGGTGTCACTTTTACGGTACCTCACCCTGTCACAAGCACAATGAAGGACACAATTGAGCGTAAAATAGCGGGACATGGCTTCGACCAGTAGCGAGTCATAGGAAATTATTTTTTGCTGGTAACTGTACAGATGAGGTGTCACTTTTACGGTAGCTCAACCTGTCATTTGCACAAGGCCGGATACAATTTTACGTAACAAGGTGGGATATTTAATGCGTGATAACCTTAGCAAAGCCATAGCTTCGACCAGTAGCGAGTCAGAGAAAATTATTTTTCGGTGGTACCTGCATAGAGGAGGTGTCAGTTTTACGGTACCTCAACCTGTCACAAGCACAATGTAGGATACAATTTAGCGTAAAAAGGCGGGACATTTAGTGCGTGAGAACATTAGCGAAGCCATAACTTCGACCAGTACCCAGTCAGAGGAAATTATTTTTTTCTGGTACCTGTATAGAGGAGGTGTCACTTTTACGGTACCTCAACCTGTCACAAGCACAATGAAGGATACAATTTAGCGTAAAAAGGCGGGACATTTAGTGCGTGATCCCATAGCGAAGGAATAGTTTCAACCAGTAACTGGTCAGAGAAAAAATTATTTTCTCTGGTACCTGTATAGAGGAGGTGTCACTTTACGGTAGCTCAACCTGTCACCAGCACAAGGCCGGATACAATTTACGTAACAAGGTGGGATATTCAGTGCGTGATAACTTCAGAAGCCATAGCTTGGACCAGTACCGAGTCTGAGGAAATTACTTTTTTCGGTACCTGTATAGAGGAGGTGACACTTTACGGTACCTCAACCTGTCACAAGCACAATGAGGGATACAATTTAGCGTAAAAGGCGGGACGTTTGGTGGTACCTGTATAGAGGAGGTGTCGCTTTTGGTACCCCTCACCCTGTCACAAGCACAATGAAGGACACAATTGAGCGTAAAATAGCGGGACATGGCTTCGACCAGTAGCGAGTCATAGGAAATGATTTTTTGCTGGTAACTGTACAGATGAGGTGTCACTTTTACGGTAGCTCAACCTGTCATTTGCACAAGGCCGGATACAATTTTACGTAACAAGGTGGGATATTTAATGCGTGATAACCTTAGCAAAGCCATAGCTTCGACCAGTAGCGAGTCAGAGAAAATTATTTTTCGGTGGTACCTGCATAGAGGAGGTGTCAGTTTTACGGTTTCGCAACCTGTCTCAAGCACAATGAGGGATACAGTTTAGCGTAAAAAGGCGGGATATTTAGTGCGTAA